AGTTTCTAGGCAATATATAATTCTCTTATATTAATAAGTTAAGGTTAAAGAAAGAACGTTAAATGCCTTAGCAGCGCATTATAGACTTTAGAATTATTAGGCATTATAGGCAGATAGAGCGAGCTAGATTCTGCCTTCTTAATTAGTTAATTGCGTATTATATTATTAAGATATATTGCATTAATAGGTTAGTAAGAAGTCTTAGCAAAAACTAATTAGCTTAGTAAGTTAACTAGCTTAGTAGTAGAATACATTATCTATAAAGTAGATAAAATTATAGATAAGAGAATAATAGATAGTAGCTAATAGAAGTATCTAGTTAAATAGAAAAACTACTTTAAAAATAAAAACTTATAGAAGCTTAGCTTAAATATCTTAGAAAATACTCTAAGAAAGTTCTAGAATACTATATCTACCTAACTATAGCGTAAGAAGTATAAGAATAGCTAAGTAAATTAAAATATAGATATAAGGCATTAAAGTTAACCTTTAAATAAAAGAAGAGAATAATAATAAATAAACTATGCCTCTTAGAGCTATTATAGCCTATAATAGACTATCTTAAGTAGAAAAGAAATAATTAGTATTCTTAGAGATAAGTATTATATAATAATTAAAAATAAATCTAGAAATAGAAGAACCTAAAGATAGAAATATATTACTAAAGAAAGATAAAAAGAAGAATCTTCTTAGCATTTTACTATCTAGAGATTACTAAGTAAATCTGCGCTAGAATAGCCTATAATAGCCTAGCCTAAGTTCTAAAGACCTAGGTACTACTCTTATAGTACTTACTAGCTATAGTCTAAAGTATAATAATCTAAAGAGAGCTAAATTAGCTATAAAAGGCTCTACTAGAGCTAGATTTAGATATTAAAGACTATAAGATGCTTCTTAGCACTATTAAGCTTCTTTTAAGCTTTATTAATCTTACTTATAAAGAGACTATACCTAGCTAAGAGAATAAAGCTTCTATTCTTCTCTAAAGATATAATATCTACTTTAAAATCTTAAATTAGCTTCTTTAGCTCTCTCTTAAGGTTCTTATATATTCTTACTTTATATATTAGGTTAGTTTACGCTAATATACTTTATAATAGCCTAACTTATCTTCTTATAGAAAGTATTAGGCTTATTCTTATTAACTTACTTAAACTTAAGAATAGTCTTAGTAAAGATATTCTAATAAGCCTTATACTTAGTAGTAATAGCCTTAGTAGAGTAATTATAGTAAATAGAGATATAAGTAGTATTAGAACTATTATTAGAGTTTATAGCGCTGTTATAGTATACTAAGTTCTCTGCATAGAGTATAAATAAAAGCTTAGAATATAATTAGCGCCTAAATAGCTTATAATAGAGTATTATAGCCTATATAAGACTATATAAGGCACTTACTTCTTTAACTATATAGCTAGAGAACTGCAGATATTCTAAATATTAGCTTTAAGTACTAAAATCTCTCTAGTATCTAGAGGCTATAGATTATAGATATACTAAGTAGCTACTATAGCTCTTACTAGCTAGCTCTTAGTAGCAGAGATAGTAGAGATAGTAGTAATAGTTTAGTAGTAAATATTAATCTAATCTAGTACTAGCTTATTAATATTAGTAGTAATATCTAGAACTTTCTAATATAACTTCTTAAGAGGCTAAATATATTAGTTTATACTATAATAGAGTATTCTAGCTTATAATAACTTACTACTATATAGTTAAAGTTACTAAAGAAGTAATAGAGGCACTTAAAGTACTAAGTAGTCTCTCTGCCTCTAATCTTCTTCTACTAAGATAAGTAAAGATTAAGATAGTTCTTAGCATTCTCTATAGCATTAGAGAAGTCTATTATAATATAACTAAACTTACTAAGGCACTTAAAGAAGCCTATAGTAAAAGATATAATATAGTAGTAGTATAGATAATAAGTGCATATACTATTCTCTATTATATTATTACTAACAGTAATTTAGTCTATATTAACTAATTTAGAGATATTCTAGCTTAGATTAGCGTAAAATAGAAGTAGAAGAGCTTAATAAAGCTAGATTAAAAAGCATAGTAGTTATTATAGGATACTCTATATTTATTAGCGCTATAATAGAGTATAATAGAGTATTCTAGCTTAAATAGAGGCTAAAATCCTTATAGAGAAAACTAAAAATCTTTACTAAAAAGAGACTAAGAGAATATAGAACTAGGTTAAGAGTTAGGCTAAGCTTAACTAGTATTATAAGTCTATATGCTGCTTACTTATTATTACTTAGTATACTAAGCTTAGCTAAGCAAGTCTCTTAAAACTATAAGTTTTAGAAATAATCTATAGAGCTCTAATGCGCGCTTTAGGCCTTAAATAAGCTATTATAGCTTATTCTAGCTTACTAAATACTCTTTTATATTAGATATATTTGCTTAAAATAAGCATACTTAAGAAGAGAGATAATATTAGCACTCTAGCACTAAGAACGCCTTTAGCGTTCTAAGTAGGCCTAGTATAGCTGCTAGAGAGCTAGTATATAGAGTAGAGAGAGAATTACTTCTTACTAGTAGTAATTTGTCTATTCTTTATAATAATTCTATTAGTTATTCTTATTATTACTTGCTTCTAGCTACAACTCTCTAGTATTATTCTAATAATTAACCTCTTAAAAGCTACTTTAAAAGCTAATAGAAAGGCTTTCTTCTTAATCTACGTTAGGAAAAGTGAAAATCTATCGAATCGTCGAATCTGTCGGAACAGTTGAAACTGTCGAAATTACGTTAAATCGCTCTGCCTAGCTAGGAGGATGATTACGTAATATAGACTAAAAATTTAAAATATAGAGCAAGTTTTTCTCTTTAAAATGAGCTAAAAATTACCTAATTTGGCCTAGTATTCGTAGAGATGCAAGGCTTTGAAGTTTTAAGTTTAATGTTCCTTGCTAAGAAAAATTCTTGCTAAAGCTCTAGAGCTCTAATTAAATAATATAATATATTTTTTTATTAAATATAAGTAAGTAAAATGCTAATTTTACCTTAGAACTATTTTATTATATATTATCTATTTTATTAGAGCGTTTATTAACTTAGATGAATTTTTTTAGATTTTTTATTAAAAAACCTAAAACTTTAAAGCCTTGTATCTCTATAACTACTAGGCTAAATCGGGTAATATATAGCTCATTTTAAAGAGAAAAATTCGCTCTATATTTTAGGTTATTAGTCTATATTACGTAATCATCGTTCTAGCTAGGTAGAGCAACTAGACGTTGAATTGCTAGCGATACTGTTAAAAAAAAGAGACTAGAGCGACTTTGTTAAATCGTCGTATTAGTTGTATCAACAGCGAATTGCAGCGATACTGTCGAAATACTAAAAAACAGTTTTCCTAACGTACTTAGAGCTATACTATGCTAAGCTACTAATCTTATTATTATATACTTACTTTAAAGATAAAAAGTAACTTATATTAAGTAGCTATAGCAGATATAATAAGTAAGTAGCTATATAGAGAATAATAATCTTCTCTTTCTTATAGTATTTATTAAATTTATATAAGCTATAGCTCTTATAGCTATCTATAATTAGCAGCTTATATACACTTATCTTTTAGTTCTTTATATAAGTATTAAAGTACTTTAACTAGGCAATACTAAGCTTATTTAATATCTAGCTATTAAGACTAACTTTAATTATCTAATCTTAGAGTAGATTATAGAACTAAAAGATTATAAGAACCTTACTAGAGAAAATAAGAAAGAGTAGAATAGCTTATCTTTTAGTATTAACTTCTTATATATTAGTAACTTAACTATAGTTTCTTAGATATAGGCTCTTTATACTATACTTCTTAGAGCCTATAATAACTATCTAGCTATAGATAACTCTTATTATAAAGCCTATCTTATTAAAGTTATATATATTTTTATCTATAATACTATACTTTACTTTTATATTAGTAACTAGCTTAAACTAAGGTATTATAATATGTAGATCTTTATTAAGAGCTTACTAATAATTATATAGATAACTTCTTTAAAGCTTAATCTTAGGCATATGCGTCTTAAAGTTATCTATTTAGTGCTTACTAATAGACTTTCTACTATGCTTAATAAGCAGATTATTAGCTATATCTTATACTATAGCTTTTATAGTAGATATACTTTATATATTAAGCTTAAGTATATATTAGATAAGAGCTTTCTCTTCTAGCTTAGTTAGCTTCTTTAAATTAAGCTTATAATTACGTTAAGAGAGAGCTTCTTAGTATTAGTCTCTAATAATGCTTTAAGGCACGCTAAAGGCTATAATAATACGTCTTTTACTCTTATTATAATCTTTAATTATAGCTTAGATAATAAGCTATAAAGTCTCTTTAGTATAAGTTAATTATATATTATATTAGAATAGCATTATAGTATAGAGTAGTTATTAGGCTATTATAGTTAGAATAGATAGCTTACTTAGATTAGATAGCTTGCTTATAAACTATATTAGTTATAGAGAATTAATTTCTTTAATTATAGCTTAAATTAGATCTATAGTTATAGAGTTATAAGTTATTAAAGTTAAGATGTTAGATGCGTTTTTAGTGTTTAGCGCGCATTACGTAACTCCGCGCATAACGCGCACGGGCACGTTAAGAGGGTCGGAGCAGAATTGGCAGGGAATCGTTCACGCCAACTTAGGAACGCAACTGGAGATCCTGGCAGAATCGGATGGCATTACTGTAGACAAAAATCAGGGCATCGCTTTCAGATTCCAGTACCCTACGGAACAGGGCGAGATTTGGGCCGCTCGGGTGTCATGGACTGAAAATGGGGCTTGGAGATCGAATGGACCTCATCCTGGCACACACTGGACGCGTAGCACTGAGCAACCAAACCGCGTCGCCACTCACTTCCATGCGACAGCCAACGGCAGCGTTGTCATCCAAATCCTAAACGGCGAGCTCTTCTGAGAGAACAACTACAAGGCTGCCCGTCACGCTGCTAGACGAGCCGTGGAAGTGACCCTTGGGAAGAATGAAAGACAGACAAGTGCCCAAGAAGAGGTAGGTGCCCAACAAAGTAACGCGACTCAAGTCCTAAGTTGGCACGTAACTTTTAATCTCGAGCTCAGTCTTCTACTCACTCATAGCATGTTTATAAATATCACTGCTGCAGATGTCGACCCTACTCTAGCCACGTCTCGCCGCCAAACTCAACAAGAGCCAGTGGGCGCGATCGACATCATCGAACTCAGCAAGCAATACATTCTGGCTCAAATTCATTCTAATCAGACCATGAATAACAGCACATTCACCAATGCTACAACGAAATCCGGGCGTCTTCGGGTTCGCCAGACACAGAAGCATGAAGCCATGCGAAGTGTTGCATTAGAGAAGTGCGTGGATGGTTCCATCCAATTCGGGCCCAACCAACCATGTCTCAACGGCTCTTGCTGTAGCAAACTTGGCAAATGCGGATACAAAGAGGCTCAATGCGGTAAAGATAACTGCCTTTCTAACTGTGATGCTAAAGCCGTGTGTGGCATTGATTCAGCTGACGGCAAGACTCCATGTGGCCTCAAGTTATGTTGCTCCTACTACGGATGGTGTGGTACAGAAGACGTACATTGTAATGATCCTGAACCTAAGGTCGGAAAGATGTAAGTAAAAAAATCGGAGATTGGTCGTGAGGCCTGGACTGACCAATTGGTAGACCGTGTCAGGAGGGTTACAGCTCCTGCTCGATTAAGCCTTCCCCATCATTTGGCAAAGGCTCAGGAACATCAAGAGGACGTCGCATAGGATACTACCAAGGATGGAACACCCGAGAGCGGGTGTGCGATAAAGTCTATCCCCGTCAGATCAACACACGCGGGCTGAGCCACCTTCTCTACGCCTTTGCATTTTTCCATCCCGAGACGTTTAAATGATTTCCATGAACGCTGGAGACCCGGCACTTTATGGCGAATTTACTGCTCTGAAGCGTAACGGTCTGCAAACATGGATCGCAGCTGGAGGGGTTAGTAGTGCCAAACGTGTTGCGGTTGTATCACTGATGGATAGCAGTGGTCCTTCAATGATCCTGACACCGCTGCGTACAACGCGTATAGTGATATGGTCTCCACACAAGGTAGTCTCCGTTCTTTTATCCAGTCGCTAATACGATTCATGGACACCTACGGCTTCCAGGGCGCAGATATTGACTGGGAGTATCCTGCAGAACCGAGGCGTGGCGGTCGTAAACAAGATACTGACAATCTTGTGCTCCTCATGCAGGAAATGAAAGACCAGTTTGCTGGTCGGTACGGCAGTAGTGTCACTATTGCGCCAGATTACTGGTACCTTCGCGGGTTTAAACCTGAAGATATGCAAAACTACGTGGACTGGATGGGGTTTATGGCGTACGATCTCCACAGACCTTGGGATACAGACGTCAAGACGCTTGGTTCAAAAGTACGACCTCAGACGGACATTACAGAGATTGACAAGAACCTAAAGCCGCTCTGGTTTGATGGAGTAGACACAGCAAAGGTCGTTATGGGAATTGCCTACTACGGACGTACGTACACTCTCTCAGACGCAAACTGTGGTAGCATGGGCTGCAGCTTCATCTCAGGTGAAGGTGGCGCAGCTGGCTCATGCACAAATTCTCGGGGCATCTTGTCAAACCGCGAGATCAAGCAAATCATTAAGGATGAGGGAATTAAGTCATACTTTAACGAGACGGCTATGGTGAAGTACTTCACTTACAAAGGAAGCTGCTGGGTGGGCTACGACGATGCCGAAACCTACGCCTTAAAAGAAGCAGCCAATGATCGATGCCTTGGCGGTATTATAATTTGGTCGATCGATTTTGACGATGAAACGGGCGTAGGGCTTGGAGATGGCAACAATTACAGATCACCTGAATCGGCCACTGTTATTCCCATGGCACACACAAAGGTTCCTACCGGACAAACATTCACGCTTGGCAGTGGAGCTAGAACCGACATTCCTAGATTACCCAATGGTGGAAACCAAAATATACCGCAGGGACCTCCGAACTGCCAGCAGTGTAGCCTTTTTCGACTCATTACATCGACTTCCTGTGGTAATGGTGGTTCTTTTGGAAACCTCGTCCTCGTACCTGCTGGAGTAGGCACTCCCATGGATATCCCATTGCCGGCAGGTTTTACTCCTCCGCAATCATTCACAGATCCAAGTGGAGCTGTGATACCCGCAAGCCAGCCACTTCCTAGGGTAACGATCATCCCACAGGGCACAGTATTTACTCAACCTTTCATAATCGGGCGTGGAGCCTCACTGCATCAGGGCGAGGGTGACGACCAGAGTTCAAACTCAACAAGTCTGGTCTGGCTCTCACCGGAGAGTTGGAACTCACCAAACCCGCAAGTACAGTGCTTTTTCCCTTGCACTTTAGTCCTTCCTCCGTACACTTCTTATACCTCGACGATTGATTACCCCAGAATCACCGTGACTGAAAGCGGGACAATTAAGACCACACTTACGTTCCCGCCACTAACCGTAAGCTCTTGGGCTCCCACAACAATCATCGTTGATGGATGAGCAAGCTGTACCGGGACCAACACGGCTTCTTCTTGTACTGAGAAAGACCAAAACCGTCGCACATCCACCGTACAGATCAGTAGGTCAACTACATGGCCTCCTGTGACTTACTCTGAAAACGGCTCTCGCCGCACAACACGTCCCCCGGTTTCTTCTAAGACCAATGGCCCAAATCCGCCAGATGGCAGCGGAGGCGATGACCCGTGCCAGCTTTGCCCGCCCCCTCCACCTCCTCTGTCGCTCCCTCGATTGACCATTAACTGGGGTGCACCAAAACCCACCACCACTCCATGTGCCTGGCCAACACTTACCTGTTTGCCACTGGGCTCCGATCCAAGCTCTCTTCCTGGAGGTGGAGGCGATCCCTCGCGCCCAATACCAATACCAATTCCAATCGAGGAAGATCCAGAGGAAGAGAAGCGACTCTGCCTCTTACGCACCACGAAAGCGAAGACTGTTCGCGTCACCGTTACCTCAACCCAAGAGAGCACGACTTTCGTGGAAGCCCCAACCACTACAACAACGAAAGAAGCGCCTCCACCAAAGAAAACTCCCGACTTTAGTAAAGACCAAGTCAAGTGCTACGACAGCGGTCAGTGGACCAGACGCGCACGTATGATCAATGCGGGCGATGCATACTGCGAACGATCTCTCAAGGGCCACACTGTATGGGAGAAGTGGAATCCCGGCGAGCTAAAGAGTCCTTTTAGCAGGGACGACAACGAAGTTGTGTCCTTAGAGATTGTGTCCTACGTGGAGGCTAAAGAAGGCTGCGAGTGGAACGTTGATGTGAATGTATGTAAAGCTGAAATGAGGAAGATAACTGACGAGTGCGATAGGAATGGAGGGAATCGAAAACAGGGAGGGAGAATTGTGGGTGATTGTTTGACTTGGAGATTGGATCCGAATGCAGATCTTTAGGACCTTCACGCAACAATGATGTACACGTTCCAAATACTCGAATATTAAATTTGCGATGCATGTATGGTTATCAGTAACAGCGAAATTAGAGACCACTACAAAAGTGTACTACGATGGATGTTATGCAGTACTTCTTGTTAACTGAAAGGCCCCGTTTGTTTTTCCTCGCAGCTGACAAGACACAGTGGGTAACTTTGTCCCTACGAGATCAGCTCGTTTGCGTACGTCGCGATGCCGGTCACATCTACCCCATTTGCTCTGGCCACCTAGGCAACGACATAAGATGGCATAGTAGAACGTCGGGCACACTGAGCTGCAAATCATCATGTAAGATCTTTAAGAGATGACTCGTACTATGCGGGGATGCAAAAGCAAGCAGCTCGAGCTCGAAGGTAAGATAAAGATGCTGACTCTCTTGCAAGAGGTCAAAATGGTAAAAAGCTTGGGACTAGGAATTACATTCACTACCAAAGCTAGCTAATGAAAATGCGCCAGATTCGACGACGCGAGCACGAAGAAAGGCAAGGCGACCGTGCACGACTTGGCAAGTCGCATGCACGTTAAATTGCCTCGGGAACTCAGGGACACAACACATGCAGATGTCTAATTGCTTCAGGAACCAATCTCGCTATCAGTTATGTTTCAAAATGGCCAGTTCTTACGATACTCTATGTTTTCAAGACTATGATAATACCAATAATGCGAATAAAATCGCAGGCAATAGTAAACCCAGTGGTGTTTGACGTGCCAATCTAGTGCCAGTGTTTACACTAAACTCAGGCGAAATGGTTGGAGTAATGACTGGTACGACTGCTGTACTGGAAGATGAGAATGTTTTGGGTAAGTATTCCGGAACATTTGTGGACGAAGTACCGCTATTTGTTGTAATCTGATCGTTTGAGGACACCATAATTTGTACTTGTGTGCTCGTTGTTTTCGGGTCCGTAGTCGTGAAAGGCGAGAGCAAAGTAGTCGTTGAAAACTTCCAATATGTCGTATTGACCGAAAACGTCTTGTACGTAGTGTTTTTAGAGCTCAGTTGCGTATTTGGTGTTTCCGTCTCCAGAGACGCGATGGTCATATTGCCTGTTAGGCTCGTTGCAGTAGAATCAGAACTGGTGTTTGGCGATGATTCGGTCGCCACTTCATCGGGCACACGAGTCGTAGTGGTTAGACCGTTTGAGAAGTCTGTGGCAATGGAAAGTATGAGCGATGTAGTAATATCATTAATACTGGTACCGGTAGTTGGTATGAGTGAGCGGCCACTACCGGTAACAACTCTGCTAGTTATCTGAGATACAGACGATGTGAATGTCGAAGTTGGATTCTTTCGTGTCGGCTGTTGCGAAGACCTCTGTGGTGCAGTGATTCGGTTGGTATCAAGCGTGATGGCGCCTGTCAACGCGTATAGTCCGCCATTGACAGTGGTGCCAGTGACCAAGGTGATTGAATCTTGGGTGATGATGTTGCCCTGAAAAGCTGTTCCAATACCGAGCGTAGCCGAAGAACCAATTTGCCAGACTACATTGGAGGCTTGTGCGCCGTTGATGAGGACCAAGCTCGAAGATTTCGCGGTTTTAAGGGTCGAGCCGATCTGGAAGACAAATTGTGCATCTTTAACCTTTTTTCCGTCCAAAATAAGAGCCCCGGTAATGCCTACGGATGACGAAGCGAAGTAAGTCCCGGGCGTAAGCAGTTGACCTCCGAGATCTTGTCCAGTGATATCTTTTGTCGGGTACAAGGACCGAGCAGCAATATAAGCAGCACGAGCATCTTCTTTGGCTCGGCTGGAGATATCGCTGCTGGCGATGACAGTCCCGGATGGAAAGCCGGTGACCGAACTGGCGTTGTTTGGGAAGACAGCAATTTGACCGTCAATGATTGTGGATCCAGTATTGGTGATCGCTGAGCTCGCTATAACAAGAAACGAAGATGCGGTACCAAGATCAAATTGTGCCTGTACTTCTCTACCTAGACCATATGAGAAGACCAGATATGCCGAGAGGTGTGCGGTATGGAAGAGCATACTCGCGGAACGGACAGTGAAGAGGCTCGACCAACTTCAGATTTCTATTAGTTGAGTGTTGATTTATGCTCTAAACTTAAAGCGAGGAGTGTCATCTTCGGCTTCGCCCATTGTTCATCGTCCTCCCCCAAACAGTATTCAGCATTTGCCTAAAGCAGCTTCGCCTATGGGACTGCTTTGTGCGTACAAAGCGACCCCATACGTACGTCAACGAAAGCAGTCTCTCGATTCAATAACACTAGATCAACGTGCCGGAACGCTGTCCTCACATGACAGACAAGTGTGGTTGTGACGTAGTATTAGGATCGTGTTGTTGGCGAGGAGGCGCCACTGAAGGACTCGTGAGTCACATGCTAGGGTGATCTCATTCGACTTGGCTCAGAGTACGCACTCAAAATCGGGCGGGACACTTACAACACTGCCAGGAGTGCTGCGTTGCGAGCGCGTTCTGCGTGGTGAGGAAGACAGTACTGCGACGAACCCTCCCCGGCTACAATGGCTAGTCGACTTCCCATTTCCATTTGAGATAAGCTTTAAGATCTTTGTCATCTGCTGCTACTCTCTTCCACTCCGGCTCGACAGCTTTGGAGAGGGTGACACATCTTAGTGTATCACGGAAAAAAATGCGGTAGCTGTCGAGAGCATATGCACCCATGCCCGGCAAATGGGCAATCTCCCAGCCGACACGCTCGTCTTCAGGGCCGAGAACTTCATTAGGTCTGATATCAGTACCACATCCCTTTGTCGGATAATGTAGTTTCCTGTATCTACGCTCTCGAGATGGTGGCGCGGCGAGCCATGCTTTCGCCATCGCGATTAGGCGCATTGCCCGAATGTTGTGAAGTCCGATCGGCTGAAGCATCGTAGTCAGTTCTTCCAGGTCTGCGGAAGACAAATCTTCTGGTGTCGGATATCTCGCAAGCACGGCGAATAGGATAGGTCGAGCCATGATGCCACGAGTCTGATTCCAAAGGATTACTTGTATTACCAAGGCGTACAAGCTAGAGCATATTCTTTCTTGTATTAGACCGAACTTGGCTGGTCGAAGATTGAAGGGAATATTCGGGGGTTGAGGTAGGTGTGAGGGTCTGGCGGTACGATCTGGCGCGAGAGGTGTTACTGAGGATTTGGCAACGCCCCTTCTTCGAGCTGGTGGCATTTTCATGTGTTTATGATGTCTCAATTCTTGCCTGTAGCAACCTCTCGAATTCTTGCGCGCATTCGATTTCTCAAGAGGCTTAATGAATGGAACACGAACTAGTGCGAGATGTACTACGTCACTCTCTCGCTTGCACTGACATGGCGTGTTGCAGGACCTTCACGCCTATCGAAAACGTGATATCTAGTGACTATTCCGAGAGCTATGGCTTTCAGTTTTAAGATATTAACTCAGCTGGAAAATTGATGAAAGCGACGCGGTATCAACATGAAACAGGTGCCATGGTGAGAATGGCAGGGCACACATGTCTCTAGAGTCTAGCAGTGGATCACCGTTTGTGTAGTGTTGACACATCTCAATCCTTTAGCTCCACATCAGTGAGGTCAGCAATGCAGGTGTGACAGCTGCCAAACAAACATGTTTATATTTGATGCAACTTCGTACGACGACATTACTGGAGCTGTGCTGCAATAAAAGTTTGAGGCCCACTCGATTTCGATGTCCCAAGTACTGGCAGCATCACGTCGTCACTCACGCCGAGCGCAGTGAGAGCAGTGGCAGTTTTGGTATCATGACCTTGGGTTTGCATAAGCTCTGCCAGTCAATGGCGGGACGTATGACTCTCAGCCATCATTTGTCTCACAACTTATCTCACAATTTACTCACCGAATTGCCCAGCCATGCACCCAATTGTACCGCTTTCTCTTCTACTCAGCGCAGTATCATGCGCAGCCATCTCCACTTCTGGTGGATATAACCTGAATCTCACGCTCGAGGGCTCTGGAAACGACCAGCACTGGGTCCTACGAGAAGAGAACTACCCCGTCGTTTTGACCCATGACGACCTCACTACAATCAACTCTTTCCCTCCAATTGGTGACATGCAATGCGACCACAGAAATAGCGCACCTGCGGCAGATTGTCGAGCACTTATCAAGGCAATTGCAGTCGATCAAGGCTACATTCCAAAAGTACCGCGGCACATACAGTACAAAACGTGTTTTATGAGTTGGCACACAAGAACCATGGGAAGAGCCTGGGACTTTGCCAGTACATTAGAGAAGCTCTTCAGAGTGTGTAATTACGAAGGCGGTGTTGGTGGAAGGCATTTGGGCAGTGGATCTGCAGAAGATCGCGTGGTGTGTTTGTCAAATCGTAATTTTTTTTTGTAAGGGACACAACCAGCGACGGCAAACATTGAATTCAACAGCTTCTCGAAAACACAATGTGGCAGTGTTAGTAAGGTGCGAGTGTACAAGCGCAACGTCAAAAGTCAGTGGCAGGTCCGAAACATGACTTCATTCCAGCCCCACTTTTTCAGTCTCGATGTGGATCTGATCCACCAACACCTTCTCACTTTGCATTGAATTGGTTCAATTTTGCGACTCACACCGGGAACAAAACATGTCGCTCAACAGCGAAGAAGATGAGGCAGAACTTGTTCAATTGCAGCCTCGCTACAACGGCGAAGACACCAGCGCAACCACAAATCGAGAGCTGAATGGCTGGTACGCGTATCCAATCGCAGCCGAAGTCTTCGCTGTGGTTGCTGTTGGTATGCCTCACATGCCACACAACACAAACCGCTAGTTGTACTCACCCATACGTAGGAGCATTCTTACCTGTCATACTCGAGCAATTAGCTCGCGAAAATGGGTATTTCTTTTCGGACAGCACCAAAAGCTGTGTCGACCATGGCGGATCTCGCCGGATGCGCGCTGAAGACGGTCTGAAAGGGAGCGAGCAATGTATGATCAAGATCCTAAACAGTACCATTTCAACCAGCAGCTTTGCCATGTACACATTCTCTGCAGCTGTCATAGTACAAGCTGTTACACTTGTGTGTTTCAGCTCATTCGCGGATCATGGTAAGTGACGTTCCCATACCGATCGAACATGAAGGATTCTGGTGGTGCAAACACGAGGCTCATGGTTTCGCAGGTCCATACCGTAAGAAGATGCTGATGGCATTTGCATACACGGGGTCCGTTGCAAGCGCTCTATTCATTTTCATCTCGCCAACGGTATACTTTCTAGCTCCAATTCTTGTGATTGTTGGTGTCACGAGTCTTGGTTGCTCGTTCGTTCTGCTAAATGCATTTTTGCCGTTGCTCGTTGCAAATCATGCCAACAACACTGGGGCGAAATTTGCAACTGCAGACTCGTCATCTGATTTCGAGCTGGAGGCCCTGAACCCCAACACTCAATGTGGACAGAGTCATGCGGTCGGACCCTGACCGTCTCACACGCGATCTCGAGCGTTCGGCACACATGTCAAGTAGAGGCGTCGGATATGGCTACATGGCCGCGGTGTTTGTGCAAGTCATAAGCATACTGATCCTCTGGCTGTTTAGCAAAACCGCCATTCAGAAACGCCATCCAAGTCTGCCCATCCGTGTCATTTTATTGCTCGTCGGTATGTGGTGGGCCGCGTTGACGACGCCAACACTCCTCTGGCTTCGTCCTCGACCAGGGCCTCCACTACCGTCTCAGGAAGCCAAGACACTCTCGGCCCCAACATCCAGATTCCGCACCTTCTTGTTCTACACACGCTTTTCCCTGCGATCATTTTGGCGCACTCTGCTGCGCGCAATCAGTCTACGACAGACGCTCATGTTCCTCATCTCGTGGTTCCTGCTCTCCGACGCAGTCGCCACAATCTCTGGAACAGCCGTGTTGTTCGCACGCACAGAGCTCCACATGGGCACCATTGCAATCGCTCTGCTCTCAATCACGTCCATTGGTTCCGGTATCATTGGCGCTTTTGCTTGGCCTCGGGTCCAGAAGCGCTTTTCCTTGCAGCCAAAGACGATATTGTTGTGCTGCGTGGCGGGCATGGAGATGATTCCATTGTATGGGCTGCTTGGGTTCATCCCGCTGTTCAAAAAGCTCGGGTTCATTGGTCTCCAACAGCCGTGGGAAATTTACCCAGTCGCGGTGCTTCACGGGATCGTCATGGGAGGCGTATCGTCATATGCACGATCGGTGTATGCACCGTTGATCCCAGAGGGCAGTGAAGCCGCGTTCTTTGCACTTTACGCCGTGACAGACAAAGGCAGCAGCGCGTTTGGTCCAGCCCTGGTGGGTTGGCTTGTGGATCACGCAGGCAGCATAAGGCCAGCCTTTATATTCCTGGCAGTGTTGGTGGTGTTGCCGGCACCGCTGCTGTGGATGCTTGATGTGGAGAAGGGGAGGGAGGATGCCAAGGCTATGGCAGATGGAGAGGGACGAGGTCGCGGGACATATGAGAGAGTGCGCGAGGAGTAGCTGCGACGTGCACGTGTCGAGCAGTGAGATGATACGATCTATGACAAGCGCTATGCATCGTGTAATAGTGGATATGGTGCGCCCCGAATGCTGATGATGTGACTAACGCCGGCAAATGCTGTGATGAATGTGCTCAGGTGACTTCAAGCTCTTTCTTCGTATCTTGGCCGCTTGCTATCCCTCTCGCTGTCCTCGCCGAACCTCTTCCTGTCGCCCAGCGGCTTGGCGTTGGCTCCGGTGGCACCTTCGCGCTCTGGGTCGCGGCCACGGTAGGCGTCGGGTCGGAACCTCTCGTCGACGCCAAAGTCGGCCTTGTCCTTGAGCGGGCGGTCGTCGGCATAGTCGCCCCACCTGCCCGTGTCTTCCGTCTTCATGTCCTTGTAGCGTGTCCTGCCCTTCTTGCCGAGCTTGGTCATGTCGCGGATCTGCATGTACTCTGGCAGGACGTCCCGGTTGGTCTGGTCCTCGAAACGGGCGTTCATGAGGTTCCGGCGGTCGACGCCCAGCTCCTTGAGCTCGTCGGTGAAGAAGGCGCCCTTGTGGAAGTACTTCTGCATGTACTGCATCTCGCCGCGGTCGGCGCGGTCCTCCTTCTGCTGGTCGATGAAGGCGCGGTCCTCAGCATCGCGCTCGGCCGCCGACAGGTTGCGGCGGCGCTCAATCTCGGCGCGCTCAGCTTCGGCTTCCTCGATGGCCTGGCGCTCGCGTTTGATGCGCTTGAGCTCGCGCAGCTTCCACGCCGCGTACTCGGCGGCGGCATCGAGCCCGTCGGTGTCGTCGATGGCGTTGATGTCGGCGTCCTCGACATCGTCGTCCCAGTCCTTCTTGCCCGCGGCCTTTTCCGCAATGCGCTGCTCGACCTGCTCCTGCACCAGCGCGCGCGACTGCTCCTGCCGCCGCGCCTCTTCCTCGGCGGCGGCTTCCTCTGCCGACTTGACGGGCGCCGCGACCTTGTTGCGCTCGTTCTTCTTGAGGAACACGGGCCGCAGCAGCTTCTTGGGCGCCTCGTCTTCGCTACTCGACTCTTGCTCCGACTCGTCCTCGTCCTCGCTGCCGCTGCCACTGCCACTGCCGCTTCCACTGCCACTGCCGCTCCCATCCGCGCTGCCACTGCCGTCTCCGCCGTCTTCGCCCTCGCTCTCCGTCTCGAACTCGTCTTCCAGCGCCTTGCGCTCCGCGTCCGACTTTTGGCGCGCGGCAAGCTTCGACTTGAGCGCGCCTTTGGGAAACGACGAGGCGACGGGCGCGGGCCTCGGCTTTGCAAAGGGCTTCTGTTTGGGCTGTTCCTCCTCCGACTCGGACTCATCGCTGGAGCGCTCCTCTGCCTCGACTGCAGCGGGCTTGCCGGCGAATTGTCGCGTGCGCACTGGCTGCGCAGTGAGTTTCTTCGCGTTCGGAGGCGGCATTGTGCGGAGATTGTGGCCAAGTTGGGTGAGCGTGAGCTGGCGATGGTGAAAAGTTGCCGGCCAAAAAGTCCCCAGGTTGGGAGACGCGGAGCCGCGGCTTGCTTGGCATCGCCGTAGGGCTGAACCGCCGGGGACCCACACCCAACGTCCAACACTAGCCCATCGCGAACCACCTGCACGTCGTCGACAATGCCCATCGTCTTGACTACTGCCAGTCGCCCTCGTGATGGTGCGTGAGGCTATTCAGGACCCCATGGTTACTGACATGCTATCCCTTATTCCCGCCAAAATGAGCCGTGTTCATGCTCGTATTCGACATGGCAACATTGAAATAAAACCGTGAGCGGCCTTCACTTCAGGGGCGGACGGGGCCAATCCACGCCTCATCGGGTCCACCCTTGGCTTCACGTTTCAGAAAACCCGCATCATGCCAAAACCACACCGTCTTGTCGAATATCCCCATCCAGCGGGCGCCTCTGGGACGCACTGCAGGGGCATGCAAAGTCCTCTAACAAGGTGAGTAGTTGATTATAGCTACCTCAAAAGTCATTACACTGCCGCTGCGTGCTATGAGATTACATGGAGATCAATTCGTACCTCGCCCCCAATGTCTGGCAAAAGCCAGCCACAATCTGACCGTATGCGCAGGAGCCTCCATCTAACGTATTATAAACAGCCTGCTTCCCACTCTCGGCTTGCCATGTTGTGACAACCTTTCAATTTGACCATGATTCTATCCCGGACCGCTACGCTCCTGGTAGCGTTGCCACTTCTTGTCCACGCGGCCAACATCGACTACAAGAAGGCTTGGACAGCTGCTGGCGACAGACTCCCAGACTTCTCTTATGCTGGATACCACCAGTCTGAAATTGCTCTCCCGGCCCTCTCCAGGCCAGCAACCAAGACTCTCACTCCCAGCAGTGGTGATCAATCCTCCGTAATTCAAACTGCACTTGACAGTGTAGCCAAGTCTGGTGGAGGTGTAGTCGAGCTCAAAGCCGGTACCTACACTGTCTCTCACGGGCTGCTGATCGACAACCAGACAACATTGCGCGGAGTTGGCCCCGGCAAGACAATCTTGGAGTTGAAAGATCTGATCGAGGATGCCATCATCATGGGTAACTCCTCTGGCAAGCCGAAAATGGGAAAGCCCATCCCTATCACAGATGACTACGTCCCAGCCGGAACCCAGACTGTACATGTCGCGGATGCTGGCGGACTCACGGTGGGCATGCATGTCATGGTGAGCAGGGCCGTGACACAGGCATGGATAGATGCTCAAGGCATGGCGCCTTACCCTAAATGGCTGCAAGTCAGTACAATACCATCTATCTCTGACCCTTGATAATAATGACATTGACAACCTATAGCCAGGCAAACTGGTCCAGCAACCACGCCGTATCATGTCCGTATCGAACAAGGAAGTATCGCTTGACATCCCCTTGACCGACTCCCTTAATGCCGCCCAAAGACCTTATGACTTCCATTGCCCTCATTCCCTTCACTCCACCAGCTCAGCCTTGTGAAATGGGCGTCGAAAATCTCAGTATTCGCCTTAGTCCGTCTTGCTCCGGTACCCGCCTCGGAGCAGGAAAATGTGACCGCTATGGAGTCGTCATTTCCTCTTGGACTACTGATTCCTGGCTCCGCAACCTCGATCTCACTGGTTTCAACGGCTTCATCAACACGCAAAAGTCCTCTTCTCGGCTCACCATCACGAATGTTGTGATGAACCGCGATGGTCTTACGGATAATGGCGCGGGCTACGCTCTGGATATCTCCATTGAAGGGACTCAAGTCCTTGTTCATAACTGTAAGACAGCGGGTGGGGAAGGTACCAAGAGCTACGGTATTGCTACAAAGACCCTGACAGCGGGACCAAACGCATGTATTGGGTACGAAGCACAGCAGCCCGTTGTAAGCATGGAGCCACACCAGAGGTGGGCGCACGGCTTTTTGCTTGAAGGCAGTACAAACGCAGCGGTCGTGTTGAGAGATCGTGCTGGCGCAGGTACTGGGCAGGGCTTGTCGATAAACAACGGTAATGAGCACGCTCTGTAGGTCGTCGATGTTGCATACTGACATTTGGCTAGGGGTCGCTTGGAACACAAATGCCTCATCCTACACGGTTCAAAACCCGCCGCTCGGACAGAACTACTGCTTTGGTTGCGTTGGGCCAAAGAACCCCAAGCTCGTCAACAATGGCACATACGAGTCTTATGGAACTTTCGTAGACGTGAGCATTGCTGCAATCCATCTATATTGCGATCATACACTGACTCCTCTAACAGCCATCATCGCTCTTCAAGGCTCAATTACGTGATCGTGGATTCTCTTTCCAACTTTAGTCACTTTATCAAGCTCGTCTCAGCTTATATACCACTCGTATACTGTCCCAGTCTCGACATGCGCAGGCTAGGAGTCTGACTTCCGTTCTATTTCTTTTGTAATTACTTTCCAACCTCGAGTGCTGTTCGAAGTTTACACAGAAACTTATGTTGTTCTTTTTGCTCATCTTATCTTTAAAACTACAAACGACATTTTGACCTCAAAATGTCTCAACGCGTGATGATGTGCGAGAGCAGCCCTACGTCATGTCCTTGATGCGGTGAGGGTTCATCCTCGATTCCTCTGCACTCCCTGACTTCACAGCACGCTCTGAGATCTAAACTGCAATAGCTCCTCCTTGTAGCAGCGTACGCCACGCACGCCACGCATGCCACAAATATACAACACATTACCACGAAGAAGACACGCAGGAAACTTCCATGAACTCGAAATAATTATGCATCACTTCTCCTAGCAGAGGAAGGACATCATCTCCGTCACCAAGCTCTCGGGTCACAGCCTGTGAATATATGTCGCTATGACAATGACAACATCTGTATCCTTCAAGGTTGAAAGAACTATGTGGGCTACCAGAAATTACAATGCAGGTGTATTACTCGTGGTCAGGTCCAAATAAGGTCGTATTGACTATCGCTCATCGTCTTCTCCTTCGTCAATACCCGCGCAAGGACGTGCCACATGGCCAGTGGAAGTTGACGTTCCTTTTCTGCACAACGCTCCAAAAATCAATACATTAATCATGTAGTGGTTCAGGGACACAATCGCGGGATAATGGGGGGTGGGGGGAGCTGCGATGGCACCATCGCCGGCCGGTATGCGCATTCTCTGTGGTAGATTTAGCATGACAATGCAAACTTCTCCAATCGATGCGATGTGCTTAATTCCGACATTATTCGGCAAAGGGCAGTCAGCTTCGAGGTTAGACAAGATGCATGCAGTCAAAATGACTGCGTCTACAATAAAGTATCGGCTCAATAGTCTGTTGGACATGTGTTTGCGTCGACAAACAGGAGAATGGGCCGATGTGGATCGGTGTCAAACAAGACACACTCAGCCGAAGGACTGACTTGGTGTTGCTCCAGAACTGGTGCGACTGAGTCCATTCTTTAGGCGGCAATGTACCGCGCCCATGTCTGAGACTCAGGCGCGTACCAACCATAAGCTGCCTTCGATTTGAATGCGCTGTGGAACAAGAGAGGAAAGAGAAAGGAGAAGCTAGGGCCTTGTTGGTGTGAGATAATCGCGGGCTCGAATAGAACATGAGAAGACGACAGGGTTTAGTCACCAGGCTGTCATGCTTGCAGGTATGTGGCGAGAGACGAAGCGGTGCCTACAAGCAGCACAAAGTTAAATAGGATGCGACGTGGTAATCAGTCGAGCCAAGGCAGGATGCGAGCTGTCCGGCAAGTGAAGAGCATTCTGGTCGACAAAGAACCTGGTTCTTTGGCATGCAGTCGCGCGAGCCGGTGCAACACTTTCCAAGTCGAGCCTGCGGCTGCTTGCGGCATCTTGCGTCTGAGGCACTTGGGAGTGCTGCCCTGTTCAACACGACTGCTGATGTGGAAGCCGAGAGGTGGTAAAGTGATGGGCCGCAAAGCAAGGCCGATCGTTGGAAAACGTCTAGTGGTGTTATTATGCACACAGTGCGAGTAAGCCTGGGCACCCTTGGTCAGCGGTCTGCAGACGGCAGAGAGGTTATCTTCATGTCCGTCGCCTTGGGCTGTAATGCTCCAAGCAAAGCTGAGCGAGCCCATTTGTGCTTAGTGATGTATGACGGCGCAGAGCGGGGAGGGTAATTGTGACCAGATTGCCGGACCCGACGGAGCAACAATGAATCATGTCTGACTACACATATATGTTGGCTGTGAGAACTAGTCGCGTCAGTGCTTCGATTGATGATCAAGAGTGATAGTTTCCTCAACTTGGACCACAAATCACGAGGTGTAGGAGTGTTTGTTGGATGGTTGTCTGCGCCCTCGGCCTTGCATGGCGGGGTCTAGCCTTGGTTGTTGGAGGTCGTGGCGCTGACCCGCAGCAAGCGGAGAAGGCACCAACTGCACCTCATGAATTTGTGATTGCCGCTTGCGGAAAACCAGCGATCCGCGGGGCTTGTCCAGCTCTGATTCCAAGTCGCAAAATTGCCGGACGCTACGGTAATACTGGGCAGGATGTGGTTGTAGGTACATTAGCGTAAATCAGGACTAGATTTAGTGACGATACGGTTGGATTGGACTCGCGGTGTAAAGACTTGCATCAGTGATGTGCAGGATGCTCCTTCCACCCGTCAAACACAGCAACTTGAAACGTTATTGAAATTGGTGATACCGCTCGTGGCGTCAAGACGTCACTCGGCGACCACATCCATCAGCCCCCGTAACGTGCTTCCGTGATGGGGCCGAAGATGAGTTGCAAGCCCGTACGCTGCTCCTATTGGTCACTCGTCATGGTCAAACAACAACAACGACATTCGCTCCACAAGGCAGGAATCGTACACCTGGGTGTTGTCAAGTGGCATCCAACTAGCAGCCGAGTTACGAGGGTTGGCCAGTCATGATTTTGGTCATGCGGCCAGGAACGAGAAGTGGATATAGTTCGTACAGGAGGCTTAGGCAACCAGCTCCAGCAAGCCATGGCACCGGAGGCACAGCAACATGCCATCAAACCGGTGATGGTTGCCTAGGTTGTCCCGATATGTCTCTCTGTGAGGCTCTTGATTGCCCAGGGGCTGGAGCTCAGAGCATTCCATCTGTTTGGGTTCGTCCTACCTACTTGATTAAGTAAAAGCGGGGCAGGCATCGAGAAGTCTCAAGATTGGCTTTCGGAGGCCAGAAGACGACGTGGTACGAAGAGGCTAAACTCAACGCAGAGGGCTGTCGCATGGGCGGTCGCATGGGCGAGGACCAAGACCAGATGCAATGGCGAGACGTAGTCTGTCTACCGCGATTTGGTGCTGTGGTGCTCGTCTAAGCATGATGCAAAGCGTCATCGTAATCGGGCAGCGCACGTAAAGGCGGGCGGGCAGTATACGGTATGCTGAGAGCGATCGGTAAACTCGCGCATCTGTCGGCTTCCGGGAAAAATTGTCCTGGCGAAAGAGGATTGCGGCATTGTGCGTCGCCACTACTCGTACATGTCAATCAATGTTGAGGCTCGCCTGAACCGCTATCGGCCTCGCGAACGGCCAGCGTGACCGCAGTTCGCTAACGAAAACAACCTTGGAATAATGGTGTCAGGCGACGCCGGAACACTCGGTGTAGATAGATGATCGTTGCAGGTGAAGGACGGGGCCTGATGCCTACATGGTCGACAGTCGAACGTGTTAGTGCAATGCATGTACGCGTCGAGGAGGGGCGCGGTACGTATCAACGCGCCGTGGGCCGACCAATAACGCTTCCTAAAGTGGCGTAGATTGGTCTTACACAGCTAACGTTTTCTCGAGGCTGGGCAGCGACTCGTGCTCGTATGGGAGCATGGCCGTGCCGAGGGACGTCCATGTCGCGCCTCCAGGATCCCTGAAAGTAACTTCTGCCCTCTCTATTCTGCGCCGGAACAAGCATGAGCCATCTCCACAAAGGTCACTTGGTCTGACTTGATTGTTGTTGCAAAAACTCTGCATGCGGAAGGTGCGTGTGTGCGCTTGTGTCAACGGTGTATGGTTGCAAGGGTGGCATTTTGCTGACAAGAAGCCGATTCTGTACAGCAACTCAAACCATGCTCACGGCCGTGGCTGTAACACGATAACAAGGCGTGTCTATTCAAAGTGTCTCCATAACAGGCATTCCACGGCGGACAGCACAGAGCAGGAGGCGTGCATGTTTGAGATGTGTAGCTCAATTGTATGGAGTCTTTGGGAAATAATGGCAATCCATGTCCAACACAAAGTCGGTGCTGTGCCTCGCCATGACACAGCAGGAAACAGGGCGCTAGCTCATTACAGGGGAACAAGCGTGGTGCAGCAATTGTTACCTCTCCCAGCTCACTCCCGAGATCCTACACGGATTACGTATGCATCTATTTTTTCACCGTCACCGTCCGAGGAAAGAGCGTCGGCCACCCCTGTCGTAGCACGTCCAGCGCTATCGAGTAGGACGGCAGCTCCATGGTTCCAGCAAGGCCTTTGGCGAAGCAAGAAACGCCGACACCATCAGGAATCGCAAACATGGACTATTTCCAAAGGCCGCCGGCTGTAGCGTCTCCCTTGCGTCGCTTGCTGATGGGCAATCTCGTCACAGTTGCACGACTAGCGCTGCCGGGCTCAGCAGAGGCGTTCCCTACCATGCCGGTCCACTTGCGAGCTGCCAAGGACAGCAAAGGCAAAAGCAATGCCGATTCATGAGCGTGTCGCTGGGCCAAGACCGAGTCACAAAGCCGCAAACGACGGATACTTGCTGGTACAATGTGCATTGGGCATTTGGCATTTGGCATGCGTTGATGTCGGCGTGCATTCGTTAGGGGAGTGGCGTGCGGCGTGCCATCTTTCACGCACAAAGAAGCGCGAGCCTTGAGGATGCACCGAGCAAGGCGCGCGCTATACGTGGATGCGTGTTTCGCCAGGGGCGCGCTGAAGGCGGTGCCAGGTCCTGCGGTGCAAATTGTCTCGACTTAAGATGGTCGTGTCTAGCGAAGCGAGGGCAGAGGTTGATTCGCCGGAAGCGGCGGGGCCCGATGAATGCACTGAATGCACTGAATGCACGCAGCTACGGTCCGTGTGATTGGGAGGGCACACGATGCAAATAAATTTGCGTGAGGATTGCAAGATCAGCAGCGCTCGCTCAAACCTGAGCCTTTGCAGGCTTCGCGTTGGAACAGGGTTCGGGCCTCGGACTTGGGACATGGTTAGGGTAAAGTATGGAGGCAAGTCACGCAGTCATAGCACAAACGGGCTGGCGACGCGGCTCGCGGTGCTCGTATTGCTCCTGATATTGGCGGCCACACGGCAGCTGGGAGTCGGTCTGCTTTTTGAGGCCAGGACTCTGGAGCCAGTGCACTGAGTGCAGCAGCGCGCGAGGGCGGTCCCCACTGCGACGGTGCCGGAGCCACTCAGCGGAGGGGGTGCACAGTCAAACACGGCATGAGCGGAATTGTGGTCGCGTGAAATGCTCTTCCAGACCGGGCGGCCTGTGTCTGTGTGTCTGATGATTCTGGTCCGCCGTCGAGCTGCATCAAGTGTGCACGACGCTATCTGTCGCGCTGCGTGTGGCTAACGCGAGCGGCTTACCTACAGGCTGCGTGTGGCCAGTAGCAGGCACGGAGGGAGTGCGGTGTCCTCATGGTCATGGTCGTAGTCGTGGTCCGCCTTGGCTGGGGCCGGTGGTGGCCGTGTGCGTAAGGGGACTCACAGCGACAATCTCATCTGGCGACGGCACTGGTCCGGGGAGCGGGCACACGGCATGGGTGGTGGGTGGGTGGTGGTGCTGGGTGCTGGGTGCAGAGAATTGACGAGCATTGAGGCCCGCCAGCGCTATCGTTTCTGCCTGGATTGAGTGTCCCACCGCGGTAGCAGACAGGCTTCGGAGCGTCGACGTGCGGTGGGGGTCCTCTCCGCGCAGCCGACCAATGAGGGTGTGAGTGACCAGCTGCGCCGCTTCGGGCATGGCACCGCGACACGGGGACACTGCGACACTGGCCATCTGGCCATGGGATTAGGATTTGATTATGGAGCGCCATCCATCGCCAGAGCCCTCTGACCCGCTGCTTTTGCCTTTGTCGTGTCGTCGCGTCCGGCGAGGGCTGAGCTGGTGGCTGATGAGCAAGCACTCCTAACTAACAGTGCCACTAACTGCTCCGCCAGCTGCATCAACCTTCCATGTTCCATCTTCAGTCTTCAGTCTTCAGTCTTCAGTCTTCAGTCTTGCATAGCATTACGCAGCAAGCGGGCGCGAGCGAACGCAGCGCGGCTCCTGGCTGCAAAGGCGTGCTTGGATGTTTGAGCGACAAGACGATGCCGGGATTGTCGACCACGATTACGCTTGCAACGCCCGTGTCTCTGGCGTCCGTGCGCGCCAGGGAGCTAAGCATGCGTAGGTGCAGGCGCGGTCGGTTGATGTCAGAACTTGCATGTATCAGTCTTCTCTAGGTCTGCCACCCCTGGAAACGATGCCGCCTCAATGAATTATGTACCGACTACCGTACGAACGTCTACTTGTACTACTTGACTGTTCACTTAGCAACAAACGGACCGAACCACGGCTACCATGCTGGTGTGTAGTCCAGCGCTCCACATCCACCATCCACAATTCCGCTGCCGCGTAGTAACAATCAATCCAGCCTGACCGAGCATAGTATCAGCATTCACCACCACCATCGTGCCCATCGTGCCGGCGTTTTCCTTTCTGCCTTTCTGTGCACCCTTCACCCTTTCGTTGCTTCATGTCTTCACGTCTTCTCTGTACATAGCCAGCTGCCTCCACCGCCCGCCCCCGGAAACGACGTTGCATCACCACATATTTGCACCGCTGCCTGTCAACAACCTCCTGCCGTCTCCTTGCTTGACTCGACTTCACCACCCGTCCACGCACTCACTCTTGCATCACGCAATGCAGTGAAGGCCCGCAGCGTGCAAACACCACCACACCCAATAGTCCGCCCATGCCCGCCGCCTCACCGTGAGCACGCCGCCGTCCTCACCTCCCTCACCGTCGCCCGACCTGCCTGCACCGTCGTCCACATGCTCGAGCTACAGCTCCCTCGCCCAATGCCTCACGCTCTGCCCCGGGAGCCTCCCTTCGACTTCTACGCCTCCTCCTCCCGCTCCATGTCCAAGCTGGACTCCACCATGCAGCTCCCAATGCCTCGCATGGCCACCGGTCACGATCACGTCCAGAGAGCGCCCCTCACACCCCCCAGACCTTCCAGGCTCGGACAGTGAGGGTAGTCTCACTGCCACCTAATCAGGGTGCTGGCCATCAGTATGGTTACCAACTACCCGCCATCGGAAACTCGAGGTCTGTGGCTGCTCCACGAAGCCCCAGTCCGCAACGCCAGGCCCAGCAGCCGCCACAAGAACGTCACCCACACACCACGCAAGAAGTGGTCTATTTCGCCCAACTTGCGGATACCCCCAACCATCAGCACTCCGCAAGAGGGCTTGCCTCAACTCGCAGACGAGGTAAGTTTCGTGAGGGAGCAATTCAGTGCCAAGGCTGACATGTCCAGATTACGTGCCTATTTTGGTTCGAAAGCTCAACCACACTCAAGCAAGTCCTCGATCCAGACTCGTCACCACACGCCATACAGCCCCTCGTGCCCGATGCACACCCCACGATCGGTTTCAAGAAATGGGTAGCCACCATCCTCACAACCACGCAGGTCGCCCAGAACGTAAATCCTGCTCGCCTTGCTTTTCATCTACAGGCTGAAACTCACCAACCCCACACGTCAAGGGCAAGCCTGGTAGCGAATATCGACTATTGACCGTAGCGCTCATGCTTGGCAACAAGTTTTTGGACGACAACACCTACACTAACAAGACGTGGGCAGAGGTCTCGGGCATCTCGGTGCAAGAGGTGCACATCATGGAAGTCGAGTTCTTGAGCAACATGAGATACAGCCTGTTCACATCGAAGGAGAGGTGGGAAGAGTGGCACACTGTCTTGGGCAAGTTTGGAACCTTCTTCGACAAGGCTTCGCGCATTCCAGCTTCAGGCACCATCAGCCCTGTCGGCCCCCCGACTCCTTCTCTAGCTGTGCCGCACAACTTCGTCCCGTCACCACCAACCGCCCAACAAACATCACCTCCGACCGCAATGATGTACTCACCGAACCATGCTGCGTTTTCCAACACACCTCTGTTGCAGCCTCAGGCGACATCAACCACAGTGTCTCCAATTGGCTCCCTGCCTGAACTTGGTCCAATCGTGCGCAAACGCAGCGCTGACTACGGCGCTGAGCAATCGTTCAAACGCCAAGCTCACGGCTTTGCCCCTGGCCCTTATGGCAATGCTCCTCCCATTCCAACGCTGCAAACACCAGTGAACAGGTCTTTCGAGGTTCCACCTTCAGTCAATCGTCTGCCACCACTGCCCAGCTTGTCGATCCCTGCACCACAGCCAATGCAGCCTGCACAGGGAAAGAATTGGTCAGAACTGCCACTCCCCGGACCCGGTGCCCGTTCGATGGCTATGGTGTACCCTCCCCCTGTTCAATGGCAACAACCTATTGGCACTCCAACATCCATGCCTGCGCCTCCGTTCTCCAACAACTACACTCCCACTTCTTCGTCCCGCCAGATGAGCCCGTATCCGCCTTCTGCTGGTTCCTCTCCGGTTAGCGCATACCCAACATCGGCTTCAAGGCAGCTGTCTCCATCACATTTCCTGAATCAGCGGCAATCGCCTTATCGACCTGTTCGTGGTGTCCATACCCTTCTCGTACCCCCACCGCCGACGTCGATGCACAATCCGGCACAAAACATCGGATACAACCAAATGCAGTATCAACCCCTGGGTCGCCCCAACACTGAGCGCCGCGCAGGCCTCCTGCCGTACATGGACCGCAATGCGTGGCCCGAGACGAATCAGTTCAACCAGCTGCCCATCCCCCAACAACCCATCTTTCGGTGAAAGATGGCACATTCTCTTTCATGTATCGACTTGCACACCATGGGGATCTTTTGTGAACCCCAGTTCTTTCTTTTGACGTCACATTCTATCTGCTGCGTTTGAGCGTGCATTGCATTTGATGGCGTATTCTGGGAGCCATGACAGCACTCAATTGACTTGAGACGGCTATTCGGGTATCATAGTTGAGAGCATTTTTTGGCGTTCATGTACACTAATCAACGGGACCCACGTCGGGTCCTTGTGGATATTGGAATGGGATCTGTTAGCCTGACGTTGAGCACGCAGTCACATCGGCTTGGTACAACAGGCAAGATTTTGCAAAGTCGGGCATCGGGAGGAAGGGCTAGTACAATAATAGCGATGATGAGCCCCCGATCATAAAAATGAAGGACTAAACTAGGGCCTTTTGGCCTGCATTCGAGATGCTGACCTTGAGCTTGGCAATGGATAAGTGACTCCACTTGTTGTAAGGTTCCGCATGATGTGATGATTACTGTGACGTTTATTTCAATGACGGCAACGGAAGGCGGTTGATTGGTTTGAGCTAAGCGAGGTGGTTCGCGCTCCGGGGTCAGAGTTCGGGCCTTTTGTTGGGTAGATGCGAAGACTGACTTCGGGGACCAATTATTTGTGATGATCATTCATGGTGCAAGGTTTCCAGTGTCTCTGGAAATGTGGTGGTGAGAAAGTTGCCGGACCAATGGTAGTCGTGGGGCATGTGCAACCGACTGACTGGACGGACTTGTTGGGGAACGCCCGGGAAATAGATGGTCCTATATTGTTCCACGGTGGAGAGCGTTTCGAGGTGCGAAGGCCGAAAGTCAGCACGGGGTAACTTGGCTCTCGGACTCTTGGTGGGCAGATTGGGATTTGACAATTCTAGGCAGACTAGTGGTCTGTTCGCTGTTGGGAAGAGGCACAAGGCAATACGAGATGCTAGTGATGGTGATTGACAAGAAATATATTGGCCGTCATCTATCTCGGTACCGTATCATACACGCCGTGTCAATACAGAAATTGGACATGGATGCTAGAACAGCTTGTTGTCCGCACTGGCCTTGGCGGCATCTCTTCTCGCACTCTGCTTCTTCCTGTCCTTGGCCTCACCCGGGGGCTTGAAGAACAGACTCGGGCTCTCTCCCTGCTTGACGGTGTAGCTCAGATATCCTCTGTGCGCCGGGTCGCGGTAGTACTCAATGTCCTTTCTCGCCGTGGCGTCGGGCAATCTGTACTTGTACTTTTCGCCGAGCTTCTTCAGCAGAGCGGCCATGGCTTCCTTCTTCGCGGCATCGCTTGCGGTGGCGGACTGGAGGGACGAGAGGATGGGTGAGGTGAGGAGTTGGGGAGTCGACGCGGAGGCGAGGCTGATGAGGTCGGAGGAGGACTGAATGGATATGGTGGGGTGGGAGTCGCCGCGCAGCACGCGCTTGATGGATGTGGGGGAGTAGAAGCGCGTGGTCACGGAGCCGCCGAGAGCCTCGATGCGTTCGATGGCTTCGGCGGAGGCGCGGGAAACAACAATGTGGATGGCTGAGGTCAATTGCTCGGGGTTCTGTCACGTGTGTATTAGCCATGGTCGCCATATCCGTCGTTGGAGCGGAGGGAGCCAACGCACTCGTGCCAGCAGCTTCACGCCGTGACGCTTGACGCCGTGCAGACAGCGTGACCTGTGCAAGTCCTTGATTGTGATGGGCTTGGAGGGATCCAGGCGGCCCTGGTCGATCCACGACTGTATGCGGTCGAGGTTGATGGGCGACATTTCCACCTTGAAGCTGGCCCGTGTCAGCACTCTTCACTGTATCTCAACACATGCATCTCTGCATCTCATTCGACGTACGGATTGTACTTTCCCCTCCCCCTCTCCGGGTTCGTGATGGACTGCGGCGTCTGTCCTCCCTCGAAGCCTGCCGGCACCTTTCCGTGCGCATGCTGACCCTTTTGGCCTCTGCCACCCGTCTTTCCCTTGCCTGACGCCGGGCCACGGCCGCGGCGGATCTTCTTGTTATAGGCGCCCTTGTTGTCTGACAGCGACGAGAGAATGGATGCGCATCGTTGCTGGGCCGGCACGAGGAACGGGGCGATGGAGGCAGCAGCCGTGGTCCGGGGCGATATCGAGAGCAGCGATAGTGCGAGGCGCGTGGCCTGTAACCGGGGCGGCATGGCTGTGATGGTGCGTGGCCGTCTACGCGTCAGTTCCCTTCCTCGTCGTGGTGTTGATGCTGCACATGGCGAAATTCCTGGCGCCAAGCTGCACTCCCGCGGCCTAAGTTGACCGGCTCCACTCTGATCGCTCCCTACTCCCCTTGCACATCGACATGCACCCGCCACAGTGTATAGAATGCTTTCCATTGACCCAGATATGTCATACAACTCGATCAAGTCGGGCCTCAAAACATGTGAGAACAATGGACAGCCTCATGTTCAAGACTTGTTCACGTTTGCGGCTAGGCTACACTATCACGATTTAGAGCATGGCCATTGCATCTCGACATTTCAAACAAATCGATTTTGGTAGTCCGAACCTCATGGTCAAAGGCTCATAATAATTACAATCCATCTGTGTCACGTTACAAATCATCCATTCCACGCCTCAGCCAGCACCTTCAATCCTAAGTCGACTTGACATAGGGAGGCGCATCAGGGTCCTCCATACACTGGTCAACACGCATGAGGTCCTTGCCAGTCTTCTTGGCAATCTGGATGAACTCCCGGAGGTAGCTCACAGTGGATGGGTACAGGTAGTGCAACACCACCAGGTTACCACCCTTGTTGACATCACGCTGGAAAGCAACCTTCTGCTGCTCAGGCGTGTTGGTCTCAGCCCACAACCCAGTCCTCAACATCGACCGAACCAGTTGGTGATGGTAGCCTTGCTGCCGACAGCCTTTACAAGACGGGAGCGCATGCGCGCACCCTCGTTACCAAAAGGAGGGCGGAAGTAAGGCGTGGTGTAACCGTTGAACTGGGACTTCATGGCCTTGATGTCCTCGTTGTACTCCCAGTCGATAGCGGCGTAGTCGGGAAGCGACTCCATCTTGGGGTGAGTGAAGGAGTGTAGGGCAAGTTGGTGGCCAGCGGCTTGCATCTCCTTGTACACGTTGGTGAGGTTCGTGCCTGCGTCGAGGAGGGGAGCGCCGACGGTGAAGAAGGTGACCTTGATGTTCTCCTGTCCGCGGATGATCTTGAGAACTTCCTGGGCGAGACCTGGTACACCATCGTCGATGGCAAAAGCGAATGAGTTGGGGCGCTTGCAGGAGAAGACCAGGTTACCAGTCTCGTCCTTGGGTGGGATGCCGAAACCAGCGGGAACAGAGGGCACAATCTCAACGACAGAGAGGGTGACAGGATCGGCAGAGTAGAAACCCTTGAATGCGAAGCCAATGACGCGGGAGAAGTCGACATTGAAATGGCTCATGGGAATGTAGATGTTGCCGTCCTTAGCATAGCGGGAAACCTCAGCAGAGTCCCATGTCTCCGGGAAAGGAGCAACATCGGCATTGCAACCCTTGTTGTGCTGCTGAAGAGCGACGGTGAACTTGGTGTTTCCAGAGTACGCAATGTGAAGGTAAGAGCCCTTGTACTTGCTGTAGTCGCTGCAGGAGCCAGAGACTTGGGTGTAGAAGGAGTAGTCAGCATCGCTGGAGGTGATGGTGAGCTTTCCGCCGTTGTACTTGAGAGTCATGCCCTCGTCGCCACCGTGCCAGTTGCCGAGAGCGTTGGAGTCAGCGTTGGCGAACTTGTCAACGACAAGGGTGGCCGCGGCGGTGTTGGCGGGTGCGGCAATGGTAGTCTGGGAGCCAGAGCCACCCTCAACAGGTGGAACCCTTGTATTCACCCGTCTCACCGCAGTAGAAAGCCATGGGGGCCGAAGTCAAAAGTGGTTGAGAAGCCGGAGAACAGAATTCGTCGTAAGCTTCTCCACGTTGAGAGTGTTGCCAAACTTGGAGAAGGGAATCAGGTAGAGTTTCTCGGTGCCATCAAAGCTCCAACCGAGATCTGCAGAAGACTTGAACGTGGAAACGGCATTAACGGGGTCGCAGTTGTTGGAAGAGTCAAGCTGCACTGAGAGAGTGGCACCTTTGGGAGCCCTGATGCGCAGAGAAATACCGCCATACTTGTTCTTAGCATTGACGCAGGGAAACTGACTGTAGAAGTAAGAGTTGCTGCCATTGGGAACAATTTCGACATGGTTGGGTGAAGGCTTTCCGACTGTAATGGACTTTACAGTGCCATCGGTCGAGGTAGGGTAGTTAAAGGCGTTGTAGAACAAGAAGGTAAGACGAGACTGGGAGATCCAGTCATCGATGAGCAGAGGAGCGCAGGTACCAGAAGCTGCAGCGGCGGACGAAACCGTCACCATGGTGCTGCGCGAGGCAGGAACGCTGGCGCTAGTAGCCCTGGTTGCAGAGGGAGCGGCAGAGGAGGCGGCCTTGCTGGCCGAAGGGGCGACAGAGCTGGCTGCGGCCTTGGTGGAGCTGGGGGCGCCACCAGAAGAAGCAGAGCATGCAAAGTCAATGGCACTCATCTGCCACGTAGTGGTAGTGGAAGAGAAACCAGACCAGACGATACCAGTGACGGCGTTTCCATTGGCGCCAGCGAAGCTGCTGAAAGGAATGGTGACGGTCTGAGTGTTGCCAGTCAATCCAGTGAGTTGGTAGTAGTACGACTTGTAGCTTGCATCGGAGCAAGCTGTCTTGGTCTGGAGCTCGACGACCAGGGAACCCTTGGCGGGGCCCTTGATGTTGAACTGGAGGCCGCTCAGTCCGTTGCTGCTGGCAGCCTGGCAAGGGAACGTCTCGTAAAAGTATGAGCTGGACTTGGGCTTGAAGCTGAGCACTCCATTGCTCGCGGATATGGAGCTCATAGATCCATCGTCTGCAGACTGTCAGGAACCGTGCGGCGGTTCGGATGATTGGGTACATACCACTAGTCCATTCACCAAAGTTGTTCAGACTGCTTGACTTTTTGGAGAAGTCATCGATCTTGGTGTTGGAGGAGCAGGCGGCGTAAACGTGGTTGGCAAAAGCGGCCGTAAGGCCTATTAATGTAAAAGTACGCATATTAAACGTAGTGTAGCGAGAGACTGTGGAAAAGCGAATGTACAGAAGTCAGATGTGACTTCCAAGGGTTGAGTTGGACCCCAACGAATTGGTGAAGAGGTACAGAGGATCAGGACGATAACTCGTGGAGAGCAAAGTCCAGGCGGCTGCTTCCCAATACATATAATACCGCCCCGAGGCAGCGGCGCCATGCATGACACGGCCGACATATGTCTAGCGGACTGGGCATACAAGCCTTCGCGAGGAAAACATCTATTTAGGGCAGCCAGCACTCGGCAATTGCAGATCTATCGAACGCCCCTTAGCCTAGAGCAGGCTGGCTGGTGCTGGATGTGGGAATTGGTGCGCGGTTAGGGCATGGCGACCCCTGAGACGGGTGCTTCGTCTCTACTGGTTTGTGGAGACGTTCCGCACAGAAGCCTACCCATGTCTCTTGTGCTGTAGGGCTGCAACGAAGACGGCAATACGGCGTGGTGCAAACGCTGCTGGCAGAATGCTCTCCGTGCAGGCGACGAGCAAGTGGCGTGCGCATCTGGTCGGAAGGCCATGGTCGAGCTGCAGCATTGAGCCGATTTTCCCACCACCCAGCTAGAAGTAGTCCGGGTGGGGCTGAAACTACCAAGAACATTGGATGCTAGGATGCTTTCCACAAACAGACCCTGCCCTCTCTGCGGGTAAACAAATCATCGACACGGACAGCTATACTCGGGTTGCGAGATGAAGTATATCCAAGCCGTCCTTGGTCGTCGTCGCCCAGGACGCGAACGAAGGTACCGGCGAGTTGTCTCTGTGGTGGCGGGCTACTAGCAAAGCAAGAAGCGAGCGATGGCGTTGAGCAGAATGCCACGCGAATGGGCGCTCCGAGCACGAGCCGGTGGTGTGAGCTCTGCAGACACGAGGTTGAGGTCGGACAAGACACAGCAAGCGACATGCTTGCGTGAATCAGGCATCCCTCTCTCGCGGCGAGCGGCAGCGGTCCTTCTTCGCCGCAACCGCTATCTGGAGGGCCTGATGAACCGTCCATCTAATGCGATGATCAACATCGACATGTCCCTGTTCGAACGCAAAGCTGCTTCGAGCAGTCGCTTTTTGCAATCTTTCTTGGTGGCGTCGTATTCGTAGTTTCTGCTTCTGCTTCTGCTTCTGCTTCTGCTTCTGCGCCTCGTGCGTTGATGTTGTCGGGCGCATGTTCGTCTGGATCGGATTCCGCTCGAGCTACCCCTGCCCAGCCGACGAAAAAGGACCCGGCCGCGTGCCGAGACTGCCCTTCAGCTCCGCCACCGACTACCGTTTCAGTGAGTCGCAGCTTGATAAAGTTAGCATCCTGTCACTAATTGGAATTTGATGAATTCTGGGGCTCGGTTTATCCCGAGCATCATCAGCGTTGGTAGGGCTGCTGCGTGTTTCTTCGTCCTCCATTTCACATCGACATCTCCTGCGACTCTCGTCGCGAGCCCGCTCTCCTCCCGACGTCACACAGCTCGTTCACCTGCTGTGTCTATGATAATCTTATTGCACCCGAGCACCCTCCATGTCGCCCACTGCCATGCCTGCCTGGCACGACATGGTTCTCGTATGTCATCAAGCATGTCGTGCTCTCAAGGTGGGCGTCTTATTCAATGCACGTATGGTGTACATTGCCCACAGACCTGCAACTTTACGAAAGGACCCGCTCCACGAGCATACCATGGAGGATGCTAGTAGCCCGCCTATTCGACGTGTCTCGTCCGCAATGTCACGGCAAGGTGATGAGCTGGAGAGACTGAAGGTCTACTTGCGTTACTCTGTACAATCCAAGACATCTTCAGAACCTCATTGCACCAGCAGTACAGCCTCACAGGACTTGGTATAATTGTTGTCGTGCAAAAGAACATGGTACTTCGTACATTCAACTAGCTTACACGGAGCTAAACTCTTCTCAGCTAAGTCGACCCCGCTGACCGTCATCCACGCCCGTGTGCATCATCACTTTCTGACGTTACCACTGTGCCATCTTACTCCAGAATACTCTGCTTTTTGTGTACAATCGGATGCGCGCTGTGAACCGTCTGAAGCGATTCTTTACACCAATCCCGCAACAACGTACTATGTCTAATACCACCGAGTTTGTGCGATCCCGCTCTCTTGAGCAGCATGGTTACTGATACATGTAGTCTCGTGAGGCTTGCACAGAAGCTCGTTGCAGATGGTCCACACAAATCTCAACATACCCCTAGACGTGTGCGAGGTCTATTCAACGGTAAATACGCATTCGATACCACCAAGGCATGTCATGTCTGGGAACATCCGAATTATCCCCAGTCAGTCAAACTGCACAAGCAAGCTACCCTCAGTCTGATGGTGACAGGTTTTACGTGCCAGTTTCATGCTTTACCTCGGATGCGAGTCTCGAAAGGCTAGGCTCAATAGACGGCACCAAAGGCGCCGCTCACCTGGGCCGCTTGACTATTGGAACCCATAGCACCGATCGCGTCGTTATTTTCAGCACGAGCACCCTCAAGGACCTGGTCAAAGTTGATTTCAGAGCGATAGACCAATGGTTTGAAGAAGACGTGCCCATATTCTGCCACCCAAAAGATCCTTATAAGCGCATCGACATTCTGCAATCCACGCGTAGTGTTAAAGTTGCCATTGATGGTATCACACTTGCTGAAACACCGAACCCTTTGTTCCTCCTAGAGACGACATTGCGGACGAGGTATTACTTGCCACCCACGAGCGTAAAGTGGGAGTATCTTGTGCCCAGCGATATGGCATCCTTGTGTCCGTACAAGGGCAGGGCGAACTATTACCACGTCAAAGTGAACGGAAAGATATACAAAGACATAGTCTGGTACTACAGGTACCCGACGCCCGAGAGCGCGCCCGTCGCTGGGCATTTGTGCTTTTACAACGAGATGGTTGATATATGGGTAGACGGAGAAAAGGAAGAGAATTAGTTGATATTGGCGACCTTCATACAAGAAAAGCGGAATTTGACCCCTCGTTGCTATTGACTCTTCCTAGTAGGCCCTTCTCACTCATCTGCCGCTCACCGGTCATAGTTTCCTTCGGGTCATAATTCGCCTCCAAATCCTGCAAGCGCTCACAGTTCGCTCAGACACGTCTCTGGTTTATTCTTGCTAGTCTACATATAGTCGGCATCTGGTTCATGGATAGCATGCCCCAATGGAAGACCTGTTACGGTCGTCCCTTAAATTTTTCGCACTTTAACACACTGCTTTGCTTTCGCCGACTTCGCGCCACCTTTTTCAAGATGATGTTGACTGAGTCAGCTTAGCGTCGTTGCTCATGCCATGCTACGTCATTGCAGCCGTCTGCTTCGCGAGCAAACTCGAAGCGCGGCCCAGAAAAGAGAATAGTCCGTAGTTTCCGGGGATGGAGTGTTGTATGTACCCCGCATGATGCTGCCGAACAAGTTCCCGGCTCGTCCGTTCTCGGCCGATCGAAGTCCTTTCCCCACACTACAACCCCAGGAAGCTTAGTGGCCATCGTACAAGGCAACGATGACCACGAAATACTTGTTCCTCACCCATGGCGGACGTAGAAATCCATTCTCGTACCGACATTGTACCGAAGTTGAAGACGATGTGCGCCACAATCTGATGGTCGGAACTACATAAATGGCTTGAGCCCGTCTGGCTCCTGCCAGTACAGCTTGCAACGCAAACATGAAGCCGTACGCTATTATCGTTGGATGTACGGTGGCTGCGGCCCAGCAAGTCTACGCTCCGGCCAATGGAACTACTTCACAGCCTGGATGCTCAGCAAACAACAGCTACGCGACTGCCCAGCCTTCATACTTCTTCCAGCCATTCAGCTTCACGCAAACCGAAACTGTGCGCACTGCAACTTCTCGCCCGGCTCCCACTGTCACAAAGACACACGCAGCACCATATGCGTCACTCAGCAAACTTGTGCCCAATCTCACAACCACGCAATGGGGCAATTGGTATCCGTCGGCCAACGCTACGGCTACAGATGTTGGTAACCCGTACGGGAATGCATCCTGGAGTGCTCTCTGGAACACCGTGCCATGGGTCAACTTTACGCGGGGAATATATTCAACGACCGTTTCGCCCAAGCCTGTGCCGACTAGCGAGCTGATTCTGCCTCCCCCTGAAGTTTTCAGCGCCCAAACCTGCTACAAGTTTCCAGTTGACTTTATGCTCGGTGTAGCAGCTTCCGCAACCCAGATTGAAGGTGCAGTTGCAGACGAGGGTCGATGCCCAGTTCATACAGATGTCACCACTCTACTTTCACCTGGACGTGCCGATAACTTCATCGCCAATGAGAACTATTATCTCTATAAGCAGGACATAGAGCGTATTGCATCTATGGGCGTGCAGTACTATCGATTTTCGATCCCTTGGGGTCGCATCCTTCCTTTCGTGCTCCCAGGCACTCCAGTCAATCAGCAAGGCCTGGCTCATTACGACGATTTAATCAACTTCGTTCTCGAGAAAGGCATGCAGCCAGCAGTTGTTCTCCACCACACAGATACTCCTCTGCAGTTTTATGGTGGCAATATCTCCAACATTAATATCAAGCCTGGTACAGGAGGAATCGGCTACATTGATGCCGGCTTCCAGCGCTCTTATCAGAACGTATCATTCGAAGACGCCTTCGTTCACTATGGCAAAATCGTCATGACCCATTTCGCCGACCGTGTGCCAATCTGGTGGACTTTCAACGAACCTCTGTTAGGTGCACGTAATGGCAAGTCCATCGACGCGGTTATCAAGGCGCATGCGAGATTATATCACTTTTACCGCAACGAGATCAAGGGCACCGGAAAGGTCTCGCTCACTTTCAACGACAATTTTGGTGTGCCTAAAAACCCCAATAATCAATCAGACGTGGACGCGGCGAATCACTTCAATTCCTTTCAGCTAGCAACCTTCGCCAATCCCATCTTCCTCGGTCAAGACTACCCGGAATCGTATACTTCAACAATCGCTGACCACGTTCCGTTGTCCAAAGAAGATCTGGAGTACATCAACGGTACAGCAGACTTCTTCTCCATTCAGCCATACACAGCGACTGTTGTGAGCCCGCCTCCCAACGACACTATCACAACTTGTGCTACCAATAGTAGCCATCCACTGCAACCTTATTGCGTCACGCAGAGTACAGAGACCACCACAGGCTGGAATATAGGCTACCGCAGCCAGTCTTACGTATACCTGACACCCGCATATTTCCGAACATACTTGAATTACCTATATAACACGTTCAGAGCCCCTGTTGCCGTGACTGAATTCGGCTTTCCAGTCTTCGGAGAGGCGCTGAAAACACAAAAGGATCAAGAGTTTGATAGCCCACGCTCGCTTTACTACCAGTCATATCTCAATGAAGGCTTGAAGGCGATTTGGGAGGACGGTGTAGAGTTCATTGGTGCCTTTGCTTGGTCATGGGCGGACAATTGGGAGTTTGGCGATTACGACCAGCAATTCGGCATCCAGACGGTGAACCGTACAACTCAAGAGAGGCGATACAAGAAGAGCTTCTTTGACTTTGTTGACTTCATTGAGAGTCGGAGACAGGTGTCGTAAGCAAACACAAGGCGATGTTCGTATCTGAGAGGGCCAATGTCTATCTTCGAAGGGAGTTACGAGTAAATTCTACAAGCTTGAGAATTGTTGTCCAAGCCTCCTTATTAGTCGTGTGCCGTGTCGCTTGCAGGATGACTTTGTTAGCCCCTTGCCCCACCTATGTTCGGACATGGGGAAGAGATCGACAAGCCACATCCGTCTATATCGTCATCATCAGTAAATAGCCGAGCATCAAAGATGGTCGCGTAATTGTAAAAAGTGCCATGTTCATTCCACCTCTATCCTTACCTAGAGTTCTCCTCTCCTCATCTTCCTCTGCATTTGATACTATTTGACAGATAAACGCACCTCCATTCTACATACCCAGCCATGGCGATCTCCAAGGCTCACGATCTCAATTGCTTGACGATCAATGAGCTCCAAAAGTTAGCCGCCGAGCGAATGGACAAGCAAACGCGCGACTACTACAACGAGGGCGCAGACTCGGGTTCCACCTTGGCAGAGAACATATCCGCATACCAGAAATATCGCATCAGGCCGCGCGTATTACGAGATATATCTTCTGTCGACACGAGCGTCCCAATCTTTGGCCACAAGAACACCGTCCCTATAGGAGTGGCGCCGACCGCTATGCAAGGTCTTGCACACTCAGAGGGTGAGCTTGCGACAGCACGAGCGTGCAAGAACATGGGCATAGTCATGGGTTTGAGCAGCTTTAGTACAACGAGTTTGGAAGATGTTAAGGGAGCATTGGGGCCTGAACATCCTGGAGCGTTGCAATTGTATCTGTTTGAGGACAGAGGCCAGAGCCAAAGACTGATCCAAAGGGCAAAGAAAGCTGGGTACAAAGCTGCATTCTTGACGGTTGACACACCTGTGCTGGGACGAAGAAATCTCGAAATCCGTAACCAGTTTACGCTGCCGAAACACTTGAAAGTCGCAAACTTCAACCAGGAAGATGGCGGCGAAGATGAAGTTGAAATTAAAGACAGGGACACAGAAGCTACTGAAGAACGGAATGGAAGTGGGCAAGACAGCAGCAAGTCCAAACGAACGCCCCCGACAGGACCGATTACATTCCACACACATGCGCCCAATCCCACTCTCTGCTGGGAGCGCGACATAGCGTGGCTGAAAGAACAATGCCACCCGGAAATGGAGGTATGGGTAAAAGGCATTGCGACAGGCGAAGACGCCCTTCTAGCCTGCCACCACGGGGTCGATGGCATCGTAGTTTCCAATCACGGCGGTCGCCAACTCAACGGCGCGCTCGCAACCATTGACGCATTACCCGAAGTCGCACAAGCGGTACGATCGCAATCGAAGAAGATTCCTGTACATGTAGACGGTGGTATAAGACATGGTACAGACGTGTTCAAAGCTCTTGCACTTGGTGCAGATTTTGTATGGGTTGGCCGACCTGTGCTCTGGGGATTGGCATACAAAGGACAAGAGGGTGTAGAGTTGTGTTTGAAGTTGTTGAGCGATGAGATCAAATTGTGCATGGGCCTTGCCGGGGTAACGAAAGTTGAGGATATTGGAAAGGAGTATCTGGTTAAGATGGACCGCAGTGGGTTTGTTAGTCGCTTGTAGGGCACTGAGAGACGTGGAACTTGTATGTATGCAAACTCAAGATGTTATCTTGAATCGATTTTAGACTGCCTTGATATCATACAGCCGCATCGACGTGTCGTCACTCACGACTGCGACCTGCTGTTGATCTTGTGTCCTAGCTGGCCTCCACACCAGCTGGTTGACAGTCTTTGCCGGACAGAGCTCCGATTTGATCATCGTGATATCCACCTTGTCCAGTGCATCGGTAGCAGCCTTACATATTCCGATCTCACCATTATCGGTAGCAAAGGCGAAGAGGACGCTGCCCTGATGCAGCTGGCTACTACACGCCACAGCCGTGACCGCAGATCCAACGGTTGCTGTACCCTTGAGCTGTACATCTGCGTCTGTAACTTGCCAAGTCTTGATCGACTTGTCTCTCCCAGCTGTCATGAAAGTTGGCTGCTCAAGCGGTGTCCAAGATGCATCCAATATCATTCGAGTATGTCCTTTGGGGTTTGAATGCTTGAGGGTGTACTGCGAAGCCTCGGCGCCACGCTCCCAAATGACCCACTGCCTATCTCGACCGACGCTCAGGAGATACTTATCGTCTGGAGAAAACTGCAATGCGGTCACCGTGAGCGAATGTGCTCTTAGGGGCGGCTTCACTTCCAACCAGTCTTTGGTATCGTAGAGACGTATGACTGCGTGGTCTATCGAGCTCGCGCGACAGGCCGTCGCAACGAGACTGCCGTCTCGGCTAACTGCTACCGCCGAGATCTCGTAGCCGTGGCCATACAGCTTCTCGGTCTCAGGCCAGAGCAGATGTCTTGCTAGGTGATCCTCGAATGGTGGGTGACTGAAGTTAAGAGTCGATTTTCGAATTATAGATGCGGGATCTACGGTTTCACGTTCGTCGTCGTCTCCGTCTTCGATAGGCAGGCTGTCATCCACCGCTTGGATGGCTTTGTTCGAGAGGCCTAGGACTGGGATGTTCGCCGCATCAGGCAGCTCGCTACCGGTATTCGTGATTTGAATATCGCATAGCCTTTTGAGCATCGCTGCAACTCCTTTGGGCTCATCAAACACGCGCAGCAGCTTCTCATCCGCCCCAGAGATGAATTGCGAGGTGGAGATGGCGTCGATGCAATTAAGATCGTAACCGTGGATCTGAGGCCGGGAAAATTCATGCCACGATGCGAGATGATGTTCTCTATTCCACTGCGCGTGCAGTCTTGTAGTCTGATCTGAGCCAGTCGTTATGAAATACGCGCCATCTCGGGACCAACAGACCCCCTTGACTTCTCGAACATGCCCTGTTATGGCGACTTCTTGCGTCCACGTGTCTTGTGTGATGGAGTAGGACCACTTCCTCCAGCTACCGGTGCGTCCAAGGGCTACGATGGAATTACTGTCTGGCGACCAAAGTCCGATCCAGAGTCCACCGGCACTTCCTGTGGCGCTTGTCGAGCCCTTCTGCGCGCTGATCTCCCCGAGTCTTGTAGTGCATATCCAGATACCCGATGTAGGATCACTCTCCCAGATAGCAAGAGAATTATCTTCGGATGTTGAGAGCAGTTGTAGCTTGCCATCTCGGTGTCGCCAGGAAGCTGTGTAAATCCAGTCTTCATGTCCGAGCAGTAACGCTTCAAAAGTCACCGAGAATTTTGAAGCCCGTGACTCTATCCAATGTGCCTTGTTCGAAAGTGACTTGCCAAGGCCACCGAGAGAGGGGTCATTGAGAGCGCTACTTGCGGCAGGGAGCTCGTTGCCACGGTGTATTCTCCAGAGACGTATGTACTTGTCCTGACTTGCTGACACCAGCAGCAGATCGCTGGAATCATTCGAAACCTCTCTTGTAAATGCTAGGGCGCGAATCCAACCCTCGTGTCCAGTCAGAGTGGCAGAAAGCTGGAATTCGGCATGGTGAGAAACGAAGATCTGGATAGTGCTCCGAGTACCTGCGGCTGCTAGAATGATTGATTGATCATCCAAATGGGCTAGCGCAAGGTTTAATGGGAAGTAATTTGGGGAGAGAGTGATGTTTTGGACCAGTTCAACATCGACAGAACTGTACGTGGCATCGTGAACGAGCTTCCATATCTTTACTGTGCCATCCGATGCACCAGTCGCAAAGGTATCTGATCCTGGGAGGGTAGATATCCGGGTGATGGGACCTAAGTGCTCGGATGCGACCTTCAAACATTCGAAAGTAAAGGGTTGTTCGCGTCGAGCGCGCCATAGCCGCAGGGAGCTGTCCGCAGAACCACTGAGAAGAATAGAAACGTCCGGAGATGCTGTCGGAAAGAACTTGACAGCATTGACAGGCTTAGTATGGCCATTCAATGTGGCTCGGACACCACGTAAGTCTGCATCCTTTCCTGATATTAGACCACGCTGGGCGGTTGGCAGGGCTGACTTGCCTGAGGATCCCAGAGAGCGATCGAGTTGTCGGCACCAAAAGCCAACAATTGTAGCCCGTCTTCGTCCCAATCTGCGGCTGCGGGGTTACGATTTCCGCCTACGGAAAGAAACGCGGGTGTAATGTCCATTCTGATCTCCGCAGGTTGCTGTTGCGGAGCTCGATTTACCATAGGTCATCACTGACATTTCTTTGGCGTCTCGCCTAGATTGCCTTAAGCGGACTAGGGGTGATACTTTCATTCATCAAGCGAAGTACATGCCAATGACACCACCTCGCCGATTCCCGACAGCGTGAAATCAGAAATGTCCAACGATGGTGGCGTCCCGATAACGATTGAGTTCAGGTTCGTGCGCTCCTGCACCTTGCGCAATAATTCCATGCTGACGATGTACAGCGGAGGCCTTGAGATTCTCTTCGGCAACCAAAAGAAGTACGCCCTCTCTGTACCCGAGAAAGACGAATCGGGCGCACCAGCAAATGTCGCTTTTCTTGTACGATATTTGTGCGATAATGTCATGAAGGACACGCGCAAAGAGCTGTTCGTATTAGATGATACTGTGTAAGTCGACCAAATCTGAGCACTGTCAATGCCCTAATCACAACATCAACATAGCCGGCCAGGCATTCTTGTACTCATAAATGAGGCGGACTGGGAACTGGAGGGCGAGGATAAGTACGAGCTACAGAAAGGTGATCACATAATGTTCGTTTCGACGCTACATGGTGGGTAGTACTTCTCAAGGGAAAGCATAGCTTGCAATGCAAGAACTCGCTGTATGATCACATACCCTCTACTGTACGTGATGCACGTCTCATTGCTTTGTAGATCCATGCAGAATGTTTGATAGGTTCAAGCTTGCGATTGCTTACATAAGATTATGATCTGCAACTTCCTCGGTAACCTTGGCCAGGCGTACTGTGGTAACAGGCAAAAGTAGTGGGGTGGATCAGGAAGCAGGGATCGGAAATTACAATGGGCTATCTGGTTATATAAGCTTAGTAACCTTAGCATTGAGCAGAAGAACCAATTAGATCAGAGTATATTAGTGAAATCTTAGCAATAGAGATAAAACAGGATGACCGAAATCCGACCTGATCGACGGCTCTTGGCTGACCCACCCCACTACTTTTGCCTGTAACTTGCCTGTAACCACAGTAAACACTGGAACGTGGATAGCGCGCTTGCGTGTTGCATGTGCCAACTGTCTGCCCAAGACCTCTGGCTGCCACCTCACCCGAGCTAAATGCTGACTTGAATCCCATGATCGGGCCGTTATAACGTACATATGGTACATAGCTAACTGCCTCCCACACTGCGCACCTCCAGCCGCGCTTTCCGTCCACGTGCTTCTGCTTCTTCAAACAACGGCTGTCAGCTCTGCTTCCAGCACGCTTGGTACAATCATGGCGAAGCAATTCTTCGTTCCTGCCCATGTCGACCCTTCGCTTTTCGTCATCAATGATGCCCTCCTCGGCACGGGCGGGATCGGCTACACCATCTGCTACATCCTCATGACGCGTCAATCGATCCGCGACCGCACATACGCGATGCCCATATTCTCCTTAGCCTTCAATTTCGCATGGGAGATTATCTTCTCTATCTTCGTCGCCGACGCGGCTCGTGAGAAGGCCGTGTTTGGCCTATGGATGCTTATAGATCTCGGACTCGTGTATGCTGTTGTCCAGTATGGCGCAAATGAGTGGCGGCACGCACCAGCAGTAGGCAAGAACATTGGAAAGATTTTCGCGGGCATGTTGGCATGGTGGTGCATTGCGCTGTACTCCCTAAGCATCTGGTGGCTGAACCCGGCGGATCCTGTGAATCCGAAAGATGGCAAGGCGTACAAGGGTATTAGAGGTATTGATGCGGATGAGTTGGGGTTTTGGACCGCGCTTGTCGACCAGGTTGTCCTGAGTGTAATGTCTCTCGCCCAAATCATCATTAGAGGCAACAGCGGCGGGTCTTCATATGGCATCTGGCTCACGAGATTCGTTGGAAGCTTAGCTGGCCTCAACATGAACTACGCGTACTGTTGGTGGATGTGGCCGGAAGCGCATGGCTACGTGGTCATTCCTATCGTGGTTTTGATGATGGTCACTTGGGTTATAGCAGATCTGGCATACCTAGTTGTCTTATATCACGTCAGACAGACTGAAGTGGTGCTTGGAGACGGACGAAAGGTTAGGGGTGGGTTTGCTTCGAGTGATAAATCCTCCTAAGTGTCGATGCCTTGTACTCCAATCAGATCAAACTTTCACCTCCCTTGGCCATCCCATAATGATGAGTAACGATAAGTAACACTGACCATTCCATGGGGCTCAATGGGTGCACATGTGGGTCTTGGCCCCCACTTACCTGGGTAAGCACGTGGTGTCGCGTTGTCAAGGGTTCGTGCTTGCATGCACACCCACCTCGCTTAGGCCTGCTCGCTCTTCGACAGCAGACCAAGACTTCTTTTATACAAACAACAACAACAACTTCTCGACCTTATTTGGCATGGCATCATATTCTGACCGTGATGAAGAAGACCTCAAATTAGCTCTGGCGTTGTCCATGCAGCAGAGCCCACCGAAAGATGCGGATCGCCTAGGAGCGAACAACGAGGCGGTTGATCTCACATCTGATACAGAAGAGGAAGACGACGATATGCGCCGAGCGATTGCAATGTCGCTCCAAGAGTGCCGGAAGTCCAGCAGCCCAAGACCACCCAAAACGCAAAGTCAATCACACACCACTTTGTCAGAACAAAGAGCGAGCCATGAAATACCAAGTCTGCCAACGACACGCACCGCGTCTGGCTCTGCAGCACCGAGTGGCCAAATGGGACTGTCAGGTCTGGACCGAAAAGCCATGGAAGAAGCGCGCCTCGCAAGATGCGGCAAGAGAAAACGAGACCCTTCACCAGACCAGCCGCACAAGCAGATTGCGAGCACAGCTCCGGCTCAGAGCAGGCAACCGACCACCTTCGACTCTAATCCGAAACATGGCAGGGAATTGCAATACCCTCGAGGAGCAATCAAGCGTACTTTTGCCACCGGGTTTCCACGTACAAACGACATTACCATCGACGAAGTGTTGCAGGCCGAGAGCGTCAATATTGCAGTGGTTAGCTCATTCATGTGGGATTCGGAATGGCTCAATAAGAAGCTTAGTCCACTCAAAGTCAAGCAAATCTGGATTATGAATGCCAAGAGCCAAGATGTACAGCAACGATGGGTACGCGAGATGGAAGATGCTGGCATCCCGAATTTGAGGATCCATTTCCCGCCTATGGGCGGTCTCATACACAGCATGCATAGCAAATTCATGCTACTATTTGGCAGGGACAAATTGCGTCTTGTCGTACCCACCGCAAACATGACTCCTATGGACTGGGGCGACAAGGTCAACAATTGGCAGCCCGGAGTCATGGAAAATTCATTGTTTTTGGTGGACTTGCCACGAAGAAGCGATGGAGTTATGGGGAAGAAGCAGGACTTGACGACGTTCGGCAAAGAGTTGGTATGCTTTCTGGAGAAGCAAGAACTTGACAAGAAAGTGATTGAAGGCGTGCTCAAGTTCGACTTCACTCAGACAGATCATCTGGCTTTTGTTCATGCCATGTAAGTCTTTTATGCAGCTTAGAGGAGCAGTCAATAACATGCACCAGCGGTGGAGTACACAAAGGCGAGCAGCAGCAGCTGTCTACAGGTCTTCCTGGGCTTGCGAAAGCTATCCGAGACGTGCATTTGGATGATGTGAAGGAGATTGAGCTAGACTATGCTTCCGCTTCTCTGGGTGCCATCAACGATAACTTTTTGCAGCGCATATATCTCGCAGCACAGGGCAAGCCTCTGACCACCACCTCTGCGGTCTCACAAGTACGAAGACACTTTCGTATCTACTTTCCAACGGACGATGCCGTTCAAAACAGCATAGGTGGCCCGGACTGCGGTGGTATCATCTCGCTGAGCAGCCATTACTACAATGCTGCAACATTCCCACGCGAGTGTCTTCGTAACTATGACTCAACCCGACGAGGGATGCTATCGCACAACAAGCTACTGTTCGTGCGAGGCATCAAGAATGATGGCCGACCTTTTGCGTGGGTATATGTTGGCTCGGCGAACATGTCTGAGTCGGCTTGGGGCGCGCAAAAGGTGCTGAAGAGTGGTCAAACGGGCAGCCTCAATATTCGAAATTGGGAATGTGGAGTGCTGATGCCAGTGCCGAACGAAAAGATGGCAGACATGAAGCTGAACGATGGAGCGATACCGCCAATGAGTGTCTTCAGGGGAACCGTCGAGGTGCCTTTCGTCTGTGCGGATCCGCTATACGGGCAATACGGCGACAAGCAGCCCTGGTTCAGGGTCGTCGGATGAGGCGACTTTTGCAAGCACGGGATGCTCGGCTGCCCCGCCTGCGCATTGTCCGGGGACTGTTTGGTGCTAAGGACGACGCAAGTGAAGGTTTGGACGGACTAATGCGGCGGACGCGGAGGTGGCGGATGATGGTCGAAGACACGAAATGCCATTGGCTCGGTGATTGACTCAGGGAAGCTCCGATAGTGGCCCGCGTGCAGCGTGCAGCGTGCAGCGTGCAGCGTGCGTCTCTCCGATGCGACAACATAGATATACACTATGTGATGAGAAACTCGAACCCTCCGTTACACATGTTCCACAGCTGCGATTGCCCATGCCAGATAACGCGGCTCCTCTCCGCGCGCCCGGGGCGGCGTCCAGATCCGGAGCGCCCCTACTCGGCCCAGGTCCCATAACTGCACCCATCCATTCGTGGTTCACCTCTCCGGCACGGACGCATCCAAATGCTGCGCAGGCGAAAGAGCTGCCGTTGCATCTCATACAGCTGATTCTCACATACGTACGTGCTGTTGTACTATTGTGCTACCGTGCTGTCGTGCTGTTGTGCTATTGCGCATTGCAGTGCATCGTCACATGCTGACCAGAGTCGCAGCTCGACAATGTCGCAGACCTCGCGCGCATTACGCGCACCTCACGTCTCTTCTACTACATGACCCTTCCCCGCTTGTACGAACATGTCACGCTGCATTCGTACGCAGAAATACGCTACAACAGCGAAAATGGCCGGCCAGAAGGGTACGGCAACGGCAGTCCATTTGCCATGGGACTGAACACTTTGGTGTCGCGGTCCTTCACCGACTACGTGCAGTCCTTTAGGGTCGTCGGGGAGTGGCGCGAGCATGACGAGGACGACTACAAGCAGGGCCGCGTGCCCGACAACAGCATGGTCCTGCAGATTGCCGTGCGCGCCGCCGTCGACAAGATGAAGAACCTGCAGGCTTTCGCGTGCGTATCGAGTACATGTCACCTGCCACATTGCTGACATTGACAGCTGGGAACTGAATACCAAACCTCTCAACACCATCTACCAGGGTCTCGTAAGCCGCTCCTCGACCCTGACGTCCTTCACCCTCCGCAGCCAGACGAAGCGAATTCCGCGGCCTACGACAATCATATCTCCCATGCCAAATCTCAAGACGCTGGTCGTCTACGACATTGACCCGCTCTGCTATCCTGACGATATATCCCTGCTTCTCTTCAGCGCCAAGAAGCTAGAAAACTTGAAGCTGCATTGGAGCCCACGCATGCGAGAAGCAAGCGAAGAGTCGGTGAATCTCATGGGTATATTTGGCCGATGCATCGCTGCCAAAAGCAATTTGCCTATCAAGCGATTGTCCATATGGAATCTCTACGCTCGCTTCATGGGAGATGGCTTGGACCGCGTCATAGACGAATCTAACCAGCAGGAGATCACCGTCTTCAATTCCATGGGCAGTTCAGATCCCATGACTGTGTTTCTCGACGACGCGTGGAGAACCACCAACGTCAAGCGCGTTCCAGAAAATCTGAAGTGCTTCCGTAGCGATCACGTCGACAAAGAGCAAGCCGTGATATTCGGAAACTTCAAGGGTCTAGAACGTCTGTACATTGTCAGTCGGCGCAGCAAAGATAACTCCAAAACAAACAGTTCAGTCGCGACGCCAACGACGCCATCGACGGCCACACCCGGGATGACGAATGGAAATACCAATGCCTTTGCACCCACAATCACAGACAACCAGTGCCGCAGCATAGGTGGCGAATATCTCGCCGTCATACAATCAAACCATCGCACTATGCGTCATCTGCTTCTCTCAGACCGCTGGGTAGTTTCTGACAGTGCTCTCTACAAGCTCTGCCAGTCATGCCCGGACCTTGAACAACTAGGCTTTCGCTGCAGTGTCCCGCCATTGGAATCTCTCCGACAGATCATGACCTTGGTACCAAAACTCTGGGCGCTTCGTATGCTTGTCCGCCCTGGCACTGAATTTGCTGATATGGTGGCGTCATTGGACCCGGAAATGCATGCATTTGTCATGGCAACAGAATTCTGGCGACCTGAGTATCGAAATCTGAAATATATCGGGCTGGGAGACAAGCTGGTATATAAGCTCGGAGGTGTTGTATTTCCTCCAAAGAACGCTGCAAATGTTCCCGAAGGACGCGAAAACAGCATCAACGCAAGGAGTGCGGGGCCCATGAGGAGAATGACAATTGTAGGAAAAGAGGAGCTGGATAAGATCGAGATCTGGGGATTGGACACGGACGAATTTGATCCGAAGTATCCTTGAAAGCCCCCGAAGGCGTGAGATGAATACTTGGAGGAATACACCACTACGCAGCCAAAGAAACGACTGCGAGACGGCCATGCGGTCAACTTCCACTCGACCGAGCACATTACACCAGCATCACCGTGAGCGCACGGCATCCATTTGTGAAGCTCCGGCTCTCATTGCAGACTGAAAGTAATAGTACGCATGGCTATGATGAACCGGAGAGAAGAGCATGGAATACGAAGGCAACCTTAGCAGCACATTTTTAAATGGCGACGGAGAGGAAAGGCGAAGTCTGCCCACCTGAAAGTGTACGATGGTACGAGTTAGTCGGGAGCGAATATGTACGAATCAATGATAATAGAATCCCTACTTTGACACCAACCATCGTTTTCCTTACTGGACTGATTGGAACTTGTGCTAAATTATCATGACCGAAATAGATACCAAGCTATGTACAGTACTACGGAACAATTAATCATAACTAAACCACCGAGTCGTCATCGCTTTGCGCCTCTCCGCACACGGGTCTTCTTCACCTTCGCGAAGGGCGTATGCGCAACCACACCATCTACCACATTCCCCTCTTTCTGCTTCAATACGATGTTAGATCAGATAATACCGCCCTCCCAGCTAGAATGTTTCGATCTGTTCGTACTCCTGCCTCATATCGCCTAGTATCTTGCAAGTGGTCACAAGCACTATTTCCAGGAAGAATGATATCCCTTACAATTATCACTTGTCGACGGTTCTCCCAAAATTAGCTATGCCTCCGCGGTACTGACAACCTGGTCGTGGCTGAAGTATAGTACCTCTCAAATCGATAAGCGAATGTAAAATGTGGGCATGTGCGCCCGCGAGTACAGCATGACCACCCTCTGAAGTTCAAGGCACTTGCCACGTTTGAAGCTAGGCTAGCTTAAGGAGCAAATACAATGTCGAATTGAGCTACGTTTTTTTTTCTACACTCGATATTGGCCTTAACCGCTAATCGACGCTTCAGTATATTATCACCTGATTCATGATGAGTAGGAAATGTCCGGTTGATTATTTTGACGGGTATTGCTCTGCCTCAGCCAACCTTTTTAAGAGTTTATGGGTCTGATTATCAAGAACCTAGTTAACATGTAGCGTTACTCTTGCGAAACACCAACAAACTCTCGGGCCCGGGTACTAGTGAGTTCTGTAGTCGGCCATCAAACTCTAAAGGGTGCTTGCCACTTTTGATATCAGTCGAAGGAGCGATACAACTACACCGTCTCTCTTTTGGAATGATCGATGGGAGTTGATTGATTGATTGGTTTGACGTCCTGGTAAAACCTCCCGAGGGATATGAGGACGAGCTAAGCTCAGGACTTATAGTGGTAGCACACTACCTGAGATGCCTGATCTAAATACTTTGCTAGGTTACAGCAGTCCTGGATTTCAACTCCTCCGCTGTTTGAGGGGTAAATACATATCTGTAAATGCCCTAAGAAAAGAAGGGTGACTTAGCCAGAGCTATATCGCGATTAAAGAGGTACTAGAACAAGGGTGCCATATCTTCTAACTCATCATCAGCCCAGTTCTATGACAGAAAATGCCAAGAGATAGCTAACAGAATGCGGACAAAAGGAAAAACTAGTAGTGAATAGTTATGCGCTAGTGTAATCTAACGCTTGCAAATTTCAGAGTAGAACTCTATATTAATTAAAAAGAGCTTAAAGTGTTTAGGCTCGCCGAGTAACTCAGCACGGTATCGTAGTCCTTCCCTGGTAGTGTCAGGCATGGTCGGTCTTGGCCACCCTCTGAACACCGGGGTGATCGTAGTTTTGGAGCAATGAACAATGTGTCCAGGCGTGAGATCGACGGGAGTTTCAGCCCCTAATGTCACACACAGATAACGAATGTCAGGTTACACCCACGTATACATATATAGTTCTAGGTTAAACACAGCATATTTCAAGGCTGTCATTCTTTTACTCGTTCTCGAGCATAAATGCGGCTAATACCTTCCTTCGTCCCGAACCATAGTTGACTTGTCCCTATATTCTCTTGAACGAAACAAGATGCAGATCTTGTTGTTGGCTTTGCTTGGCCTGATGCCTTTTGGGGTGATTGCCCAAGAGGTCTTCGAGCCCGCAGACTTCAATGTCAAGGAGGCACTTTTGAAGAATGGCGTTGATGTGGCGGATCTGCCGGAGCTTTCGCAGCTTGGAAAACGATCTTCAATGAGCCGTTGCGAAGTTGCTGTAAGTGACGTCATAGTAATTGAGAGCTGCACTAATTTCTATGGCAGTGCAATTCTCTTCAAAAGATTTTCGACAATGATAAGGTTGCAATTCGAGAAGACAACTCTTACGAGGCATTTACCAGCCCCTTCTGGTCCGCACAACAGCAAGCGACTACACCACAATGCATATTCAAGCCTGAGACAGCAGTCGATGTCTCTACTCTCGTGCTCTTATCGAGACTGACGCAATGTCCTTTTGCTGTAAGAAGCGGGGGGCATGCTGCATTCGCTAGCGCCTCAAATATTCAGGGTGGCATTACGGTCAACTTTGAGAAGATGAAAGACATCACGTTGTCAGAAGACAAGAAGGTTGCCGCCATCCAACCCGGGAACAGGTGGGGTGAGATCTACAGCAACCTCGAAAGTCACAATCTCGCCGTAGTAGGTGGCCGTATTTCTGACGTCGGGATTGGTGGCTTGACAACTGGTGGTGGCATCTCCTTCTTTGCAAACCAGTATGGTTGGACATGCGACAACGTAGACTCCTACGAAGTCGTTACGGCATCTGGGCAGATCGTAACTGTATCACCCACGTCCTTTCCTGATCTCTACTTTGCGCTCCGCGGCGGCGGCAACAGCTTTGCCATCGTCACCAAGTTCAACTTGGAGACCTTTTCTCATGGGCCTTTGATGTTTGGCGGCCATCTTCACTATGACAACACGAGCTTTCCAGCTCTCTTCGATGCCCTGGTCAAGCTTGGTGAAAGCTCAGCCGACGATACCAAAGCCACACAAATGATCTCCCTCGTATTCAACGCTACCACTGGTACTCAAATGGCCATCGCGGAACTGGAATACGCGGATCCTGTTGCCGAGCCGGCATTTTTTGAGCCATATAGACAAATTCCGGCGATCTACGACACGACGAAGCTCGACACGCTTGCGAACATCACGCAAGTCCTTAACAGCCAAAACCCCAATGGTTACAGAGAGAGCTATTGGACGGCATCGGCTAAGCTTGATCGAGGAATTGTCCAATTCGTGTACGACGTCTCTAAGGAGGAATTCGCCAAGATCACCGACGTACAAGGCATTGTACCAGCAACCACATTGCAGATTATCACTGTACCACAAATGGAGCAGATGCAAAAGAAAGGAGGAAATGCCTTGGGCCTCGACTCATCAGATGGGCCCATCTTGAACATCCTTTTGACACTGATGTGGGTCAATAGTAAGGACGATGCGCGCGTGTGGCAGGCGTGTGCAAACATATTGAAGAGAATAGAAGAAGAGGCCAAGAGCAGAGATTTGGCGAATGAGTATCTGTACATGAACTACGCAAGTCAGTTTCAGGATGTCATTAGAGGCTATGGGGCTAGCAAAGAGATTTTGAAGATTGTGGCAGATAAGTATGATCCGACTCAAGTGTTTCAGAAGTTGCAGCCTGGGTACTTCAAGCTTGATGGACCGCCGGCGGTATTGCCCTAACAGTATCGAAGGAACAGGCGTAGGGAAAGAAGTCACAAATGAGATAGTGGTGACCAAAAACCTATTTATGAAATCATCTCGTATGCAAACTCAGTTGGTTGTGCGCCCATGAGGTATTAGATCTTATAAACTTCCTTCCAAGACAACAACAAGGGTATTAACAAATTATTTTATTCCTTTCATTCCTCTCCTTAAGCGTACCTGGGGCCTACGCCTTTCTCATTGCTCGGCCCTCCGACGCCGGCCGTAACGGGTCCCTGCATGCCTTGCGGCGTGGGATACTGCTGCTGCATGGTTTGTCCCTGAGGTGTCCGGATAGCGGCCATCGGGTACATCTGTCCCTGCGGTGGTAACTGATAGTACCCCATCTGTGGCTGTGCCCATGGCCCACCCGGCCTCATGTGCGCCTGGCCTGGTGGCGGGATGATGGCGCCATTGGTGATCATAGTCTGCACAATTTTCGCGGCGATCTTCTCAGCATCTTTGCTGACTTTGGTGCGATTGTAGCGATGGCAGTCGATGCATGCCCAGACGAACAAAATGAAGTGGATCACGAGACCAGCGAATTGGCACACCACGCCGGTCAACTCTACATTCTCACGATGGGGCTTTGCTTGCCAGAGCTTGTTGACATAAGCGTCTTGTTCCGCGCAATCTTTGAAACCGGAACCGTAAGAGTATGAGGATGTGCGGTTGCACGGGCGCGTGTACGATGTTGAGCTCGAGTCGCGAGAGTCCTCCCAAATCCATGTTCCGTTGGCCTGCAGCTCATACTCGCCATAGCTACTGGAATATCCGCCGTAGCCAGAACCACTGAGGTCGCCATACTCGCCCCATTGAAGCAGCTCCATTAGGGATACCATGGCAAACAGAGCGGTGACTAGGAAGGCAAGCCACATGAGCAAGTCAATCGAGACCCTTAGCCCTGGGTGGACAGCACGCTTGCGCACGACAAGAGCGGCAAGACACGCGATACACCAGATAATGGAGACGGTGAAGGTTATGAGCGAGGGCCATAGCGTCCAGTATTCATCGTATCCATAGGTAAGAGAGTCATTTATGGGAGTCGTCGAAACACACCATCCGATAGTACCGATACCGATAAGTCCAAGTATTATTGCTAGAACCTGGAGAACACCCTTGAACTTCCAGTAACGATCGGCATTATTGAGCTTCTTATTCAAGGTCAGAGGCTCCTCTTCAGTCGTGGGCGCGGCAGGTGTGGTGGTTGGTGGCATGGCGTGTGTGGCTTGAGGGGCAGCGTTGGCAGTCGTCGGGCTCGACAAAGTAGACTGCAAGGCTGGAACTCCAGGTGCTAGTGTTGGTGCAGCGGTTGGATGTTGCGCCTGAGGCGCAGGTTGGATCGAATCAGACATTATTACAGACGATTATTGTGAAAAAGAAAAAGCGAATGGCTACGCAAAAGTGCGCGATTGTTAGGAAGAACAGCGAAAGGATGAACAGAGAAACAAGGAGAAAAGACTACGATAGTCAAAGAAATGAAAGGTGACACGCCACAGACGTGGGCTGGTTGCCTGATTCCTTGAATCTAGATCGCATTGGTGTTGGTTTTTATTGCGCGTCGCTATATTTAGACTAATTTGTATGGGAAAAAAGTCTGCCGAGGCTGGTTGCCTGTTCCGCGGCGCCTCCAGAAGGCTTCGACTTTTCTTCGAGAGCTTGTTCAAAGTCGATCGACAATGTCTGGATTGCCCGAAACATTGTTGGGCGACGCGATGCCAGCTCGCGCATGACCCAGTAGTGCCGGATCGACGAGATTTGCCCAGGGAATGTGCAGCGGATCTACTACCCACCATAACCTGCAGCGATCGATCGGGGCTGCAAGACAAAAACATCGGCTGAGTGTGTTCACATTTCCGCCATTGCGATTCCACGGCGTTTTGCCTCTGGACTACGACTCGTACTAAGCGTCTGGGCTTGAAAGTCGAGCTTCTGCAAGCGGAGTCTCGCCTATATTCTGGTCCGGGCGAAGGCGTATGCGCCTGCGCTCCACTAAGATTCTTGGTTGCTCGCTCCATGAATGGCACTCATTTAATGACTCCATATGGCAGTGGTGGTAGAGCCGTTATTGAATCCGATATCGAAAAATTGCGTGAATGGTGTTCAACCCCTCCTACTTTGAACGCGCTATCCAGTGCCGCGATAAGGGGATCTTCCTTGCCCTCCAATTTCTCGAGCATGCCCGATGGAATATCGCCCAGTTGGCGCACTGTTTGCCCTCTGGAGGACATGATGGATTGCGCCAAGGAACGCTCTGCTCGTGCAGATGATCCAAATGTCAACCAGTGAATCACAAGGCAATCCCAGAAAACTATCCTTGTCAGCTAGGAATTTCCGAGTCATCGAGCGAGAGACTTACCGTCAATCATACAGATCGTGAAGCATATCATCCCCAATTCCTTCCCCTTGGTTAGGGTGAATTGGATCATGTTGGCCAACATTGTGACCTCGATCAACAACGAGCCAATGATACTCTTCCACATCAGTATCCTGATGTTCTTCTGCACCCCAGTCTCATCCGGGTGTGCAACCAGAAATGTCCTCTTCTTTAAGTTTGGCAAACCAGCAGCCGGCGCACTAACACGAAATTTGATGACAGGGAGGAGGAGGTAAAAGAACACGACTGTCAAGACGACATTGGTGAATAAATTAATGCAAAGTGTTGGCAGTGAAGCAATGCTTCGAATGCCACCATGGCATCGACCATCTGAAGCCTGTAGTGCGGTGTAGCGGAATATGCAGGCGTTGACCGAGACAGCGCCGTATAAAGCGAGTACCATGGCTAAGCACGAGAGATATATGTAGTCCTTGCTGCGTTTGATGAATGGAGATCGTACTAGGCGGATGCGTTCGACCATGAATGTATAGCTATTTGAGTGTCAGTACTTGTCGAGCCCGAGGGCGTTGTATACATTTACTTACACTGTGCCCTTAATGGCGATATAACATACCAAGCACACAATGGTCGCGACATTGCATTGGTCGTACGTGGTCAACCCTTGACCAACCACCAAAGCTGCCGAGACAATGATATAAATTACGAAGATGAAGCACATAAAGAGGAAAAGCATGGAAGTGACATTCCGTTGCATTCGAATGCTTCGTCGCAGCTGGCGAGCTCGAATGCCTGTGCAGTGTTAGCAATTGAAGCACGCGAGTGAAGGATATATATACATATATATATATATATATGCATACCTAGTATGAGCGCAATACCCATCATACAGACCATAGCCAGTACTACGAATATGATACGATCTCTTACAGGCTCACCAGTCGTGACATGTACGTTCTCATTCTCTCGCGGGGTGATATCGCGTGTTGCCATCGCCGAAGGAGACGCGTACACTGCCGACAACAACAGAGGCAGCCACGAGAACACGCGTTGAACCATCTTGTAGACGATGGAAACTCTCTCGAACCAGGTACCACAACACAGCGGAGCTGAGTCGTGTTACGGAGAGGAAGGATATGACGAGATTCCCTCAAAAGGCTCGCGATGGCGCGCAGCCACGTTGAAATGAGGCCAATGAACCAGACATGGCCTCAGATTCCAAATTTCTCATTCCCGTTCCTTAGCGTAACGTGGTAAACAAGTCGCCGATGTTGGGGGGAGAGGCGTTGCGGAGGCAGCCCCGACAGATTTCACTCATCGGCCCTTCCCACCGCTGCTTCACCAACGAATCTAACGCCCTCTAGGTTCAGGCCTGTTTGCAAATACCGTAGCGAAGGTGGATCTGCCAACCAAAAACACGGAATTTTCACATCCTCGGTCGCAAATCTGGTCTTGATAGTATCGATATGTCAGACTACTTATATTCCCACCTATCAGCTGTTTCAGCTGGCTGTGGGATCGCTGTGACAGTATCAATCGTTGCCACCATGATGCTGTATAGCTAGAACTTCCAATGCTGGTGAGCAGGCGGTCGTGGAATTCTTCACCGCTGTTCCAGTCAATGATGCTTCGTACGAAGTAGTCGCTGTTTGATCCCCGCTTAACCATTGGCACGTGCAATTCTGTATGGTATGGCTGGCGACAGGATTTATGGAGACTCCAGATGTCCTGCAGCTTTTACCACGTGATCCTTCGTATCCAATCAGAGTACGGCATCCATAATCTGCGTCCTATATGTCAAACTTGCTCTGCCGATTGAGTGAAATGCAGGTATAATGCACACTATTTCATGTTGAAATTGAGCCATCTTGAATTGATGTGTCGAATACCAGTCCTCGTAGTATCGACAATAAGCCTAAGAACACATGCCGTTGCGATTGAACTTTGGAGGTCTTCCGCAAATATTTGTACCATTAGTGCCACACATCTCACAACTAAGAAACCACAAGGCTGATACATTTTACGCCGCTCACAAGTGGCCAACCTGGCTGAGATTCCGTCTGGACAAACTTTCCCTCTGGTAGCAATGCTTTCCCAACGATCTTTAATTCGGTGATTAGATTCGCCATCGCTCGGTCCAAATTGGCGCAGCTTTGAATGATCCCATCCTTGAAGACCTGAACCTCAACTTCAAAGACTTGAAGCCGCTTATGGACCGCCAAGCGATCAAGCTCTGTGAAGTCGAACATGATGTCTGGAACATGATAGAGGTTCCACGGACGCAATGTGCCCTGAACTCGACGGAACCTGAAACGCTGGTCATGGATCTGGAGATAGATTTTGACTTTCCGTACGTCACTGATTGCATCAACCGAGTCCGACATGAGATCGACCAGGCCGATCGTATTGGCTCGAAGCGTTACGATATGCGGAGGTCCCACCTCATCTTGCGTCGACCATGCCACATCTTTGCTGAAGTAGATCAGCCCTCTATGGTGAGGTCTGCTGCCTGTACCGTCGACGTAGAGGTGTTGCTCATGAACAAGAGCCGGTTTGATGAGGGGAAAGATGTATTCCTTTTTGTCGGTCTTGCCCCAGGATTCAAATATCCACACCGCACGCCGATGAAACTCTGCCAGACCTTCCAACATCATCTGTTTGTTTGTTAATAGCCAAGGTGCCTGCAGCATGATGCATCAGCCATCGTACGTAAGGTCTCTCTGAGAGTTAGCTACACACCTTGCCTTGACTTGTATCCTCAAGTCCTAGCCCGCCTTGGTCGCCGTATGTGACGATGAAATGCTTTTTTTTGTACCGCTGGTGAATCTGCGCGTCTAACCACAAGAACTGGTATACCATGTCGCGAAGCTCACGAGGCAGTTGGAAGAACAGCGCGGTGTTGTTCGTCGGAACGATGTGACTGAAGTCGATTTCCCTGTGTCTTATAATGTGCCGCGTCTTTTTGACATACTCATGCTTCGGTGCCACTCTTCCTCGAAGCACTCTGGATGTTTCGAACCTTCTTTCAAAGCCTATGGTATCAAGAGGGTTGTCCACCGTTGTTGCTTTACGTTTGACAGACATTATACAGACCCGATATAAGCTGTGATTTCTTGTGAATGCTACAGGGATGCATGTGGAGAGGTCTGTACTTGCAGCTTATGACGAAGTGTCATTCAGGACCAGGCAGCATCGTGGAGGTAAGCTGTCATCTTTGCCAAGGCCGGCAGTTAGGAACACACTTTCGGCCCCCGAGAATTACGCCATGCGGACAGGGACGAGTAATCCGGGATAGTCGACCCAAGGGTGATGGATTATGCGGGAGCCCTGCATGATTCTCAATTGATTGGTGCGCGTGAACTCTTCCAGGCGTAATTCGCGAAGCACCTCGGGCACCTCAGCCTAACCCGATCCCTGTCGCAATCTCAGAAGGCTTTACAGCTAATACTAGCCATTGGCCTGGCAGTGTTTCTCTTCGAACGGGTTCAGGCTAGATCGCTGAAAGACGACGACAAGCCAGACCGTCGATCGCGCGCTTGACTTGCAATTGATAGAATTGCAGCCCACCGATAACGTAATGGCTCAAGCCAGGAAGTCGTGCACATTCGATAGACCGTGTCTCGTTCTCGTTTCAAGTAATATCTCCCGAAGTACACACTTTGCGCTTTCAGTTCTGTAAAGCATTAGTTATTGCGCCCATCGCTGACCAAGGAATCCATCTCCTCCATGAATCTGATCGTGGCAAGCGCAAGATATGGTGAACTCATAGACCCAGTCCCAAGGACTTGCACTAAAGTGCAACGACGTGGTGTGCGGAATGTGAGAAACAAGATGGTCACGCAGGTCCTCGTCAGATGTAGGAGCCACTGACCGTTGTGTCGCGATCGGTCTGCGGCAAGCCATGACCAATCTGATCTCACGCCTGGTAAATCCTACGTTGGATAGCTAGGTAAGCTGTAATCAAATTTACTCTAGATACAAAGAATGGAATGGAGAAGATTTGGGAAATGTTTTAGCTCGGGTCTATGCACATGAATCCCCTTACCTGTGTATGGTTTATGAATAGTCTGTCAACTGGACAAGGTTTCAAAGCAGCAACGCTGTGTCACATATGCTCTGTACCCAGCGAGCTCAAAGATCGTATAAGCTGCCAACATCTTTTCACTCCGTGCGTCCGTTCTCTGCCTCGTTCTCCTTGTAGTTCTCAAACCATGTCTCGAACCGCTTCTTGGTTATTTCCTTCTGCGCCTGCCTGGGACCCTCTTCGCCACAGAAATTCATCACTCTATCGATGTACATCCACAACGCTTCGAGATGCTGGCTGGTCAGAGGCTCCTTGTCCTCGCGAGCGACGAGACACGTGCCAACATGTGATTGCCACTGAGGAGCAAGCCCGTCCTCGTATTTGACGTTGAGGAACGTAGCGATTTGACAGTCGAGATCGGCGCGGTTGTTTGACTGGGTCCCGACGCGATGAATTACCAGCGGAATGCCCAGAATGGCGGGAACTCCCAGAATTGTCTTTTCGAATATCGAATGATCAGCTGAGCTGTCGGCCCCCCAGAATCTGCCAGGCTCTTTTGTACAAGCAATCCGCACACCTTTCACTGTATCGCCAATGTATGTCGTGGCAGTAGCTTTTGCGCTATTGTCGAGAGTTTTGATCCTGCATGATTGTTTGTGGGATTTCCAGTGCGACTGTTGGCAAGCTCTGGAGCAGTATGACGGGGTTTTGCAACCACTGCATCGCTAGAAAGCCGGCTCTCCAGTATCTGGCTGCCGCTTACGAGCAGCGCAAGTTGTAGTTCCAATGGAATTCATGCTGGTTAGAGATGGTGGAACGGTTATGTTGAGTACGAAGCTAAAGTAGGGTGCGGGAGGAGCGGAAAAGTGGGGCTAGAACGCGCTATCACTTGATGCCAACCATTCCTTGTGTCTCTCTGGAAATCGACACCTGTCCATGAGCGTGGTAGAGGTTATATAGGAAAGGGGCCAGCCTGGTCGTTTGCTAAGACAACCCACCGATCCTTTGTCTTTATACCAATCCATCACCGACAAGCCCATCGACCGAAAGCCGTCGATACAGTCATCAACATGCCGGATCCGAAATGGCCTGCAGTTATTCCCATTCTTGAGGCAACCGGAGAGTACATGTCTCCGGACACGAAGAAAACAACAAGGTCCGATTTCACGAACTTCTTCATACGCTTCCAGCCAGCACCAGATGCACACCCAGCATATCAGCATCTCTTTCTTATCCATCAACGATTGGCAAAACTGTTGATCGAGCATCCTGCGATGGTTCAAAATGTACAGCAAACTTTTGCGACACCTGCAAATAGCAAGAATAAAGTCTACTTCATGTGGGACTTTGTTCTGCGGACATTCCAGCATCTAGCTGCGCAGGTCGATCCGCATGATCCAAACTCTTCGCCAATGTTCCAAGATGTCATTGGGAGAGCCCTTCAGGCGAAGATGTTGACTATTGATGAGACAGGCCAGTTGAATAAGATGAATGCGAGTGTTGGATACTCTGACGATGCTGGGGTCGAGTTCACAGATGAGATCAAGGTGCTGGCCAATGAGTTGGACCGTTTTCCGGACGGGTGCGCAGCATGTGGAAGGGATAGGCGTGACGATGACAAGCCATTGTTGATGTGCGCGAGGTGCAAAGACGAGAAATACTGCTCGACAGATTGTCAGAAGAAGAGATGGAAGAAGCACAAGCCAGAGTGTAAGCCTGTGTGAGTTGGTCAATGCAACGTCCACTCAAGGCCAGTTCCAAGGCTGTTACACAACAACACCAAATTGCGTAAGCTACTCTTGAACGGAATGGAAGGCCACCATAGTCACTACCGCAACGCATCAATCCACTATGCAGTCTATTTGCAACATCCTTCACGTCTCGAAAATGTAACATGTGAATCCGAAGTCGGGCAGACGAGCACTCAATAACTCGTTATCATAGTGGCAATCCGCGATAAGGCGCTTATCAGCGGCTAACATGCTCCACCAGATCGGGCAGATATACGATACGCCCTACAACAACATTGAGGCACCACTCCCATGGTATAAAATCTTCCGCGATTTCTGGATTGAAAGAAATGGCTCCTGTAACACGCATCTGCATGCTCAACGCCGACATACCCGTCCCGAATGTATTCGCCAAACGAGCCCCCACTTACGGCCGCATATTCCACCAACTCCTCGCCCGCGCATCACCGAATATCACGATTCAATCAATGGATTTCGACGTCATGAAAGATCAATATCCCTCGTCACTCGAGAGTTTTGACGCCATCATCATCAGCGGCTCAGCAAATTCCGCATACGACGACCAACCCTGGATCCGCACACTGGAAGCATACATCCGCAATGTGTACCTTCACCACCCATGCGTAAAAATCTTCGGAAGCTGTTTCGGCCACCAGATTATGTGCCAAAGTCTATTGAAAAAGCATGGAGTGCGTGTTGAGAAAGACCCAAAGGGCTGGGAAATAGGTGTCCAGGAAGTTAAGCTGCACGAGAGGTTCCTGAGGGCATTTAGAGAGGGAGGGACACGGTTGGACGAGAACATGCGGTTGCAATTTGTGCACCATGATCATGTAGTTATACCTGACGTGGAGTCATTACCAGCAGAGTGGATGGCGGTTGGGAGTACCGATCACTGCGCAGTCCAGGGAATCTACGAGCCAGGACGTGTCCTTACTCTACAGGGGCACTTTGAGTTCGATCGGTTCGTGAACAGCGAGTGCATCAAGTACTTCTTTGGATCAGACTGGGACCAGGATAAGTTGGACGAGGCTTTGAAGGCCATTGATGCGGATGATGACTCGAAAACTGCTAGAGCGATGATACTTGATTTCTTTCTCGAGAAGGGCGTCGACGTCATCGGTGCAAATTACGGCGTTGTTGTAGGGCTACTTACACCCCCAGATGAGTGATGCGGTTGCGCTGGAGCGTTGAGCTCATCGCTTGCTTCGGATGGAGCCACGGCACGCTTATATCTCATGACTTTGTACAGATCAGTCGGCCTTACAGAAGATGGTTGCCACAATCTTGTCTTTTATCACACCTGAGAGACACGTGACATTCGCGCCGAGGGATGGAGTTTCCCGGACACCCGTAAAATCTCCCTTCCATGTTTGTGCAGAGAGTTGAAGCCGCGAGATACTAGACATGGTATCTCACATCTTGTAGTAATCTATAATACCTGTGGACGGGAGTAGACCCATCACGAATTACATACATGTCCTCACGTGGCACATCAACTTTACTTCTAGAGATCAATTTATATCAATTAGCTGTGCAAAAGGCATTGTCCATCTGAGCATTCGTGAATTGTAGGCTCTGGTAGAGCTGATTTGATGTCGCATTGACGGCAGGCCACAGGAGACGTTTATCGAACGTCCGTTCGCGTCCTTGATGATTTGCCTTCAGTGGATATCAACAAGCCTCGTGTTGGTGGATGGACTGGTAGGGCTGTGGTAGGAACGTGAAGAGAAAGCGCAAAAGCATGAGCAATGCATCACTACGCAGACCCGAAAGCCGTGAGACAATGCCTACATCACGAGAGAGGTACGGTAAGTTCTGTAAATGCGTAACTAGATCCCAGCATGTCGAACATGGAGGCAAGGCACCAAATCTCTGGTCCTCTTTATCATGGTTGGCATCATTTCGCTCACCATCCGCCCTCACGGGCCATTATGTCCCATCCCACAAGCCTCCAGACCTCTTCTTTGTACCATTGTTCCACGTCTTTATCGTCAATCTTTGCCACATTGGACAAGGTACTGATGCGCATAGCCGGCATTGGCTTTGTGAGAACGTCCAAGAATTCATCGTCCTGCTTGGTCCCGTACATGCAAGCGACAAGTGTACGTTGCAGTCGATCCTTAGCGAGCGGACTGAGTCGGCCTTTCGGAGCCGCGGGCAACGTCTTCATGCTCAGCGTTCGACAGAGGCGATTCGAATCTTGGCTCTTTGCTGCTTTGCCGTTGGCAGGGTTCATGTGGTGTGGAGCCAGGCCCATTGCTCGTTCAAGGATCAAGACTAGGGCTTTCAGCTCACGGCGGATACCCATTGCTTGGGATTCATTTTGGGCTTTCGCCGCAGGATTAGAAGGCTCAGGAAGAGGTGCGAGGTCTTCTTCAATGGTGGCGCTACGATGCCGCCCGAATGTGCAATAATAAAGCCGCTTCCCTGCACGTTCTAAGAGGAGGAAGGCAAAAGCATCGAACAGCTTCTGATGGACGACATTGGTCTTGTCTAGAAGACCCATTATGCCTACGAGAAAATGAGCCATAGAACGAGCTGGTAAAGATTCCTTCGGCACAGGCGCCTTTACTTTGCCCTTTTGTGTTGGAACGGGCGCAGAAGAAGACACGTCGGCCGTATGCTGCGCCGATAGCTCGATAGCCACGAGTCCAGCTTTGAATGTATCGGCCAGTTCGCATACGACCAGGCTCGGTAGACGGTCATCGCTCGACTCATCCATCATCTTAGTCACTCCAACAAGTACTGACATAAACGCGCGAGCAGATATGGTAAGGGCTTGCGAGAAGCCGGACCTATCATCGCCCAGCGACTGCGCACCTGCAGTTTTCCTCCCTTGCCGTGAAAGATGTTCGTGATTGTGAGCAATGAGGCGGATAATCTTGGCGAGTGCAGTTGATGTGCGAACCAATTGCCGGCACAGTGTTTCTGCATCTGGTGCTGATGCCCTGCACAATTGATGCGTGGTATATAGAGATTCAAGGAGGACTTTGCCGTCTGGTAAATGTTAGATATTTTGCACGGCCAGCGACGTAAAACTTATGGGACTAGTCACCATTGCCCAGACCTTCTAGGAACTCGAAGTCACTCTCGATGCCGTCTTGAGTTTGCGAAATGCTCTGTTCCGGTGCTTTCGTAGCTGAAGCTCTTGGACGCTTTGGCGCCCGTGTGAGTGATACAGGAGCATGCCGCTTTGCTCCATTATTGGCTGTACTGGGACGTGTATGTGTGGCCGGGCTGGCTTTTGCGGGGACAGCCGTACTGGTTACACTGGGGAGTTTTTCTGGAAATGTATTCGTTCGCTGGGACAACTGGTGGTTCGATCTCTCAAGCCGGATGATTATGCCTTGAAGGCGATCGCATTCATCGTGAGCCTTCTGACACTGCTCTCGCCAATAGCCCACAAGGTCGAGGTAGTATTCATACTCTTCTGGAGACTCCGCCGGCCTTCCTGGCCTGCAGTGCTCTCGAAGCCGCAGGAGGTAATCTATCAAGTTCAGCTTCGGCAGTCACGAAGTCACCTAGGCGGCACTGACCGCGGATTGTGATATTTGCAGGCTTTGTCCGCAGAATAGTGATTGCCAAGGCGGCTTGCGCACGTGAAGGCAGGGTAGGTCCGGGGAAAAGAGGGCAGCTTGGTGACATGGTTTGATGCGCTAAGGGTGGTGGCTACGATGTGAGAGAATTGTTCGTGCAAGGCGAAGAGGCGAAGAGGCGGGGCATGCATGTCATCAAATCGAGGAAAGCAGGCGGAAATAACAGACCAAAGCTTGGAGACGAGAAATGTGGGGTCTTGCAATGAGGCAGGCGCGGGTGATGTTGTTGAGCGAGAAGGCACGGATGTGAAGGAAGGCACGACCTGGAAATCTCGACACAGCTCATGAACACACAGTCGGAGATGCCGTGTCTATGCTTGCAAGACACGGTGAGCAATATGATACATTTCATGAGATCGTGATAATCTCACACCCACTGCAATACTTGTACACATGTTACACGACAAGCTCAGCGCATGCGTTCGGTGCGCCTCTTGTAAGGCAGCGGCTCAACTCTTCTCCTCTTGAGCTCGACGCCAACCTGGTCTTTCAGACCAGCGCGCTCCATGACACCCGCCATAGTCTCGTCCCATTGTGTCCTAAACAGGGTCGCAGTGATGGGGCTCAGTTTGTGCTTGTCGACGAAGCTCCTTAGGTTGAACTTTTCGCGCTTGGTTGCGCCGAGCTTGCCCATGTCAAGTGGCTTTGCTTCCTTCTGTTCCATGACGAATATTGCTAGGCGGTGGTATGGTGCTCCCTTGTGGGCCCACGGCGCAGCCCAGGGCAGAGCTATCTTCTTTGCAGAGGCATCCGTGGCCTTGGCGTCTTCCTGTGCAATGCGCTGCAGGGGAATGGATGTTCGTGTTGGGGACAACGGGATGTTGGATGCAACGAAGTGGCAACGGGACGCGAAGCTATCTTCCTCCACCACAGGGACATCACCGTCGACAACTACGACGGTGACAAGTCGCTCACCAGGCGTAAAGGTCTGGACTTTGAGTCGAGGCATCTTCTCACTGATGAAGGATTCCACAAATTCACCTGGCGCCACCGGTTTCCGTCCAAAACCGATATCAATGTCTGCTACAACGTCGAGGGTAGGGAGGAAATCGGGAACGACGTTCATCTGGGTCAGGCGCTGATCGAGGACGAGCCGCTTGTATGACCGCCACTTCTTCTCCGCAAGATGGCGATATATCGGTTTGTTCATGTCGCCTATCCTCTCGTTAGCTTGTACAGACCCAGGATTGGAAACGCAACATGCCTTCGCCGTCCTCGAATTTTCTCTTGACTATAGGGTCATTGATGTCCGCCAGAATAACGAGCTCTTCCAGATGCTTTCGCATGCTCTCCAGTCGGATCTTTTTGGCGTGTTGTCCTCCACTCACGGCAGGATCTTGGTCTGTCAAGTTCTTGATCCTCAACTGCTGAGTCTCAATCGCCTTTATCTTTTCCTGTCTGTCCTCCAGAAGGATCTTCCTCGCCTCTTGGAAGCATTGGTACGGAAGCTGCTCGAACGGAACCTCGGGCGCCTGTTTCAGAGCAGATCGTCCGAGAGCAGCACGGCGACGACGAGAACCAACGGGCTGCACACCTTCCCTTCGCAGCAGGCGGCGTTCCAGCTTCTTGTTCTCGACGGTCTGCGGGTCCAGAGTTCCCCATTTTTGCATGAAGTCCGGGACTGCCTTCTTCTCCTTGGAGTCGGTGAGCGTCTTGTCGTCCGAGGGTGGCGGGGCCGGCGGTGCGGGAGTCGAAGATTGTGCCTGCACCTCTTCGCGGGCTATCGCAGAGGATGACAGAAAACGGCGAGGGCTGCCATTGGCGCTGGAGACACGTCGAATGCAGCGCAGACACGTGCTGAATTGCCGTGCGGACGGCGCAGCAGATGCCATGGCGGAATTGAACGTGTCGTTGGTGTCCTGTTCAACGCCGCTCTGGTGCTAGAAAATGTTAGGATGCCGCGGTCTTGGCACACTTTTGACATGGTCAACTCCGCAACTTCTGAGCCACGACCTTCCGGCATGGCTTCCACGAGGATGTCAACGCCGATCCGGGGCGCCACATTGCAATTGAGCAGACTGCCGATACGGCAGGATGCGCTCACATCTCGCTGCACAGTGCGCCACCCGTCAGAGACGCATATATGCACACTGCTAATACTGTACAGAAATGTCTGTCCAAGCCATATGCCCGACCAATAACCACATCTGCCTCCTCCCAGGCCTCTGCAGCCCCAATAACGACCTCCGCCGCCGAGTACATGCCCGTCAAACCTCTCGACAAGCAGACAGTCCTTGCGACGATACACCAATTTCCTTCCCTCGAGCCCCTCCGCTTCCAGACATATCCTGCAAACCACCTCCATCTGCCCACGCGAAGAGACATATTACACCGCGCTGTTGTATACGAGGGAGATTCAACCCGGCTCGGAACCGCCTCGACCAAGACTCGGTATGAGGTGCACGGGTCAAGAAGGAAGATCCGGCCACAGAAGGGCTCTGGTCGCGCACGTCTGGGAGACAGGAAGTCGCCCATGCTCAGAGGTGGAGGCGTAGCATTTGGCCCCAAGCCCCGCGACTTTGCAACCGAGCTACCGAAGAAGGTGTACGATCTGGCATGGCGAACAGCACTCTCATACCGCTTCCGCAAAGGCGAGCTGATCATCGTGGACAACGCCATAGAGATCGAGAGCCCATCTCCTCGCCTGCTCGGCGATATTTTCAAGTATCACGAGAAGATACAAGGGAGGGGACGTAGTCTCATGGTCACACTGGAAGAGCGACCCCTCCTCGAGGACGCACTCGAGCAAATGGGCCGTGGCGGACAGGCTCTCACATGGGAGGAAGTCGACGTCAAGAACCTTCTTGAACTCTCTCGCGTCATGATCGAGCGCGACGCCCTGCACAACATCCTCTTCTCGCACCAAGAAGATCTCACAAACAAAACCGTCCAGCCATGGCACAAGTCCTTCATCCGCGAATCCCCGCCCAAAGAGCTTGAAAGCATACTTGGCTGGGCAGAATTCCGCGAACTCCAGCAGATTGAGGATCTGGACCCAAAGCAACTGGACGTGGCGCGCCCAACCCTCTACGAGGACGTGGCCGACAAGCGCTGGGAGCGTGCTACTACCATGCCCGAGGGCCCTCAACGCACCGAGCTCAGTATATCAGCTTACAACCTCCTCGCCGAAGCAAAGGAACTCCATTTCCACCGCATCACCGGCGGCCTCTCATGGTCCGACTACATAAAATACGAGTTCGACTTCCCCCGCTCCCAACAGCTCGGCCAGCAGCGCGCCATCCTACTCGAGCGCGCGACCTCGAGTTCCCAGGTATCTCCTCTCGACGGAGAAGTCTTGGAACTCGAAGCTGCAAGGCTAGCGGTGCAGGACCAGGAAATGCAGCATGAGGCGGCCATCTTGGCTGCGCAGGTGTGGGAGCATCGCGCCGAGGCGCAGGCTCTGATGGGCGAGGAAGACGCTGCGGAGGAGAGAAAGAATATGGCCAGCGATGAGCGCCTCAAGGTAGACGAGAGGGACTTGGAGGTCTCAAAGGCCAAGTTGGATGTGGCGAGCAGAGAGCTCAGGGTCGCGACTATTAAGAAAGATTGGCAGGCGCAGACGAAGGCGCAGAACAAGGTCGACGAATTGACGGGCGAGGTCGAGAGGAAGGAGAATGAATTAGCAGCCGCTCAGGAACTGGAGACGGATGAGGTGGAGGCGTCGGAGGAGATTGCGAAGATTGAGGGGGGGAAGAAGTAGAATCGTGTACATTATGTCTTCACGCGTTGAGAATGTATGATATGTGCGGTTCATCGCTTCCCCCATGAGGAGAACCATGGGAGAAGGTTTATTTGAGATCATGTCATATCTTCATCTAATCCGTCCTTCCAGCCGCGCCATAACGCCTAACTATGCTTTGCAAGAAGTAACATCTCCAGCCTCATACCTTCTGTTCAGCTCTTCATCTCGACCTCCTGGCTGACAGGCTCTTGAGCGCCGCCCTTGAGGTTAAACACCTGGTCCTTGACCTTGGCCGCCAACAAGCCCATGTCCTCCTCCCGCGCAATCTTGCTACCCGCCGCACCTAGCTTAGCGAGCTGGTCCTTCTCGTTTCCAGTGCCCGCTGTCATGGTCTTGTACCGCTTGCTGCTGCTCGTCTCTTGTTGTATCTTGCGCGCCAAATCGCTAATCTGGTTGGTGCCGTAGTCGCGGTTCGAAATCAGCGGTGACGAGGACAAAGTCTGTACCCAGTATTTGTTCCACAGGGCTTCTAGGATCTTGGCGTCGAGCGAGGACTTGTAGTGGGAGACTTCAAGCGAATAGTAGTGCGCAGCGTGAGCGCCAAAGTCCTCAATCTTGCCCAGCGGAATCGTCTGGAACCCATCACCATCAGCCCCGCCACCACCGGTCTTGCTCGTGACCTTTTCCTGCTCCTCGATATACGCCGCTGGGAACGTTCGGAACGCGCCAATTTCAACCTTGCCCGCGCTGACAGTGCGATCAGGATCAATGACGATGGCGCAGAAGGGGTCCGAGAACTGCTGCTGCGTCTTCTGCGTATTGACATCGATGCCGGACAACCAGCACCCATAGCCCGGATGGGAATGGTACCAGCCGACCGCATTATCCATCTGGCCCTGGTCTCGTGCGCGCTGCAAGAACTCAACCATGTACTCGTTCGCCTCGTCCTGCGCATTGACGCGGGTCTCGGTGCCCTCGACGGGCAGGCGGAAGGCGTCGGTGACGACGAATGTGTGTGCTTCGATCTTGCCCATCATCAGGCCCATGACTTCGAGAGAGCCGCCGGAGCGCGCGTGCATGACCATCTTGAGCATGGCGACGGCGGAGACGCGCACCGAGGTGAAGTAGTGCGGGTCGGTGCGCCATGGGTGGGCCTCGTCCATGGACTTCTGGGCTGAGGAGGAGTACGAGTAGAGGGCATCTTTGGTCGGGTCGACGAGCTTGACCGAGTTCTCGAGCTCTGCGTGTTTGTTAGTATCTGTGGTGCTGTGGCGGGGCATTGCGGGGTGTTTGGGGATGATTTCGTGGACTCTGTATCGGATAGACTTACCCCACGTCTTCAATGCTGCGGCCTCCATGGTCGAGCGCCGAGTGTCAGTTGTGCAGAGAGACTCGCCAGGCGTGGTGGTCGTGAGGCGGGAGCTCCAAGTTGTGGTGGGGAGCTATCGTTCACCACGCCAAGACATGCAGGCACCAGTGCGGACCCCCGATGGAACAGCGACAGCTATGCTGGGGATGGATTCATGGTTTAATGCACCTAGCAGCTTTTCACACAGTCCAGCTATATACTCCCGCATCAGCTACGACTGCCCTTCCTCCACCCAGTCTGGTCTTCCCATCCCATGCGGTCATTCATACGCTTGGCCTCCTCCTCCATCTTCTGCACCCACCGCTTCGTCAGATCGTCGTTCTCCTTTTTCAGCTTTTGCTTCTCCTGCTCTGCCATGTTGAGCTGCAGCGTCAGAGCCACCATCTCATCCTGAATATCCTCGACAAACTTGCCCTTGCCCTTCAGCTCGTCCACTCTATCCTTGCCGCGTCGCTCCAAGTTCGTCTTCGCCTTCTCGAGCTGTTCTATGCGCTGCTTCTGGAGGGAGTCTGAGGCTTTGAGCGCAGATAGCTCCAAGTTTACGTCGCTGAGCTTGGTCTCTAGTTCGCTGCGGGTGCGTTGCGTGTTGGCCAGCTCAGCGCGTATTTGCGCAAGTGAAGAAGGCGGCGACACATCTGCCACAGTTGCAGCTCCTTTGCCTTTAGGAGTCCCAGGTCGAATGGTCTTGGATGCAGTAGGGGTGGTATCAGCGTCCTCGGCAGCAGATGCAGGCTGCTTTGCTAGACTAGCTGCTGTGCGGTCGGCAAGTTTTGTGTCTACAAATAGTCAGTCGGGAAGCGGAACAACGTCTATTCGTATTCGTCGGCACGCACATGCGTTGATGTACTCTTCGTGCGCCTTCTCCTGCGCATCGCGAGCCTCGATGGCAGACAAGTAGTCGGCGAGTGGATTACTCATGGCGGCAGATGAAGCAGCGATACTTGGGGTGATGAGTGTGTTCGTACTATCAATATCATCATGGTTTGCTACATGAAGTAGGGCTGGCGAGCGTCACGGAGGAGTGATGAACAGGTGGGCTGGAAGCCGCGGGGGTGCGGCCTACCGATTGGGTCATGCTGGGCGCAGCTTCTCTCGAAAAAAGCTTCGCGATCCTCACCATTTGACATCGCAATTGTACATTCAGCGTCGGTTGTTCCGCGTCCTCTTCACCCGTATTTCTCTACATCCTCTAAACGCAATGCCGCCATCACACATCTCAGGCACATCCCGCGCCCTCTACCGCGTCTTCGTCGCACCCACCCTCCGCGCCCCAACCTCAATCCCCCTGCTCTGGGCCCCAGCATTCGCACACTCGCCCTCTCCAACCCCAAGCCTCGCCTCGCACACCACCATACGCACCAAGACCTACGTCAAAGATGTCGCCCGCCACGCCCTCTCCGACCACTACGTGCTGGACGGCGCAATCCGCTCGAAGCGTATAAACTTCGTCGACGAGAGCGGCACCTTCAACCCCGGCATGCCCCTCGCCGACGCCCTTTCCCGCGTAAATAGAGTAACGCACTACCTCGTGCAGATGACGCCCGGCAAAGTCGACGAATTCGGCAACCAAGACCCCAACGACCTGCCTACATGCCGCGTCATGAGCAAGATAGCCCTCCGCGAACAACACGAGAAGAAACTCGATCTGGCGCGCAGACAGGCGAAAGGGCTGGGCGCGGGGCCGGCGCCGAAGAATATGGAATTCAGCTGGGCGATTGCGGGTGGGGATTTGAAGCACCGGTTGAGCAAATTGAAGGAGTTTTTGGGCGACGGGAGGAAGGTGGAAGTGTTGATGGCGCCGAAGAAAAAGGGCAGGACGGCAACGGAGGACGAGGCGAGTGGTGTTATAGCGGCGGTCAGGCGCGCGGTCGAGGAGGTCAAGGGCGCGAAGGAAGTGAAGAGCGAGGGAGAGGTGGGGGGCATTATGATGCTCACGATTGAGGGGCCGAAGAAAAAGAGACAAAAGGACTCTAAGAAGGAAAAGTCGAGCGAAGAGGAAGCGGCGGAAGCGCCGTGATTTGGAGAATAGAGCGGGGTGTACGACAATCGCAGTGGCTACAATGCAGATAAATTGTGGACAAGGAAGATGTGGAGCTCAGGAATCCATCTATCATGCTTTGATATGATCTGTTGGGTATCTCTACTATACTCATACACGTGGTATACACATCCCCTCCCCTCCAACTCTACATCTCAACACCCAACCTCGCCAACGTCTCCTTCCTCCCCAGAATCAACATAACATCATACAGCCTCATGCCCTTTTCCTGCCCCGTCAACTTCATCCTCAGATAATGATACACATGTTTGCTGCCCGCTTTGCCCTCTACCCTGCCATCAATAATCTCCACGACCTTGGCCATGAGATTCTCCCTCGTCCAGTCTTCCTCTGCCACATCCCTTAGCATCTGGCATCTCATCGGGACATCCGAGTTCGTGCTGACAGGCGGGGCTTCGTGGTACGGTCGCAGCGGCTGGAAGAAGAAGGAATTGCGGTACAGGAATTCGTTCGCGTCGGTGTAGTTTTCTGCATCGGCTTTGATGATTCCGGCTATGTATTCGTCGGGCACGGGTGAGCGGACTACTTTGTTCCATTCTTTGTATGGCGAGTCTGGAGAGAGGAGGAGGCGTGCGACATTCGCGACCATTTCTTGCATCTTGGGGCCGCCGGCTGCAGCGCGGATTGCGGCGTGCTTGCGCTGGAGGAAGTGTAGTTTGCCAAATGTCACTGTGGTGTTGCCTTTGGTGAACTTGAGGGTGAAATTCTTGACGAGGGTGTCCAGGTCCATTATGTCTGTCCTCTCCTTATGGCTCCATCCGAGCAGTGCAGCGAAGTTGGTCAACGTCTCCGGGAAAATCTCCATCTCTTTGAACGCGGTGATATCGGTGTCGAAGTTGCGTTTCGAGAGCTTGTTGCCGTGCTCGTCGACGAGCAGCCCAACGTGAGCGAATTCAGGCGGTGTCCAGCCAAAGGCAGAGTACATGGCGATGTGCTTGGGTGTACTGGGCATCCATTCCAGCCCGCGAATAACGTGTGTGATCTTCATGAGGTGGTCATCCACGACATTGGCGAGGTGGTATGTTGGCAAGCCATCGCTCTTGAGCAATATAGGATCTTCGAAGGAAGACTCGACGACATGGCCGCGCTTCTTGAGCGGCTTGAATGTGCCGTAGACGAGGTCGTGGTATTTGGGGTATTGGTCTGGTACTTTCAGACGGATCGTGTGTGACTCGCCCTTGTGTGCGCGGTCGTCGCTTTCTTCCTTGGCCATGTCGGCGCACGTGCGGTCGTAGTCGGTCGCAAGGCCAAGCTTGTGCTTGTGTTCTGCTAGAGCATTGAGGCGCTCAGAAGAGCAGAAGCAGCGGTAGGCGTGTCCCGTGTCCAACAGTTGCTGCGCGTGTTTCTTATATATTTCGCTTCTTTCTGATTGCTTATACGGCCCATAGGGACCTTCGACCTCGGGCCCTTCATCCCACTGCAGCCCGGCCCACCGCAGGTCTTCGAACAGTCGTCGCTCGGCGTCGGGTACGGTGCGCTTCTGGTCCGTGTCTTCGATGCGGAGCAGGAATTGCCCGCCGGTCCGCTTTGCAAGCAGGTAGTTGAAAAGGGCAGTTCGCAAAGAGCCGAGGTGCAGATAGCCCGTCGGCGAGGGCGCGAATCGGGTACGTGCTGGTGTGGAGGGAATCGCAGTGTTGGCTTGTATTTGTCTGGCCTTATTGGACGAGATGGGGCGTCGCGAAGCTTGTGACAGGCGCAGAAGGCAGGAGCGACACGTATATGCAGGCACTCGCGGCCGCAAAAGCAATGGAAAAGACATGGCGATGCGAGTGTTGCAAAGGCCTCTCCGGGTTGGCCAAGTCGGGTAGTGGGACAAACTTTCTACGGCGGCCCACTTAGACCATCTGCACATGCGGAGTTTTGGATTAGGCTGGGGAAAGAAAGATGCCTGTCAGTGACAAAAGTTTGTTGCCGCGACTCGACCTTTTTGGCTGACTGCCGGTACCACGCCCTGGTCGCGCATACCCTTCCTTCGTGTACATATTTCTCCCCCGCCAAAATACCCAGCCGCACTTTGCGCATCCTCTACAACTAGTCTGCATTCAAGAGTATGATGACCCCGCCATCCGTGCAGCGCACCTGCATGCTAATGTGAAGATGTAGTGGCCTCTGAAGAGATCGACCTCTATGGTACAGTCGCCTCCACTCGCTCAAGAACCCAAGAGTCGACTTCTAACTGCAACAGAGGTCCTCGGCATCCAAAGCAGCGCGAGCAAGGCAGAAATCAAAAAAGCCTACCACAAGGTTTGCGCCGCGCTGCACACATGTCCCATGCGATACTGATAGCCGACAGGCCGCGTTGGCACACCACCCCGACAAGGTCGCAGAAGACCAGCGCGAGGAAGCAGAGATCCGCTTCAAGGCGGCGAAACAGGCCTACGAAATCCTCAACGATGACGAGAAGCGACACCTCTACGACACCCACGGCATGGCTGCCTTCGACCCCTCCAAAGGCATGGGCGGCGGCGGCCCCGACATGGACGACATCTTTGCGCAAATGTTCGGCGGCATGGGTGGCATGGGCGGCGGCATGGGCGGGTTCGGCGGAATGCCAGGCATGGGCGGTATGGGAGGCGGACGCAACGTGCCACGGAAAGGCCGTTCAGTAGAGCAGGAGTACGAGGTCAGCCTGGAGGAGCTGTACAAGGGCAAGACGACCAAGTTCTCCAACACCAAGAACATTGTGTGTTCGAATTGCAAGGGCAGCGGCGGCAAGCAGGGCGCAAAGAGCCATGCATGTGGCATGTGCGGCGGCCAAGGTGCGTCGAGATCCTGCCGTTGGAAGCTGTGAGTTCATCACTGACACTGAACAGGACTGAAAGCCGTACTTCGCCAAGTAGGCCCCGGCCTCGTCACCCAAGAGACAGTGCCCTGCGGCAACTGTCAGGGAACCGGCGAGATCATCCCCGAGAAGCAGCGATGCAAGAAGTGCAAGGGCAAGAAGGTCGTCGAGTCGAAGAATGTCCTCGAACTCTACATCCCCCGCGGCGCCCGAGAAGGCGAGCGCATAGTTCTGGCTGGCGAGGCGGACCAATTACCGGACCAAGAGCCTGGCGACATCATCTTCACGCTCAAGGAGACCGAGCACGATGTCTTTGAGCGCGCAGGTGCCGATCTCAGGGCAGAGCTGAAGATCTCCCTGGTGGAGGCGCTCACTGGCTTCAATCGCGTCGTTGTGACACATCTCGACGGACGCGGCATACAGCTCAACGTACAGCAACCGAACGGCAAGATCCTGCGCCCCGGACAGGTCCTCAAGATTCAAGGTGAGGGTATGCCCATGAAAAAGACCGACACTAAGGGCGACCTCTTCCTTGTCGTCGACATCGAATTCCCGGAAGACGGATGGCTCACGGACGATGCTGCGGTACAAAAGGTCAAGGACGCATTACCCGCACCCGACCATGAGGAGAAGGAGCACGAAGAGATTGAAGAGGTGGAGGCTGACTTTGATGCCGAGATGGATGAGTTTGGTGCCGGTAGCGGAGACCCGCGCGCTGGTGGTCAGGAGTGGGAAGACGATGATGAGGGCGAGGGTGGACCGCAGTGCGCGACGCAATAGACGACCATCTCGATGTCACGGATGAATGATGATTGCATTGCTCGGCGTTGGGGGAGGTAGTGTCTTCATGACCGCATACACGAGGTCCCTCCAAGATAGGGCGAATCGAATACGCACCACTGTTGTCCGTACGACCGCGAGACCTTCGCTGAGACCCCTCGAGAGCTCGATTGCCTTCAGAACAATTGCAGCAGACCTTTCTTCTGCGTTATTTGACGTATAGCATTCGTGACTAAACAAGAGCTGCTCAAGTTTGCAGGCTTACACCATAAAAACAGCAGTAACTTGGTTATACCCAGTACAATGAACAAGACACGCAAACAATGCTAACGATCAAGTCAAGGGAAAGCGGCCGTCAAAACGCTTGAGCAGCAGCAGCCGCACTCGCACCCGCAGCTACGGAGCCGGAAGCTGCAAGTTCTCAGCAGGGCCTGACCGCCTCAAATACCCCCTATATGGTCGATTCTATTGGTGTACCAGGATCTTCGCGGGGCAAAGAACCCGCCGACTAGCCTGCAAAGGTGCCTGGAACAGATGCTGTCGCTGAAGTCGACAAGGCCACCGAGGACTTCACCGATCAAGATCTGACACAAGATTCGGAGGAGGTAGAGAATCGATGAAAGCTCTAGACTTAACGGATGCCGATATCTCACCGCAATTTCCATCTCGCAATGGTTCATGCAAGACAATCAGTGATTCCAGACAGACCAAGCTTCTGTCTAGCTTCTACAAGATCGATGTCGATGCCGAGACTCAATTCTACGAGAACAACATACGTGCGTTGCTTCTCATTGCGAACAAGGGGGAAATCAAGAAGCTGATCGAGACTCTGATCAGCCATGTTTGTGTACTCAACCGGCGCCTTGTCCCTGATCATCCCACCAAATCTATGCTTGAGTGAGCCACCAAAGTACCTACTGAGAGTATTCCCATCATCAAAGAGGTCTTTAACTTCATGAAGATCAGACGCGTCGCCACTTCTCCAAAAGCTTCCTTTATATGCCCCAATGTCGAGATTGCGAGATATAAAACTAGTTCAGACATAGGAACAATGCAGCCCGTTGAAGATTGCACCTAAGATGTTGGAGGTGGCTAGCACCGTCTTTCAGTATCCAGCCATCGTTCACAATGGCGATACCAGCATCAATCTCCACAAGTCGCGGATCGAGGGCACGAATCTTGAAGAAACTCCGCGATGGACACTGAAGGACCGCAACTCCTTGGAACATGGTCTACCAAGCGATCCTGGTGTTAGTGCTTTCCTCATCCAGCTCGAAAACGAAGACAATGATTGCCAAAGAGGATCATCTATTACAGGGACGGTGTGAGCGAAAGCCAGTACTCCAAGGTGGTTGAGACCGAAGTTAGTGCTGTCAAACGGGCATTCGTGAAACTTCGCACATTGAAGAAGTGGAAGGAAGACATCAAGGTCACGACCATCGTGGCGACGAAGCGACATTATGCACGCTTCTACCCGATCGAAAAAGAAGACAAAGCGGGCAAATGCGGCAATTACCAGCCCGGGATTGTCGTAGACACCACAGTTACTAGCCCCTACTTCACAGAGTTCTTCCTCCAGGCCCACAGCGAACTTCAAGGTACTACAAAACTAGCAGACTACTTCGTAGTGAAAGACGACGTGAACTGGAACGTGACAAATCTCGCTGCCCTTGTAAGCTACACTCCAGTATCTGCGAAAGACACCCGCTGACTTTACTCTCCTACACCTACGTCCGCTCCACATGCGGCTTCTCTTAGGCCCCACCAGCATACTACGCCGACAAACTCTGCGAACGCGGCCGCATCTATCTCCGCAACTTCCTGACCGGCAACCCCAGCGTTCACGGGTCTCTGCGCGAAACCAAGACGGCGGCAGAACAGGTTCGGCGCAAGATGAGAGACGCTAAATTCAAACCGGTCAAAGAGAAAGCGATCAAAGCTAACAAGTTCTGGCCGAGAAAGTCTACGGCAGAGGAGGTTATGGAGGGTTTGCATAGGGATCAGGTGGCGAAGATCTGTAGGGAGGAGGCGATGAAGGAGGCCAGGAAGGTTTGGAAGAAGTATGTTGAGAGAAGCAGGAAGACTCCGTGGAAGGCGACACTTGATGGGATGATGTTTTGAATGTGAGGAGGTCTGTTTATGATGTGTTTATGATGCTTGATTGTTGCGTTTTCCTTTACTTTGTGCTCATCTTACTCTATTGTCTATGTCGCATGTACTATCGTTCTTTCTCCACACTTTACTATAGCAACTTAGCCTTAATAGTTGGCTCATACACCGGGACGTCCATCGGCTTGGGCACGTGATCCTGCTTAAGATTTACCTCTGCCCATCTCAGCCATCCAGCATACGTTCCATCCTCGCAGTCACTGCCTTCATTCTTCCGCCAAAGCACGCCCAAGGTATCTGTACCGAAAAGCTCCACCAAAAAGCCGTGAGCAAGCTTCAAGGCCCAAGTATTTGAGACCGTATTTTCAACTATGCTTCTTGCGAGTGCCTGATCCTCGGTCTCCTCCTCACCGGACCGTGGTAGCTTCTGCTTCAGAAGCTCCCATTGTCGTTGGCTGCTCCAATTTGTCGCTACTTCATGTGAAAAGGCGCAGCTAATCATGTCGTAGAGCCAGCAATGCTCGCGCACGTATTTGGGCCCATCCCAGCCATCGTCATCATCTTTCCAGCGCTGCGCAGCTCCCATACACTGGATCTGGATCGCGTAGTCCGTCATAGCTGCTTGGCTAGCACCTGGTGGAACGAGCATCAAAGGCACATGATTGACGAATGGATGTTGATGCGCTCCAGTTGTGTTCGTCTTTCCTTCCCACACCTTGAGCAGAATGTGGTGTGAACGCCGAATAAGCGGATTGCCAGCTTCACACATGAACATGAAGTTGGCGACGGAAATCCCGTCCGGCGGAGGGCTCATTGTGAATCCAGCGAAGTCGTACGGCGATGCAGGATTGGTGATATGCTCGGTCCACAGCCAGTCTAGGTCGCCAAACTGCAACACTCCAACGTCAAGATATATGCCGCCATACTTGAGTAGCAGGGGAAAGCGAATCAGGTCAGAAGTATGCTGGCGAGCGTATGTGCCATTGATCGTGCCGTTTATGAAGGCTTCCGGGACCTCGGATCGTGAAGAAGTGTCGATGAAGTTGGAAACGTTGAGAGGAGATCCTGGTACGGTGTTTAGGACATAGATTGTCCAACCAAGAGAGGAGAAGCGGCGATGCCAATTAATCACGGTGCGCATCGAACTTGGTGGCAACGCATCGAATCCCGCATGCCAGAAGGCAAAGATGGATTTGGACCCTGGGGCAGGCGGTATCGGACGTGGCAGGTGCAACAGTTGGGATTCCGATGGTGGTGGTGGAGACAAGGTTGTCCCTGGAATATTGGGGTATTCCATCGTGTGAAGTGCTTTCAGTCAACTGCTAGTATCAATCAGAAGATAGAATTTAGGTCATTCGCGTGCCAGATATTGAGGCAATGAGCTGACGAGGCGGAAGACTTTTTGTACCTTACAGAAGCGTAACAGCTCATTTGTACCTTACAGGGGTATCAGCTCACCGTAAGCTGATGTCTGTGCTTTACGTCATGTATGACAGGGATCTTAAACTTTATCTGCGCTTTCACACTTCTGCATATCATTTAAACACAAGGATTAACCACAATCAAGAGGCGTTGTAATGAATACCATATTTGAGCTTAAAGGTGTAGCCACAAGGACAAGCGATCGATAGGTTCCACTTCAAAAGCTACATTCCTCTGTGAAGGAGCAGGATACAAGGATCAAGACCTGAAGCGCGATTGTTACAACCCTGTGATTGAATCACGGAGCGTTGCTTTCAATTTGCGTTTGTACAGGGTGTCCAAGTCGGATCCTAATTAATTCTAGATATTGTTAGCATGTATTAACGTGTTAGACCGTCACGCATCTATCTTAGAGGAAACACGGAAGGAAATCAGCATAAAAATGTTAGGTTCATGCGTAAGAATTAATTCCAACGTATTGGAGCTCATGGCGACTGATCGACTGCGCTATCCAGGGTGCAACTTTGCGTTTGGAGACCCTGTAACTATGTAAGTTAGCGGTTACACCAGTCTTACCCGTTTTAACGGAACGCCAACCTTGCAGACCCTTGTGACCTACTAAACATCTAAATCGACCTATCTCCGCCGAAAGTAGCGCCTAGTGGCAGCATGTACCACCAGCGAGACACACCCTCGAGGCGCGCGCCGCAGCCTGATGACATGCGCGCCTCATCGCATGCGGCTCCTGCTCCATCTCGACCGCCAGTGCAACCGCCAAATGAAGCTGAATTTCTCATCATCGGTCTCTTCGCGCTGCGACTCACACAACGCATGATCGATGGCCTTGCTGATTACGCCGGGCGGGACGCCGATCGGGCCTGGCTAACTGACTTCCTTGCACCTTATCCGCGGGAACTCGCTTTAGCAAAAGTGTCGGGGTGCCGGAAGAATGAGTACATCGCCAATTATCAAGATATTGTGTCGAGAATGAAGAGACAACCACGATATCCGATGCGCTTCATGCAGATGAACCCCGATCGCTCGCAGCAGCAGGGACAAGCGAGGCGCGAAGCAGAGAGAGAAACTTCTAGGGAGATGACTGACCGTGAGTTCTGATGCAATGTATTCGATGCGACAAGACTAATCAATTTTTAGTTGAGCGGCTCGACATCATCGACTTCTGCGATGCGGCGGGCGAATGGGGATCGACTGTTCCTATTCCAGCACGTGAAGCAGAGAGAATGATCGAGTTGGCAGATCAGAGGCGGATCGCGGATTTGGGCGATCGGGGGCTGTTGCGCGGCGATAGACACGAATATGGAGTATATTAGAGAGAGGAGAGCTATGATGAAGCTGACAGTGAATCAGGAACGAAGTGGATAAGATTGCGTAGGCCAGAATTTCATAGTTTGAAACGAGTGCTACATGCCTCGTGCTTTGCGTACACGGAAACCTGCCTTCACCTTGTTTTCTGAATAGGCCTTCACCTTGTATTTTCGGCAGTGCGACCGGGATACTTGTATATATCTTCGCGTCCTTCGGCTCTACCGCCGCACTACACTCCTTACACAATAAACTTTCCAATGTACGCCAGATATACAACGCCTCACTATGGATAGTAGCACAGTCGCTTCTGAGCCGTCGTGAGTGGACGCAGACTTGTGAGCGTAAACTCTGCTAAAATTCACGACAGCCTCTTCGACAATGAGCTCTTCTCGGACGTCACCATCCGCCAAACCCACTGTGGGTCAATGAAAGAGTATCATGCCCACAAAGCAGTCTTGCGCAGTGGCTCGCAATGGTTCACGAGAGCTTTGACTGGCAACTTTCAGGTATAGGCCTAAACAAACATGTAATCATTGACACTAAAAGGCCCTGAATAGGAAGCGAGTACAGGGGTGATTGAGCTTCATGATGACGACGCCCGTCTATTTTGAAGTCCTCCTCTACTACATCTATGAGCATGTGTGGAATGCAACTGTCGCTGGGAAAAAGAACCACAAATCCGTATACTCATTCGGTGCTCTGAGCCTCACGCCTATTGGTGTCTACGCACTGGCCGATAAGTACGGAGTCAAGGGGCTCAAGGCTTGCGCAATCGATCTGATGCCGCAAACAACAGCGGGCTCAGTCTCTTCATCCGGACTGGCGCTATATGCCTTTCTCGCAAGCCCAGCAAGTCATCGATGCGCACTATAAGCAGTGTGTTTCCGGAGGCTGCGGCATGGGTCTCCACATTTGCCTCCTCATCATTAAGAGCATGCCCCGTATTGTAAAGGATCTTGAGATGGAGAAACTAGTCGCAAAGCATCCCGCCATGGGTGCGGACATGTATCTTGCAGCTCGTAGAAATGACGGCAAACTCTGGTAAGAGAAAAAGCATTGGGCGGGCAGAAGATGACACGATGTGCAAAGGGAATGCTGTCCAGAAATGTGGCCAAAACTGCGGGTAAAATAAACGGAGTCCTGCAGTTTACCACGGGTAACGCTGGGTTTCCCAAAAATGTGGTGATACAGGTCTTGCTTTAGCAATAGTTTCCACGAATACGTTAGCCCAAGAAATGATACATACAAAAAGCCTCTACTTCCACATTCCATCACACTTCACGTGTCCATCTTCACCTTCACCCCAGCAAACTACCGCGCACTAGCAGAGAGGCGAAGGCTCTCTATTGCTAACCGTAACCTTCCAAAACCTTCTCCTCCGTCGAAAACTTTTCACACGTAACCACAACCTCGTCTGCAGCAAAACGCCCATTCGGCAACACGGCAGCTACGCATTAGAAAACGTAAGTTGCACCATCATCTCACAGCTCTGGTATCGCTAACACTCTTCCCAGGATGTTCGACGACCCGACGCTGTCCAACATCAAAATCAAACAGATCAGCAACGGAAAGACGCGCGAGTACTTCAGACACAAGGCTAGACTATGCGCTGATTCGGATTTCTTTATTAATTCGTTCACTATTGGATTCAAGGTACGTATCGCGTCTTGTCAGGAACTACACTGCACTGATCCGACGTTAGGAAGCCAGCAATACCGCAGTGGAGGTCCATGACAATGACCCAGATCATTTTGAATCCGCGCTCAAATTCATCTACACACTCGATTACGATTTCTAGGCTGTTGAGATCGTTACTGGCGAAGACGAAAGTTGAGGAGGGCGTAATTCGCCATGGGAGTTCATGTTGTCGCTGATAAACATGACATTGAGCGCCTTCTCATGCCGATCGCGAGCGATCTTCAATTCACCTTAGAGAGTGTCGTAAACAAAACTGCCCTAGTGTCCTTTGTGGCCACCTATTACAAGACATGTCATCATTCAGGAGCCATCATTGGGAGCAAGATATCGACTACGTTGTTTCGAAGTCATCACAACTTCACCCAGTCCACTGAATTCTGTCAACTGTCTCAATTATCCTTTTCTTTCTCGGCGAATCTCATGGCCTCTTCTACACGCTTTCGAAGTAGCAGTTGTGATAGGACTAACATTATAATATCAGAGGTGCAGTTAGGATCTTTTGTGCCTACTGCTGCGAATACGAGGAGACGACCCCTCGGAAATAGCTCTGGTGAATCTAGAAGGATAAAAGTTGGCTGTATGAAGCTAGTCAAAGGAGCTCAGTAATCATGGGCCGGCTGAACCAACTCGTGCTGGACTCGTATTGCCTCACAATGCATGATCTTCTCTCTTGTTCAAGACTTGGACAACTCAATGGCGAGCGACCAGAAGTAAGCGACATGTACTACGAAACAGTTGGCTAACTACCCAGCATTCCCCGACTGAGGATGGATCAAAATTACAACAGGCAGATCTGGAAGCAGGAAATCGATCAAACTGCGCTATGTATGTACATGTACGGCTTCATTAGCATGCTAAAGGCGACTTCCAAAGTCAAAGCTCACGCTCAGTCATCTGCCATTTCGATGGCTCTTGAAAGAAAAGCTAGACTTTGGATGCGGCGTGAGATTGCAGCTAAGATCTGGCGCAGGATGGACCCGAGCTGCGGCTGGTGGCAGCCGTCCTCCATATCTATGAATAGATTTCCGTTTTGTGCTCATAGATCATCCTTGATATTGGTACCTGGTCCAAATTCCTTTCCGCTGAACAGAACGCAATGTTCCAAATGCCGAAGCACCACACTTAACTCAATTCGAACATGACGCACATTTGCAGGTAAGCTGGTTTGTATCCAGCCGAGCGACATACCATATCCTGATAATTGGGTTTGGCTTTCCTTCCCGGATTTGGAGATTTAGATAACTAATGCCAGAACCAATCGCCCACGAAACAAAGCTACTGCTTATGGATCGAGGAATAATTAACGATATGAGAATAAGAAGCAGTAAAGACTTGATGCTAGCACAGCTCAAAATACTGTGCCCAACCACTCTCCACTAAATGCGAAGTCAGATTCTGTGAATTGAACGCCTCGGCTAGCAAGTTCCTCAGACAGCCTATCGAATGAACCATTACGAGAGCCGACGGATCCAAAGCTTCTTAGTCGAGACAGTTGGTCGAGGTTGCGGACAAACTCCCAAAGAAATTCGGTCCTGTCGGAGAGCCCGACAAACTCTGAAGCTAGGAACAGGCATTCGAGGTAAGGAGGGAGGAGATCAATGAGCGAGCTCTGGGGACAAAAATCGCTCCAATCATAATCGGGTCCCTCCAAATCATAACCTTCTGGCTTTCCCATCATGACGATATCTGGTACGCGAAGTCGCTTCAAGAGCAAGAAGTCAGAGAATGTTCCCAAGGGGTCTTGGTGGACGTCTCCCAAATACGACTCCCCAACTGAGATGGAAACATTTTCCAGTGTTCCAAGGCTCTTTCGCAGAGCCGAGTACAGGATGCGGAAGTCAAAGAATTCTTCCGCCTCCGATGGTGATAGTAGGAAGTTTTTCAGATTGGGACAAGATTCTAGAGTAGCTGCGATAAGCTTTAAACTCACGTTACACATATGCAGGTTTAGTGTCTCCAGTTTAGCCATAACAATATGTGGGTGCAAGACCGAGTCGTATATTCCTGGTGAAGGTGCCAAAATTTGCTGAAAATGTCGAAGATTGGTAAGTTGTGGAAGCAGATGTCGTACTGGTGTGGCTGGAAGGAACGGAGACTCATAGTCAGGCTTCCTCTGCTTGTCAAACCAATCGCCCCGCATGGTCAATATGAGTCTTTCAAGCCGACTAAAGTCATGGACACGAGACGGCGGTTTTTCGCACAGCGGATTGTCTATGCCGAGGAGGGACAAATTGGTCGAAAGTGTATTCTCATAGACATCGATAACGACGTGAGTGATATTGGGGGCCATTGCAGCTAGAAGTACGGACTGAGCTTGCTCCGGACGCATCTCGCATAACTGGATCCAAACCTGTAGCTGAGTCGCACCCCATATTTGCGAGGCTAAACGTTTCATAGCCTTACGGTGACTTGACCATCTCTCACGGCGGAGATAAGTCCGGCAGAGCTCCAACATATCGGACGATTCGAATGAGAAATTGACATAGCGCAAGTGTTGACCAAGGCTCGGACTGCGCACAACTGCCTCGCCAAATTCAAAGAATTGTCTCAGATAGTGCTCAGATCTTGACTCCTGGCCAGGCGATGATCTGTATGGCAGTTTCTGCGATGCCTCGCGTTTGACAAGATTCCCATAGAGTTCTGGTATTGCAAGACGGCTAAGATGCGTTGATGTGAGGCATAACGATGCGAAGATTGCGACGGATGCGTTGCTACTTATGCCCGCGCTATACACCTCATGATCATGTGACAAGTAGACAAGAAGTCGCGCGGGCCGCAGATGCTTAAAGATCTCGAGGATCAGCTCGTCGGAAAGTCGTTCAAGCATGCTTGCCATGATTGTTCGTAGTACAGAGGTTGCAGCAGACTTCCAAGTTAAAAGATTTGGATGGGGAGTGCAGGTGAGGCGTGAAAGAAGGAGGGGCAGGTGCAAGAAAGGCGCAAGAAACATGTCAACCACCGATCGAAGTAGACTAGCGCTGACATAGAAATTGCTAATGGTCCCATGCGACGGTACAATATCAAGTACCGGTACAAGGATACACTTACAAAATAGTATCTCTGATATTGCAGTAAATTTCTGAGACTTCATCTCTTTAAATAACACTCTTTGGAGCATGCGATGATATCGTCAACCATTGCTACCAATATCGTCATCAAATACACCCGTTTATATTTCTGATTTTCGTGATCATGAGAGATGATTAGAATTCTTCAAACTCAATTGGCGCCAAGGCGATTTCCTCAAAGACAATGCCAGTGCAACAGTAATTTGACGTATTTATCCCCATCGTTTTATAGGCATTCTACTGTAGCAAGAAAGCAACGCACAGAAACGCTGGAAATATCGACAATGAAGCCAAGTATACTGCTTACCACCCGTCGCACAACTACAGATCTGCCTGAAATACGTGGAAATGATAGGTTCTATTCTGAAAATGTACGGATATGTCATAATCATTTGGTACTGACCTTGCTAGAGCCCTGCCAAGATCCCTGAACTCGTCTCACAAAGACCTACAAATGCTCCTTCCCGTCCGTTTCCCTCCTCTTCTCAGCCCACGCAGACACCTCATCAAAATTCCGACAAATGTGAACCGCGCCGGTACCATCAGTCCCCGCTGCATCGCCCAACACATTCGACTGCGCCTGGCCTTCTAATGTCGTGTCTGCAGCGCACATGAGCGCACTACGTATGTAATTGAAGCAGTGATCGTTGTGCGCTAATGCCTGTTCATCGAGTGTCCACTCCCTGTTGCGGATTTTCATGGTGAGTTTGTCGAGAAAAGCGGAGATGTGCATGAGGCAGTGCAGCTGGTGGAAGACGGCGATTGCGAAAAGTTCCTTGCCTGGCGACACATCAAAGTGCATTGGAGGTGGTAGGGTGTATTTTTTGTAGTCTTGAATGTGCATGAAGCCGCTGCCACCTGTAGAGGTGTCAGACTTGCCTAGTAAGCACAGTAATACTGAGCTTTGACTTACGAGGCATCAAATCCTTCCAGTGATCTTTGGTCGCATTGATCGACTCTATGGTCAGGTGATCGGATGCGTATCGATCGTCCGCACGGAATATCTTCTTCTCCATGGAGACTGAGTGGGAATTAGCACATATCTAGCGCGACGAGAAGTGGTTTAGAGGCTGACTACTTACAGTGAGGGACAAGGCCATTGATCTCTCCACCGATTGGGAGCGACGGCGGCTGCCTGCGCAATATAGATAGCTCACATGTCAAAATCACGATCAGTATGAAGAGCGCTGCGGGCCAGCGCAGCATCTTGACTTTATCGATTGTTTTAGTCCACATTTTAGACCGGCCCCGGATAAGCCGAGCCTGATGCTCATCGAGGCTGTGTTCGTCGTGATCCCTGCTGTCGTTGTTGACTTTCGCGTAGCCGAATGCCATCGTATGGAATCTCGTGTGCGCTTGCCACGTTGGAGAATATAGAGGAAAGCTGGAGTTCTGCGCAGCTTTTCAGTTTATCCTTTCCGCAACTGAAAGCAATCGTGGTTTAAGATGTATGATGACGGTGCGCGCCAAGCCTTATTCAAATTACTATTCAGGTCCCAAATAGGCAACCCCTCATCCTCCAACTTGGGTTTCTGACAACCGAAACAAAGCCTACCAAACTTCAGCCATTAGGAGAAGCCTTGAAGTTACGCTTCAGTCCCTTCCGAGGTTCAAGTTCATGTTTGCTCATCGGTTCCATCCTCCGGAAAGGCGTGCATGTAATCTTCAAGCACATCAACTAGATCTGCATGGACTGCCTTTTGCTCCAGCTTCTTCCCAACATAGGTATTCTTCTGCTTCTTTTCTAGGCCAACGGCTCGCCTGTGCGCGCGGCTCTTGACATGGAGACTCCAGTCATTCTCAGTGACTGCAATGGTACCACAAGTATCGCAAACTTTCTTCTGCCAAAGATCCGGCCGTTGTCCGAGATCATAATCGCGTTTCGGGGCCAGCATATCGGACGCAATGGCAGAGAGCGAAGAAGGACGTGGAAGGGCTTGACCAGCAAGAAAATGTTCGGTGAGATCTAATGCTGGCGAGACCACATGGTCTTTCCATTCGGAAAGATTGGTTCCATCCAATAAAAAGACATTAAGCTTTTGATCTGCTCTAATGAGAGCATTGAGTAGCTTGATTCGGATCCACTTCAGTTGGCGACTTGCGTATTGTCTTGTCGCGGCCTGCGTCTTTGCGATGCCCTCGGTCTTGAGCCGCTGAAGATCCTCTGCGCTTGACGCTGGGTTGCCTAGACCTTCTTGGTATTTCAAAAATTCTTTGTAGCCTATCGACACCCAGATACCACGGCTTTGGTCCAAAGCGATCTTGGATTCAGTCTCGTAGTCTTGTTTGAAGCGTGCGAGAGCGTTGACTTCTTCCAATAGTCCATTAGCAATCATCTTGTCCACGCGTTCGTCTAGTCGTGAATAGAGTACGTCCTTGTTCGCGTGCACCCAGAGCACCAAAGTAGGGAAGCGCATGCCCGTGTTGCTTGTCAGATCGGCATCTGGGAGGCCGGGCGACTGTTCTCTCCTCAGCCGCTGCTCGTCATAGATCTGAGAGGCAGGCTTTCCGGTCTTTAAGAAGATCTCCAACGAGCGTTGTATCTTACGCCTTTCATTTGGGTGCCATCGATCCGCCATGGCTGGGTCAACTTCTTTAAGCTTGGCAAGGATGACCTCTGTCGGCTCATCGAGGATGGGGAGCCTCTCATGGTCTGAATGTAGATTCAAGGACTCTTCCCGCGACAATGCATCATGGAATAAGAGCGACTGCGTGTAATAGTGAGTCCCTCCAACGAGAATTGGAGTCTTGCCTCGACCCCGAATCTCACTGATCTATGATGTATCAGCACTATCGGACCTCGCAGAGCGCGATGATGCATACTACGTCAAGCGCCTTGTTGACAAACTTCCCCACTGTCCAAGTCTCCTCTCGCAGTCCAATACAGCCGAGAAGATGATGTGGCACATCCTTCATCTCTTCTCGGGTGATCTTATTGGTGATGATTGGCAGGCCTTCGTACAGTTGCATCGCGTCTCCATTGATAATCTCGCCGTTGAACTTGCATGCTATCTCAACAGCCAACTACCTTTGCTGGTCAATGAACGCTCGTATCTTGCAAACAAGGGCAGAATCATACATCTGATTTGCCTGTCCCCGTCGCGCCGACCACGGCAATCAGAGGGTATCGCGGCGTTGGTACCATCCTTATAGACGTGCTGAATGGCCTGATGATCCGAAGCATGCATTCGTGTGATAGCATCTGTTGTCTGCGACGATGCGTGCATCGAAAATGCTCTTAACGTCCTAGCCAGTTTCTCGCTAGCTGGATGTTAGCGCCGCCCCACATCGCCAGGCAGTTCGCCCGTGCGCCGCCCATGCTAAAGTCGAATGTCTTCATCCACTGCGAACATGATCAACACTATAACAGACATCGCTATTACCGCGAGCTATCGGGCCTACGAGTATCGGCGTCAGACCTTCGGGATAGTCACTTTGGCTTGGAACGACACGTGACGTTCAGTAGCTAGGAAAAAGCATCAGTATTCCGGTTCTTGATGTTTCGCATTATGAGCATTGTGAAATTATGCACCAAAAGGAAAAAAAGGGAGTGTGATCTGAGAATTGACGGTCGACGACACCAGCTTGGATTGATTATGCTTCCTGTACGAACAGCTCTAGCGCAACCCTTCTAAACACCTTGCGCATGGCGCGCGTTCTAAATGCCCTCACCAGCGAGCCTGCAAAGTGGGCGACCCCTCTCGAGAGTATTGGCGTCGCAAGTCAGACGAGCATCTTCGATACAAGTCAAAGCTCCTCCACCTGTGGAATGGATTAGTTGAGTGATAAGACACAGCGCACGGCTGGGTACTTACAGCCTCTTGAGCCTGAGGGAACGCAGCGACCAGTTGAGCCGTTGACGTTGCAAACGTCCTGCTTCAAACTGGCGTTGGGTGCGCAGCAGTTGCCAGTGGGGACAGGGCGGCCAGCGTTCTGGGGAGCTGGGGCTGCGAAAGCCATGGAGACAAAGAGAGCGGCGGCGGCAAGAGTGAACTTCATCGTTGCTGATTTTATCGTAGGTTGAGTATTGCTCGGATTAGGCGATCGATGATTTGTTTGAGTTGATGATTAAGACCGAACCGGCGGCGGAAGAAGTGAAGAGATGCGAAGACTGTGAAATTGAAGACGGAAACTGGTGTGTGATGCTCCTAATGGGCGACGCACGACAATCGCTTTATACTCCCAGCAAGTTCACGATACTGCGCCATTTCCCAAATTTCTGGCAGTGGCCTTGTTACTGCGCATGATGTCTCAGGCTTTCGTAACTAGCCTTGAACGAGCGCTCTATGTTTGTGCACGCCACGCGAAGGCCATGGAATTCCTCACGATGCGCAGATCACACACCATATGAGGCACGATTGCCAATTTGGGTGGCGTCTCCAACGGGCGTTCGCTACCCATGGTAAGTTGAGCCGGTGCACGGAAGGCGCAGAAGTTTCAGAATGTTCTGCAGAGTGTGTCAAACAATAGCGTGATACTTAGCGCAAGCGTCAATGGCCGCTTTACCCGTGCAAGTACCGCCACAATAGAGCAGGTTCGGACATTATTGCTGCGTCTATTGGTGGAACTGAAAGTGGTTTGTTTTTCTACGGAGAGAAAGCGTCGCGGGTCTTCGAGCTCGGAAGGTATTGGTTCTTTGGTCGGCATGACCAAAGACGTCGCTTCGATTGCCTAGGTCTAATCGCTTCCATCTAGATAGCATCAGTGTCAGCAGAGCTATGAAGTCATTGGTAAGGAGTAGTACTAGAGGAAACATACCTGGGAGCCGCATATCAAGGTTCGTCAAGGGCGGCCGCTGCAGTGCCGCTAGAATGGTGGAGGGTCGAGATTTGTGTTGTCCAAATGAGTGGATAACGACGCCCGTGGCCCGTATCAAGTACGAAAAAAATAATTTTACCAAGTTGCCATACCTACAAATACCTTCAAGATGCACGGAGTGTAAGACATCGGCCGAAGGTTGTTGATGAAGGGCTCCCAGCGTCTTTGGAGATTCGTTTGTCTTCAAGCAGTCTGATCGACTCTTGTAGGGGCATATGATCTGTGGCAAAGATAGGTGAGGCTAGTTTTCGAAGTTTTGTGCCTGCTTCTCATCGTAGTTTTAGGCCATCGGTGTCGAGCCAGAACTCACGAGACTACCCATGGGCTCATAGCAACGAATTTGGTGGGAAGGTGAGTTCCTGAGTTTACTTCCGTGCTGCGCAAATGCTGCGCTTCGTTGAGGTCTCGAGTATATGGAAGCGTTAGCTAGTCGTGGAAGTTGCAGCGGAAGTTACTTCGTACACCTTTTGTGGAAGATTCGCCCTTTGCATCGAGCAACGATTTCGGCTGGAAAGAAAACACCCATGAACATTGTATTGGATTTTAGTCTCTCGTGAGGTTCTGGGCGCCGCTGATTCCTGGTACTTCCTACATAAAGAGCACAGCTAGATTATGAGAGGTATTGAGTCAGCTCGAATCTGGAGAAGAATTGTGTGAATCTTTGCTTAAGTGCTCCCTTGATGTGGATTGGTGGATTGAAGAAGCAAACAACTACTAGCGTCTGTAAGAACGAGAATTGAGGCGCACCCGATACAACCCTCTCTGACTGAGAACTAAGATCGGGAAGGACTTGGGTCTTCAATCCCGAGCACAAAATGAACCAGCTGATATGACCAGATCGCATAGGTCATTTGCAACACTACAATAACTGATGCACTAGAACGTAGCCAATGTGAAACAGCACTTCCCGAAGCCGAGGCAACGACGATGCCCATTGCAAGGTTGTCGTACTTCTCTACGCATGTCTTACCAGTGAGATGGGTCCTCGACCTGCACGTGCTGAGGGCTGCCGTCTTCGTATGTTCTTGGCCGGTAGTCCCATATAAATGAAACCATGTAATCCCCGATCTCGCGGAGAAACCAGGTAAAGAACTGTAATAACAGCGGCCCCTGTCACTATCGCATGATCGAGTACCTATGAGATGATTAGTCGTTGCTTCAGCAGTCTGGCTACTATTGGAGAATAGATCGTGAGGCAGATGCTTCCTGCTTGGTAATTCTAGAAACAGAAATGCCACTGACAAGGAGATGATGATGGTACGCGTGGCTCTCAATCACGAGGCGTACATGGTCTCAGTCGTGTAGCGTTCCGTTAGCAAAAGCTATCAGAGTACGCACCTGTTTCGAGAGCCCGCAGGCAACATGGCTGCTATGTCCAAAGCGGAAGTGCGAGGCGACTGGCCTACTAGGCGATCGAACCCTCCAATGGTGAAGTGTTGTCAGTTTGTTGTACCGAGGCATCCCGTCGAAACCTTCATTCAAGATGTGAACAACTATGGATGCCCCGTCTTGCGCACATCATCTCAGGCTGAGCTTTCTGAAAACTCGGAGATATAACTCAATCTAACAGACACCACGATCTGCTGACGAGCGGGTGATAGGTTCCGAGGAGATAAGCGGGATCGTCTCAGGGAGTCGTACATGACTCGGCCGCTCGTCATGAACTCTTGCCGTGACTGCCTAGGTAGGCGCGTTCCAGGCTGGCAAGGGTATGGGAAAACATGATTTTGCGGGTCTTGGTGTCAGCCATGCGCCAATTCGAGCTGACCGTTATAGTAGGGAAAAACGTTGAGAATTCAGCCACAAGTATTACTTTTGCGGGGTACCTAAGCGCGCGGGAGACGCCTTAGCTGACGCTAGCGCGTTGAAAACGTGGCTGCATGACATCCTTGACAGATCCCGAACCACGAAACTCATCTGAGCTGAGGCCAAAACGTCTGCGACATGGAACAATGTATGCGATCCATGTTCTTGCTCAGAGATCCCATCAATCCATGTTAGTTGCTCTAAATGAACAGTACGACGTGAAGGCGCGGGGCAGAGGCGACAAACCTGCCTTTCGCGGATGCATGCGAGTCGAGTACTAGGTTATCCCCTAAGCTCTGTACAAATGCCGGCCAACGTGGGAGCTAAGCTACGAGAAAGCTGCAAGATCGACAGCACCAGGTCGGTAGGCTCGACACCCAAGAATGTTGAACCCTGCTTCGAGGTCCCGACGAGACGACAATGCCGCGAATACAAGGAGCAGACGACGAATCAACTCTGAAACCACAAAAAGATTGCCGAGGATGGAAGAAGGCCAAAACGCCTAGAAAACGCATGATACGCTTGATTAGTGGACCTACTCCACTATCTTTGTTCGCGATCGTTTTAGTCGGACTCCACCAGCCCCACTGAAAGTGCTAGGTATGCTACTAGGTGAAGTCAGGAGCGATCGGCAAAGCGTAACGGTACAGCTCACTCACGCGGCCTTGCACACGTTAGATAGGGGTAATAAATACACTGTCTTACTTGAGCCGGATTGGGCGTAAAAAGCCTTTGTGACAGACGGGAGCGTGTACTATTGCGGTAAGAAGAAGCAACATACCCCTCAACCCCGGTGTCGAGACGGCTCAGATTCTGCCCTACGGCATGACCCTGCACCATCTGCTCAAATTACAGACCTCATACTGGCCAATTGTGATGCATAGCCTCGAATCGCTGCCGAGGGTGGATCGAAAACATGATCGCGAAGAAGCAATGTCTACAGTTGGTTCAGGCGGCGTGGGCCACACACCTGATGTCTCGGCTCGGACCATCCATCCTTCTTGAGCTTACCGATTGCGCCTTCAAGCCAGGCAATATCTTCGGTAAACACCCGGCTCATCGAAAGCACGAATAGGAAACGCTCATTGTGCATCATTCCTTGGCAGAAAAGGGCCCCGTCGAGGGAGTGAAACGGATATGCATGAACCAAGCCTGTATGCCACACTCGGAACCGCATGGACCTACGTTGACTCGCTGACCATACATTGGCTGACATAGAAGTGTAGATGATGTCAATATGCAAGAGCTTGAATGCGGTAAGAGGGAGGGACCCTGTAGAAAGTTGGTGTTCGGAAGAAACAAATTTTTGATCTAGGCCGCTGCAAGAACCACCACCCGCGATCCAAGAAGGTATGGGTCAATGTGCAAGATGCTCCAAGTATAAGTATCTTAAGCTTCTGTACAAAGTTGAAAGGCATCTCAAGATCTCAACAGCAACTACAATCACTTGATCTCTTCTTTCACAGCACAACCTCTGCTCTTCAGCTTTCCAACTATAGCAACCTTCACACCAGTCTACCGACTCTCAACATGAAGTTCTTCGCAGCCTCCCTTTTCGCTTCTTTGGCTGTTGCAGCCCCTTTCGCAGCACCAGAGCCCACCGATGCTGAAATCGAGGCTCTCGTCGCTCGGGACGCTCTTGTCACTCGCCAAATGGGCTCGAAGAATGAGCTCGAACAAGGAGCCGCCGGTAGTTGCCCCAAGGCAATTCTCGTCTTTGCGCGTGGCACCACAGAGCAGGGCAATTTGGTAAGTCCTGAATTTGCGTGCCACGATTTGTCGATTTCCATCTCGGACCGACCAACAACGATGGAGATGGCGATCCTGGCCTGTCCACTCTCCACTCCAGACTCCACATGACTAACACGACTCAGGGCACTCTAGGCGCACCTCTCGGCAGCGCTCTTGAGCGCAAGTACGGTGCCGACCAGGTCTGGGTCCAAGGCGTTGGTGGCCCATACGACGCAACTGTCCCAGGCAACCTCATGTCGCGCGGCTCCACTCCTCAAGCTATCGCTGAGATGGGTCGCCTCTTGAAGATGGCCAACACCAAGTGCCCAGACGCTAAGGTCGTTGCTGGAGGTTACTCGTAAGTCGCAGCCTCACTACTATGCTCTTGTCCGTCACTAATATCCCATCAGTCAGGGTGCGGCTCTCGCTGCTGCCGCAGTCGGTGACCAAGAAGGCGCCGTGAAGGAGCAGATTGTTGGAACGGTTCTATTCGGCTACACCAAGAACATGCAGAACCGTGGCCAGATCCCCAACTATCCCACTGACAGGACCAAGATCTTCTGCGCCACCGGCGACATGGTCTGCACTGGTACTCTCACCATTACCGCTGCTCACTTGTCCTACGGTGATGAGGCCATGGGCGAGGCGCCACAGTTCCTGATCAGCAAGATCGGAGCTTAAGCGTCTGACGAGACTGGACTTGACAAGGGACCGGACTCTCTTAAGTACGAGCTGGGAACTCATACTATGTGATATGAGAATGTACATAGGTCGGCGACGCTTTTGTATTCTTTTTGATTTTGTATATAAACAGTTCCGTTATGGCCATAACGTTTTTCTACTTGATCGTTCTTTACGTACATTGCTTTGTGTGAGACTTTGAGTGAAATATAATATCTACATCACATGGTGTCATTGAGAGCCACCAAATGAGCGATTGTGTTGAACTCATGGACTGAGTACGCCGAATGGTTGATTCCACTGCTGAACGTGTGTAATAGAATTTATATTCGTGGTGGATACCAGCACACCTTAACCACTACTGCTCTCAAAGGGGTAGCTGTTTAGAGGATATCCTCATCTGAATAGATAAAGCGATGAAAGTCTCTGCTGTGACGTGCACGAATGTTATCTTGAATGCAATTCTGCCCCAGCGATGTCTCTCGCACGTCACTATACTGAGACAGTTCAGATAGTTTCATGAAGCATTCGTTCATCATACTATCGCATATCGTATCAACCCCACACATGTCCTCATCACCCAGGCAGCTAAGCAATCAAGTCAACGTATAGAAGTTACGCTTAAGCCCAGCGCGTCAACAATTTTGATCATTTGGAACGTCAATGTATCCACCCCACTCGTGATTTGGATGCATACAGCCTCGAGGCATGAACAGGACGCCGCTCTTTCGTGGCGTGATACTGGATGCACTGCTCTAGTTGGCCCGAATATCTACCTGCAGGGCCATGTCAGGGTCTTTGAACGATCACAATACCAAGTCTCGATGCGCGCAGCAACACCAGAATCCATGCCAAACTCGAACCTTATTCTTCTGCCGGATGGGAATAACTAGCACCAGCACAAGGATCCGTTGAACACGATGAGGCAAAAGCCCGCCTCCCGCGGCCTATTCGTCAAAGACCTCGTGGAGTTCGCATTCAATAGAATTATAGAGTTTTGACAATCGTTCGCGGGAACGTCACATCGAGGTTCGGTTAGGTTAATTCAACGTCACAGAATGCTGCCCATCTGGATGTGATGTCACCATACAGGGCATCATCAGGCAATAGAGCTTCACTTTGCTGCAATCAACCACCAACAAAGCGAAGTAACACTTTGGAGAAAGCAGCGACACTTGCGAGTCATTGGCGACAGATCATCCAAGTCGAAACTGGTAGTGGTATGGCTCCTTGCGTTAGGGTCTTGACGCAAGAGGCAAGCATGGATGATGCCCTTTCCAAAACGGGGTCAACAGCCTGATTTGCTAAGACGTTCGAGCATACGACTCACCTGTCGATCTTTCTTGAGGGTACAGGGTCTTTGCACACGAAAAATTTGAAAATTACGTCGCACTACCCCTACCCCAGTCTTGAATTGTGCCGTACTTGTGCTTTTGTATGCAAGGCACTCATTACAACCAGGAATAAGCATGCCCGGGTGTTGGTCCCGCGATCGAATGTCGCAACAAACTCGACGATGAGGCGGTCAACTGGAAGTCAATATTTCCGAGAAGACAAGCTTTTCGGCGTGATTGGAGCCCGCTTCTAGTTCGGGTTTGTTGCCGATCCCTTCCACCGGTACAACAGTGGTCAGTCTCTAGCGCAACTCGGCCAGACTTCCATGCAGAACGGTTGATCTTGGCGGCAGCATGCTCCCGAACACCCACCAGCCGAGGATTGGCTTAATTGAGCTGGAAAGAGCGACTACACGAGTAATGCCTACTCGGACTTCAAGTCATATGACAATATCTTGCAATTGAACTATTCGTCAAAGGAAAAAGTCGATATTGATGGTTGCGAAACGAAACATACAATCCATGGCCACCTGGGCACACATTTCTTCCTCCAGATACTCCACATTCTCGCCGTGAAACAAGTCCGTGTACTGATCAGCATATGCATTCCAATTCTGTGACTGTATTTTAGGGAACATGTGCAGAGTAAAGTGAAGCGACAAGCGAAGTTATGACATGGGCAGGCAGCAAAACTCAACGAATTCTGGACTCCAACCGCAATCTTGGACAGCGGTTAGATCGACGGAGAGAGTAGGGCTATTTCAGGTGTGTCACGGCAAGATCGGATGGACTCATTGTAGATAAATTGCACAAACTGTCGCGATTTGAAGTTGTCAATGCAGCATTGGTTGTGCAATTGACAAAAGTTTCCATCAGAGATGATGTATGAAACGACAAAAGAGGAGGGAAATTGGCGGGCTGCGATACTAACTAGAAGCAGAAACGGTATGGGTAGAAGAAGCTTGCTTGATGTGAGAGTAGGTGTAATTGCACACCCTCCCACCATACGTACTTTACGTTATTATGCTTGTCGCTTGCTCTCTTAAGTACTTTGTACGATCCTTCGCGATGAGGAGTCGGTCTTCACGATCGCGTATGCAAGCTAGCCAGAAATTTCGACCTGCCTGCGTCACGCGCAGTTCCGCTGTTGCAGGATCTCGGTTGGGGTAGACAATTCGTGCGTTTCGCTTGATGATGGTCATGATTGGAATGGAGGGAGATGGGTTGGAGAGCCTCACGTTGCGAAACCGACCAGAAAGACTTGAGAAAGGGCAGTGAACCAGGTGGTCGGAGACACTTTGGGTAAGGGTGAACAGTGGATACGGAACTTCATGTATCAAATTTTATCATCATTCTGCAATACATGTAACTATGGTATGTTTGCATGTCTCGTTCCGAGACGCATGTGCTAAACGAGGGAGCAAGACATAACGTCCCACACTTCTGCACATCTCAGACTATGCACAGTTCCCTGCATCAAAGCGAAAACACCGAACACCAGGTCCATCCAACTTGAGTAGACTTCGCCTTCTCAACTTCCGCTGCCTCCTTCACCTGTACCATCTACTTGCATATCAAGGGCCACAGCTGATCCACTGCCTCGTCTTTGCTCCTATGCAACGGTGAGGTCGCACGATGAAGTTTTGTCCATCGATCGTCTCACACATATACGCTGTCCAAATTTTGACGTCATTCTCGGGTAGAGGGCCGGCGAGGACGATGCACTCGTAGTACTGATTGACACACTCTGACGACTCGCGATGCTGTAAATTCTTAATTGTTATGCCAAACCATCAAGATCAGCAATGCCACCGCATAAGTACTCATCCATCTTATCTTAATTCTATGCATGCCACCCACCCAGCTTCACCCATCTCCCCTCTCCTTCAAAACCCTTCCACACTCACTCCACAGCACAACCTATCTTCCGCCCCATCCAATTCCTGCACCCCACCTCCTCCAAACCTAATCAACCTTTCCAACTCCCCTACCGCCTGCCCCTCACTCCGACACATCGGCGATCTCTCCAACACCCCACCCTCCCCATCCCGCATCTCCGCAAACCAATATTCCATGCGTGTCGTCATGATGCGTTTGACAGTGACGCGTGCCGCGAGATCGGGGAACAAGATATCGACTTTACTTTGCAGAGCCTCGATGGGACTAGTAGGGGTGGCGGCGTGCCTGTTGTACAATGCTATGCCAAGGAATGTTGTAGCGTAGGCGAGTGTAGTCGCACCGGCGATGCGTAAAGCGATTCCCGAAGTGATTTGCGAGGACATGATGTAGAAGTGTATGTGTGGAACTTGTAGAAGTTTGCAGTGGAAATGCCGGTGTTTTAAACGCCTGTGAGCATTGTTCATGTCTCACTGTTGAATCAGTGAACAGTGTCTTGCACGATTAGAGACATGTCGCAGAAGGAGGCGTACGTTTGACAACAATGGGCGTGATGCGCAAAGCGTGGGTGGAAGATGCCGGGGATTGAGACGATAAGTATCAGATCCAAACCACCTCTTCTCCTTCACAGTCAAGTTCCATTCAACCTATCCCCATCACTTCCCCCTCCCATAAATCCTCAGTCCCACTCCATTCTCCTCGCCTCATTCCTCGCCAACTCTCCCTCCTCCTCTCTTATTATCACCCATCCACCAGCCGCCATTTCCATCGTCCTCATGACCCATTCGCCATTCTTCTGTTCAAAGCGTGTCTCTGCGAATGTCCTATAGTACCGGCCAGACGCGATCATCAGTGCTGTCGCAGCGACGATAAGGATGCAGGGATGAGGGAGAACATTGCGTTTGTGAGTTTTGGTAATGGTGGTCAAAGGGGATTGGTTGTGATGTGTGGGCGGTGGAGTCGTAATGGCGTCAATGAGTGTTGGTGATGGAGTCGAAAGATGTGCGATGTACCTGTAGGGTTTAGCATGTGAGCATGTTTGCTTGGTTTCGCCTGCTGTCGATTCCTGGTATTGCCTGAGATATATGGAAAATTGTTGAGCTTAAAGGAAGATAGCTAGATGTGACAGGAACGTTCTGCATGCATGGAGACGGTGACTGGAACGAATAGTAGATTGTATAGACGAGAATGGTGAGGAACGACGTGACTGGCTAGCCGTGGTAGGACGAAGTATTATTCGATCGCGCGTAATAATGAATGGTCAGTCTCTCAATACCGACGAAAGCATGATACTGGACATAATCAAAAGACGACGACAGGCTACGAAAGCGGCACACCTGACAGGAACGTACTCGAAGAGGGAAGAAGCAGATTGAAATGGTATTTGATTTTGTATTTCCCGAGCTCGACCCAACCGCTAGGACAGTAGCGGCCGTACAAGCTCTCATCGCAGGTGTAGCCAAGAGGATACCATCAAGATATTTTATACAGAAGAGCCAACCATGAGACATCCGGCCAACGCTCTCATCAAAACGGGCCGAGTGAAGGTAAAACAGGATATCGAAAGTCGTGAGGAGCCATGAAAGTCAAGAGTAGCCGCCAGGTTCGCAATATGCACGGGAGCAAGAATGAAAGTCATCGATGACACTGTGATCATCCGGGTCGAGGAGCATTGATCCGATAGCCTCTGATAAGTCGAGTGCGACCATCTACTGGGTGCGAGCAGTCCAGTCGAAGGCAACATTCTGGCGGGCCTTGACCTCGCCGACAGAAGGATCGTGGCACACGGGTCCCCAGACTTGTTCACGGAACTGACCCTCAGCTACATTGTTGCCGTACCAGTTGTAGTCTACACAGGTCAGCAAGTTCCATTCATGAGTATCAAGGCGACTTACAGCAGTAGAAGCGGCCGGGCCACTGGACGGGGTTCTTAGCATCGTTGCAGTGTCCGACAGCGCAGCCGATGGACGAAGAGTTGCGCCAGACCATCTGGGAGAAGTGACCCCACGCATCGGAGAAGTGAGGGTTGTCGTAAGGGTACTGGGTCTCCTCCTCATGCCAGCCATGGGACGCGCCGCGGGCGAACGCGACCCACTCAGCGTGACCCTTGGGCGCAGGCTTAACGGACGAGAGGTTGCTGCCGGGGCGCTCCTACTGTTGTCAGTATGTATTCGGCATAATTGTGTGACGGCAAGCTTACATGAGTGGGCTTGTCCGGGCACTTCGCGACGTCGGCACGAGCCTGCTTGGCGAGCTCAGGGTCCCAGACGAGGTCCTGAGCGCAATGAAGCCTACGCCAGTACCAGTGGGCGCGCATCACGGCGCTGATGAAGTCCGGATCGTCCTGGTGAGGAGCGTCGTCGTCGATGAGGTCGCGCGGCTTGACGTCGACAGTGAGAGCGGCAACGGCCGTGGCAGCCGCGAGAGCTACGAGAAAGGCGGCAAATCTCATGTTGGATTGTTGATGTGTACGAGGATTAGCAGGTTGTTGGAAGTGGTTAGGAAGCAAATTTGCTTGGGATGCAGGTGAAGGAGAGGTGCAGTTGATCTAGCGATGTTGTGCACTGAGGTTGTAGGTTGTAGGTTGTAAGAGAGTGACAGAAGTTGACTAAAGAGTGGCAGTGGTCCAAGGTGGATTGTAGAGAAGGAGAATTGTGAGGACGGCGTGTGTTTATAGCGCGCACGGCCCGTGTGCTGGGGTAGTGTTATGATGGCGTGGTGTTGACCGTCTGCGCCTGCTGCCCCGCTTGCAAACGAACGAACGAACGAACGTACTTGAAGGCCAATAGGTCACTGTGCTTACCGCCGCGGGGCATCGCAAAGCCTGTCACAGAACACATCACGGGCACCCTCCTTGATTGCAGCAGGCTCCGAGGCGTCTCTCCTCGTGGGACTTTACCGCGAACTGCTTCACCGTGCACCCTCGATCAGTGCGGGTGCGACGTTGCGCTGCTGCGTGATAGGCCGATGGTCTGCGTTGCCATTTCCGTTTGTTTTAGTGAGATGAGAGTACGACAAACCCTTACCAACAATCTCTTTCGCGGGTTGGCATGATTTCTAGGGTTCGTAACAGGCTCGGTGAGTGTAAGCCGTATCAAAGCAGAGCTAGGCATGCATCATTGCTTCTAGGCGGACTGGACTGAAAGCAAAAAGGTCGACCCGGGTCTCTTTCTCCTAACCGTTGGTTCGTCAAGGGCGAAGTGCGAACAAGTCACGAACCTGAAGGAAGGAAGAATGGTCTACTTGCCGTGATAGGAATGATAGCATACTCTACACTACACGTTACATCTGTCAAGGCTCATGGGCGGACCGACATCCACGTGGGCCCGGACTGTGAGGCGTCCACCCAGGAAATGAGTCACCGTTTGCCAGACTTGCGTGGCGTTGAGCTTAGACAAATTGACATGAGTCTTTTTTCGAAGGAACCTGTGATATTCTCACGACCGTCCGCCCAGTTCGCATGCATTCGTACCGGAGTAAACGCCCGTAGTTTGTCCAAATGAGTGTTGTGCCACTAGCAAATCATTGGTGATAGCACTGCCGTAACAGCCACACATCTAACGTGCGCGCGTGGCCCCGGATCTCGACTGAAGTCACGAACAACATTTCTGTGATTTAGCGGGGTTTTGCAATGGGACGCCTCAATCGATTCAGAAAAAGCGCCGAAGTTTGGAATCCTCTAGGCCATCTTCTCGCCGACGATTTTCTTCCTCTAGCCGACGAGCTTCTTCTCGTCGATGATTTGCCTCCTCTAGCCGGCGCTGTGTTTCCTCACGATGACGACGACATGATTGCTCTAACCGACGATCTTGTTCCTTTCGTCGACGTTTTGCTTCCTGGTCCCGAAGTTGTTTCCTCCGGTGTCGAAGCCAGCCGACTCATTCTCGAAGGCGGCATGTCCATGAATGGGATTCCGCTGGATTTTCCTGTAAGGGCATGGGACCCATTTGTGCAGGCAGATTCGCTCCCCCCTGCCAACGCATAGATTGCTCTCGCTGGCGTTTTCCATCATCCACAGAACGCAAAAGTTCCTCACACGAAAGAAATTGATTTATTGGGGTAGGCTTCCAGCTCTTGTGTTGCGGCGGCCCAAAGTTTAATGGCGGAGAGCGTACTCAGCCCTCCTTCAGTCGCTTTGCAGGCCGCCCCATCAAGGAATCGTCAGGGAGTCCGCTCCTCTTGGTTCCCGGTAGACTAGAAGTACGAATATCGTTGTCCTCCTGGCTGACCCTGCGAACGGGGTACTTGATCTTCGAGTCCTCGAAGCAGTTGTCTGACGGCTTGCCGTGTTCAGTAAAGTACCTGTGCTCAAGCGCCTTTTCCGCGGTCAGCCGCTTCTGTGGGTCGTACTCGAGTAACTGCTTGAGCAACGCGAGACCCTCTGCACCCGGGGTTTCCGGTCCAGGGCCTGCAGGGTATTGATTGTTGATTAGTGTTTGGTTGTACCATCGATCCAGACCGTCGCCGCCCTGTGGTCGAGCAAACCGTGCGGCGTTTCCGGCTATAAGGGACGAGAGCTGTGGATACTCGGGCATTGCGGTCAGCAGTGGCCATCGGTCCTTGCTGGGCATGCCCATGATCTCGACAATCTTCTGCATCTGGTTGCGTTGGAAAGGTACGGTTTTCTTGCTGTCCATCTTCGCTTCTTCTCCCTTAAAGATCGGTCGAAGCGACAGCAATTCGGCGAAGATGCATCCCACAGCCCACAAGTCGACTGCTGGCGTATAATGACGACTACCAAGTAGCAATTCAGGCGCGCGATACCATATAGTCACGACGACCTTGTCGCCAGAAAACAAGGATTGCAGCGGCTTGTAGAAGAGACGCGCCAGGCCGAGATCACCAATCTTTACCTTACCGGCGCTCGTGACCATGATGTTGGCGGGCTTGAGATCGCGGTGCATAACCCAGTTCCGGTGGAGGTAGACGAGGCCTTGCAAAAGCTGGTACAGGATTGATTTGATGGTCCGTGCTGGGATGGCCTGTCGTTGTGGCTGATTGTGATGATGGATGATCTGGAGTAGGTCGTGTTCGGCATACTCGAAGACGATGAAGATGCACTTTTCTTCCAAGATTATCTCCACGGTGTGCACGACATTGGGATGTGCAAGTTCGGTGCAAAGTGCCATCTCTCGAATAGCGGACTGCGAGATGCCCGAGTACTGCAACTCACCCTCCTTGTCCGGCTTGAACCTGCGTCTGTCAGCATGACGGTCAAGCGCCTGAATCGGAAACTTACTTCTTGATGGCAAACTCGCCAGTGCGGCCATTTTTGCCTTCAGCTTTGTAGACGCGGCCATAGGTACCACTACTAATGAAGCCCACAATCTTGTAGCGCTCGTTGACCCGTTTCAATGTTGTTGTACCCTGTGAACATGGCCTGCTTCGAGTTAGGGGAGCTCTGATGGGAGAGATGCAGGTCAGTATGATGGTGCAGGAATGATGTTGTGATGATGAGAATGGCACGCGATGAAGACAGGCAAAGAGCAAAGCGCCCGAGGATGAAGATGGGCAACTTGGACCAAGAAGGTGCTTGGTACGACAATTACAAGAATAGGCAGTCATGCATGTCGGATGCGAGCGCAATCCAAACCGAGAACGTGGCAACGAGGTTGCTGCAGACGCGTAGCAAAGGGGCGAGACATGACAGCACACCGACTGACGGAAGATGGAAGATGGGGCAGGGACAAAGCATGGAAAGTACCGACCGTGGAAAGCTGCCGCAACGCTGCCAGGCAGATTAGCTCGGGCGACGGGTGTTGCTGATGGTGGGTCTGCAGATGGAGGATTCATCTCGCGTCCACGCTTTCGCTCCATGGCCTAGTTAGTTGCCGTCTCCACATTCGGCCGTTCCACCTGGAGTGTTGCCGACGAGCATTCTCCGAGGCAAGGAGTACTGTGGGCGTGTTGAGGAATATGAAAGTCAAGTCGAAGAAGGGAATGGAGAAGTTGCTATGGGATGCACGAGGCTATGAGGAGTGAAGCTCACCCGGAATAGTCGTGCGAGGTGCGAGGCGTGGTTTCCGGTTCCGAGGCCAGCTATCGTGTTGCGGTTCAAGCTCCATGCTTCGAGCTTCGAGCTTCGAGCTTCAAGCCTCCCTCGGCCATCTCGCCGCCCCGCGCTTCGAACACCACAGGTACACGACATGTCCCTCATGAAGAAGTGAATATTGAGACTGTCCTGCTTTGCCGAGCACCCGCTTCTAATAAGCTTGCATTGCGCTCAGCCTGTGTTGTCACTATTGCGTGCCTCGTTTCCAGAGTGGCATAGACACATTCAGCACGACTAGCCATCCTCACCACTACATCAACCACGCCTCCACCAATCCTTCCACAGCGCACACAGCGCACACCTTCACCATGAGCTCGCAATCGTTCTTCGAGGGCCTCACGGGGTACTTTGTCTACATTCTCTTCGTCGCGACGCTTGGCCCGCTGCTGTTCGGCTTCCACTTGGTGCGCCCCATAAGCTCGCTGAAGTAATACGCAATCACTAACAACAACAGGGCGAACTCAACGCACCCGAAGATGTCATCCGATGCAAGAAGAAGTCGATCAAGTCCACCGCCACTGCCACCAGCTCCAACCTCCCCCAATGCATCGAGATGACGCCGACCCAGTGGGGTGTCGTGGGGTCCATGTTCACACTGGGTGGTCTGCTGGGAGCGTTGCTGGCAGGACCGGTGGCAAGCAGATACGGCAGGCTCAGGACGATGCAGATCACGACCATCTTCTTCAGCATCGGCCCCGTCTTCGAGGCGCTGAGCCCCAGCATTGGGGTCATGGCAGTGGGAAGGCTGCTGTCGGGAGTAGGCGCCGGAGCCGCCGTGGTCATCGTGCCTCTCTACATCTCCGAGATCTCTCCTCCGGCGCAGAAGGGCTTCTTTGGCGCATTCACGCAGATCATGTGTAATGTCGGCATTCTGGTTGCGCAATTGCTGGGGTTCTTCCTGAGCCACGACTCATACTGGAGGGTCATCTTGGCTGCGGGTGGGGTGATTGGTCTTGGACAGGCTTTGGGGCTGCTGGTGTCTGTCGAGAGCCCCAAGTACATTGCGGAGCGGGGCAATATGGCGCTTGCGAAGAAGACACTGCGCAAGCTGAGGGGTGAGCGAGCCGACATCGACAGCGAGATGAGCGACTGGGGTGCAGCTGGGGTTGAGAGTGTCAATGGTGAGATTCTCTCCACAGCTACCTACGATGGTCCGTACTAACAACAGCATCACAGAGGAGGAACAGACACTTTTGAGCAACGAAGGCGGCCCGCAGAATAACAAACAATCGGGCAACGAAGACAAGCTCAGCATCATGCAAGTCCTGCGCCATCCAGAGTACAAGAGCGCAGCCATCGCAGTCATCATGGTCATGTTGGCCCAGCAGTTCAGCGGCATCAACAGCATTGTCATGTACGGCGTGTCTCTCCTGGCGACCCTGCTCGAGTCCAACTCTGCGCTTCTTAACCTAGCCGTCTCAGCAGTCAACATCATTGTCACCGCTGGAGGTGCGCCTCTCGTCGATAAGCTGGGTCGTAAGACTTGCTTGCTCAACTCGCTGGCCGGCATGGGCATCAGCTCCCTGCTGCTTGCCATTGGCATCGTCAAGTCGATCCCCGTGCTCTCCGCTGTTGCCGTTCTGCTGTTCGTTGCAAGCTTTGGTCTCGGACTTGGGCCAGTTCCTTTTATCTTGGCGAGCGAGCTGGTTGGATCTGACGCGGCTGATGCAACACAGAGTATTGCTCTGGCAGCCAACTGGATCGCGACATTCATCGTCGCGCAGTTCTTCCCATTGGCGAGCGCGAAGCTGCACGGCAACGTCTACTTCATTTTTGCCGCGCTGTCCGCCTTCTTCTTTGCTTTCATTTCGTGGTATGTGCCGGAGACCAAGGGCAAGAAGAACGCAGATGAAGTCTGGGGCAGAGAGCGTCGCGTGGACTGAGGCAGGTGAAAGGCGTTTTCCAGCGTGGAATAGTTACCAGAATCTGTACTCGAGTTTGAAGTTCCGCAAGAGGCAATTTATCGCACCATGACTGCAGTGTTGCACGTTGATTACTGTCGCATCACGGCATCCGCTGGTTACACCAAACCTGGCGCACTGTAGCACAGCACCTGATTGGCGAACTTGGTGAAGACGTACATTTGGAGCTGCAATCTCTCCGTGGGAAGTACAGTCAGGATTGCTGACGAAGATTACCACATGAACTTATGGCGGGATATGTCAGCCGCCATGTCCATTCCTTGTCGGCAGTGGCGGGATCCGCAGCGGCTTCGGATCTCGCAATTCGAAGACCCCTCTGACGTCCCTCGGCCCAAGTCCCGACAGATGACTGCAATTTCCTCAGCGACATGCGCCGGACCTCACACACCATCTGTACATACTAGACGACCCGCACCGCGACCAATTGCTCTAGCGACCACGTCCCATTTATAGCCATGCCCTCGTTACCGTCACATGCGTCACCTGGCCTGCCTCCGCTGTATTCACCGGACCCGAACCGCCGCGACCCGTTCGACGACCACAACTCCGACGAAGACCTAGGGAAGAGTGCGATACGCAACAATGCGCCGAATGCGCCACAAGAGCCTCCGCCGTCGATAATCAGCCCCGCCTTCACCCCGCCAGCGACACCAGGAACCTCGACACCCTCCCACCCGCGCCCACCACGCTCGATACCCGTCGACACCTCCACAGCCTCGCAAACAGAACGGCCGGAGCTCTTGGAGAAACTGCCCGATGTCGCATGCGAAGTGCGCGCGCGGATACCGACGACTACCGGCCATGAGATGTGGCTACATGTATACAGGAACAGCGTGGATACCAAAGAACACCTCGCCATCGTCTTCGGTGGCAAGATCCGCTCGCGCTCCCTCGACGCCGAGCGCCCCGGCGAAACCGAACTCGACCGCATGACCCGCGGCGCATACGTTGGCCGCCTCTACCCCGGCCGCACATCCTCGCGCGTCGAGCAGATAAAGCGCTCCGAAGGCGTGCCCTCGAAACGCATACCTGACAAGATCCCCGAAAACACAAACGGCATGCCCTCCCCCTCCTCCCCGGCCTCCTCCGAAAACGGCGACGCCCAGTCCATCACATCCTCCGACCTTCCCCTCGTCCGCATCCACTCCGAATGCTACACGGGTGAGACCGTATGGTCCGCGCGCTGCGACTGTGGCGAGCAACTCGACGAAGCCGCACGGCTGATGGCCGACCCCACGCTGTCCCCCTCTGGCGGCGCAATCATCTACCTGCGCCAAGAAGGGCGGGGCATCGGGCTCGGCGAAAAACTCAAGGCATACAACCTCCAAGATCTTGGGAACGACACATACGAAGCGAATATCCTTCTCAGACACCCCGCCGATGCGCGGAGTTACGGGCTCGCTACGGCCATGTTGATGGATTTGGGACTGGGCGGAGAGCGGGGGATCAGACTGCTCACGAATAATCCGGACAAGGTGCATGCGGTCGAGGGCCCCGGGAGGGAGGTTGTGGTTAGGGAGAGGGTGGCTATGGTGCCGCTTGCGTGGAAGACGGGCGGCGAGAGGGGGATTAAGAGTGACGAGGTGGAGAAGTATTTGAGCACCAAGGTGAGTTTGATCAGTGTGTTGACGATGCAGGGAATGCTAATTGTGGATAGATTGAGAAGTTCAAACACATGTTGGATCAGAAGTGAGATATTTAGATGTGGGAGTTTGGCTTTGTTGTATATACAGAGGAGTCAGAGGCTGCACTGCGCAAGCATATTTGGCTGGATTCGCCATACGGACGGTGATTACATTGCATTTACGAATTCAGCAGAGCGTACGCATGCACTTCTATCAAGTCCCGCTAACCATTCAACGCTCCATCCCGCTCAAGATTGTTCAGCGCACCATGTCAATTCAGCAGCAGGAATACTTTCCTCTCAACCAAAGTCGAATCGAGACACATTGGTCAGCTGAGCATTATGATTTGCGCCCTTGTAGGCAGAAGCGAACACGGCTGGGATCATTTCGATAATCTTCCCGTAAGCAGCGAAACGATGCACAAGGTCTCTCAGCGTTTGGTTTGGATCTTGGTTTGGATCCATCACACGGGTTCGACGCTTTGGGATCGCATAGCGGCTGCCTGCGGGAGTGGTGTCGCCTTCCGTTTATGCATCTGCAAACCCTTCATTCTCATGTCCTACCTCCAGCCATCTCTCCGACATAGCTGTATTATCCATGAACCCAGATCTCCCTTCACTCTGTCTACCACGTTGCAAGTCATTGCCTACTCCAGCTTCTTCCAGTCTCATCTTGTGACGTCTTAAGCCAAGACTCACCCAGCAGGAGATGGCATCCCGAATTCCAAGCGCCAACAGGTATAGGTTCTTCTTAGACCGACGAATCCTGCTCGCGATATCGTTTGACTATGTCTTGCAGCGACCACTTAACCGAATATCTTGCCGGATGGTCAGCTCCGCCTCTTCAGAGCAATTCATCTTTGATAGATACATACAATCGACGTCCAAGACCTGTGACGCTAAGTAACGTGACAGCAAACACAGCCTTAGTTGGTCATGCAAATATCGAAGATGACTCCAAGAATTTTGGTCGTATTGGTGAGTAGTGCCATGCTTGCAGGCATTGGATACCGACTTGATGAAACTCTTCAGTTAATAACATGACAGTTGCCATATCGCATGTCGGTTTGTCTTCAGCCGCACTGGGCCCCAGAAACGGACTTGCGCACTCTGGGGTAAGTGTATGATGCGGACCAAGTCATTTCGCTTTTATTGTGCTTACCATGTCCTTTACAGGACTTGGAAAATGCTGGGTCTTCCTCGGCTGAAGCATCGCTGATCACGATTATCTCGAACGCGCTGTGCATCAATGCCGATGCTGATGAGCTGAAGCCTCTTCTTTCAGGCTCCTTGAATGAAACGAAAGATCTCTGGGCTGTAAGTAATAATCACACAACACTAGACGACATATTCCAGTGCTGTGACCGGATAGAGAACGATACCATCTTATAGGACGAAGAAGTCATGTACAGGCGGCCGGGTAAGAAGATACTTGTTTGGTGTGGTGTTCGTTGGCTCATTGTAGACTTCCAGGCTTGGAAGAGCTGCCTGAAGCAGGTAGCACTGTGAGTGTTACATTAATCTGCATTGAGACTATTACTAACTGACATATAAGGAGATTGCGGGTGCCACAGAAAGATCAACAACCTACATCGTTGGTCAAAAAGCTATAGACAACAATGATATGTATTACCTGTGCTCACTGAGAGTAGAGGTCAGCTCCTCTTGCCTGATACACTTCAATTCCTCGTCTGTGGGACACCATCTCGAACTTGTATGCGACCAAAACCCCGCTCTAATTTCCATATCAACACAGTACAAACTGGGTGACTCAGAACTGACAAAGAACCTCTTCAAGCTACTGATACTTGGCCAGACGAGGAGAATGATATGAGTTATCTCTCACGCATAATGTCTGTGCTGCAGCTCAGTGAGGTAAAGTACAACGACTCACTGCCGACACCAGCAGAGTCTTCTGTGGATCTCATGGCTTCTCGGAGCATGGCTTCATTCCTGCTCTTCTACGGTGGGCTCACGTCAGATGACAGTCCACTGTCGAGTATCATGACCTAACTACAACTAAAAGTTCCCATGCTGAGTCCTTGCTTCCCGTCTACGGCAGAGTTCCTAGTTTCGTTAGTGACAAGCCTGGTTCTTGACCTCATTCGAGACTTTCCTCTTCTGCCATACCCGATTAAATGGTCTTCCTCACTTGCTCGGTTCTCGAGCTAACATTGTGCAAATCAGCATATCTTAGAGTCGGAACAGCTTACTACGAACTGCGCGCAGTCCCAGAAGTTCAATGCCTCCATTCAAGCTGCATAGTATATGTCCGGGAGTAATTTTGTGTACGCCAAGGTAAGACGATCATACTGGCTTACTTTTTCTGGTGAATTAACACTCGCAGGCCTTCCACATGATTCTCACCTTCACATTTTTCATCAACTTGTGTCTGCTTATTTACCTCGGGACGCACCTCAAAGCACGCTTTGTTAGTGATCTCTGCCAACCATACATGCTATTTCTTCTCGGATACCAAACCTCACCCTCAAACGTCTTTCAGAGCACGCCACGCAATGTACGCGGACCACCATAGCTTAGTGCAACCTGGAATTGCGATGACTTTAACAGCACTGTCAATTCCTGTATTTTCTCGCCGTTTGAGGTCTTTACTCTCGCTTCTGGTCGCGTTCATCGCCTCTGGTGGTTGGTTTTGGCTACTTCTGTCGTCACGAACGTCGTTAACTTTAACCTTCGCTCAATCAATCATGGATATCCGTACCCACAAAATTCAATCTCCTATACTCAGCAGACTCGATCCATCGTTGAACTATGTCGCATGGACACTAGCCATCGCTACGTTTTTGAACTTGGCGGCCAATATTCTTACAACATTGGCGTCCAGCGTGCCATGGCTGAGTTTCATGCTATGATGGCAGTTACCCGCAGCCCACCTTGTAAAATTGCTACGAATGTCGCATGCGCTTCAGCTCTAAAGATCTCTGGACCTGTGATCATGCAACTAGAGGACTCAGAGCTTCGCATACACTTTCGTGCCGCGGGCAGACCAATTGTATGGCAATCGATCGTCCTTCAAAATAGGTAGTCGAGCGTCAATTACACCGATTGTCCCTCAATGAGATAAGCACTAATAGATGCCTTACTGGTTCAGTGAACTCCTACTCGCAAGAAAATTAAAGTTTGCGGCTGCTGCCTAAATGGTGTAGTGTGGGGGCGGAAACGGGAAGAATAAAATACTGTCTGTATGTGTCTCCTGTTGACAACAATCAGCACATTCAGTCGTGCGACCCCCATTATGAGACCTGAAAAACCATAGGATCTCAAGAGCAGGCCATCGCTCGATGTAATTACATGCTCTTTCTCTACGTCACAAATTGTTCTTTACACCCCACTCGTCGTACACAGCATATCAACGACATGTCGACGGAATATCCCGGAATTGCCCATGTCCATGGCCTGTACGGATCAGGAACCTGGGCGGCTTGGATCCTCGGAATGGCTGCATCTCTGTGATCAATCCATCGGTGTACAGACGCGCATGCTTTTCAGTCATTAATACCGCCAATCCTCTACATCAATTGGGCGGCTGTCGACCAGCTTAAGCAATTCGTATCTACTGAAAAATCACTCGAGCTACTTTCTTCGTCTACGGATGTTACATCTTGGGGACTCTGGTACATGTGGATCGTACAATACAAGCTTTGCGCCTGCGAAAATGAGGCTTTTGCAGTCTACGTCAAGAGGATGCGCGGCTTGGTTTTCTTGGGCTTCCTTCTACCATGCATTACCTCGACGATCACCTTGGTCCATGTCTTTGCGACTGTCCTGAATCCAAGACCAAGTACAGACGACTATGACGCTGCTGAATGGATTTCTAAACACCATGGAGACTCAGCTGGAAAGAGCATCTACAATCTATTTTGGATGTCTCTCTTTTGGATGAATGGAATCGTCCAAGCTCAAGCTGCGTGGGATTTAATTCGTACTCGACAGGCCAAGGCGATAAGTTCGGGATTTGCCTCTCGTCTAACGTCATCGGGGGCAATGATTATTGGATTTGCCTTGATTCTACCGGGTCACCGTCGAGATTGGCGTGCCGTCCTACCGTGGCTCGCAGCGCGACATGACATTGAGAAATTCCAGGTATGTTTCTTGAAGCCATGCTCTTCGCAGAGTCTTCGAGATTCAGATCAAGGATTTTCGTTGTGTTGTGGCCTTTTGCTCTTTGCGTGCGAAGTTGGACCAGACATGGTAGCCATCATCAAAGCTGGGCCGCTGGCTGCTGTCCAATGGCTGAAAAATTGGGCAGACGAAGGTTTACGTGTTTCGGAAAAGAGTGAACCTATCGTGAGTGACGTTGGCCAACCTCAAAGACAAATCATTACACCAGCACCAATAATCACTAAACCAGCAGCAGCAATGATCCGGCCCCATCGCAATATTGTGTAGACTAAATCAATTTGAAATCCTCATTTTCTACCTAATACTTTTCATTTCGAACCAACGGCTTCAGTCCTGGTAGCGAAACGACAATGATAGACAATGTCATCTCGACCATGCTAAGGGGATCTGTACAGAAATGTTAGTATAACGCGGAGATATCGTAGCGTGCGCTTAATCTGCGGAAAGACTTACAAACAAGGTTCTCCTGTCCGGTTCCGACTTTGAGCGTGACAAATCGCACGATACCCGAAATAATTGTAAGGGCACCGAGCGCGAAAGTAAGCGTAACTCCAGTCGACGACCTGAGAACACCTTGCGCTAGCAGGACCAGTGGAATCGTGTACACGACCAGGTAACAGGCCAAATTCAGCGTGAAGTTCAGGATGAAAGGCTCAGGTGCGTAGAACACCGAGCACGCGCCCTCTTCTTGCGACCACTGCACTGAGACAGGTACGCCGCAGAAGAATGTGTCGTCGAAGAGGATGGTCAGGTAGCATGCAACTACGAAAGCAGTCATGGCCCAGAGCATCTTGCGCATCGCGGGTCGGGCCTCGAGGTTGAAATACGCCCAGTAGAAGGCGAGCATGCTGAGTTTCGGGAAGCCCATGCCAACGTCGTAGAAGTAGTTGGAAGCGAAGGAGATCTGGTGAGACGTATGTCAGCTGTTGCTGGAGGATTGTAGAACTGTTTGCGTACCTTTGACAGCTTGACAGACGTTTCATACTCGTCCATGACGCCCATCTGGAACGTGAGCGTATCGCAGATGATCAGAGCAAGCGCATCAATGGCAGAGAGAATAAGTAAATAGTCGGACCAGTCCAGCTTCGAGCGCAGGCGGAAGATGCGCGTGTAAATTCGCGCCGCCACAAACAAGTACGCAAAGATTAGAAGAATCCATTCCGAGATCTGTTCGATTACTATTCGTCAGATCTTGCTTCCTTTGTGGGTTTTGTAGCGGGTTGAAGCCGGATACTCACCATAACATCTTTTCCATCGATGCGGTGCGACATGATTATTACTTTTGGAAGTTGAGTGGAAGCTGTTTCGAAGCTCACAGAGATTGAGAGAGCTAGTGGCTTCCTCACTTCAGCCGGGCGACACGAGGGAATATGTATGCTACATGCCAATAGGTGCACGGCAGGGTAGCAGATTTACAGAGTCCTAGTCCAGTCATCGAAGCGAGAAGGATTGTGGGCGAATGGTAAGGAATGCAATGCCAAGTCGGTCTCTAGTGGCTTTAGCCATGGTTGCACTTAGGATGTAAGGCGTTCATTCGAGCGAAATAGGCGTCCGTGTACTGCCAACAGATCATTATGAGCATCTCATCGTCTCGATTGCATGGCGCAACGAAAATTGTGGGCTGTTCCAGCATGGGGTGCACTGTTCGAAACGTGGCACAAGTCTCCCTGTTGACAATTCGCAACATCGTTTTCTCAATTGCAGGATACAACTCCACGGACGTCGGTCAGCTTCTGGAAGTCGCTCCGTCCCATGGCTCCTTCGTGCATACGCGCGGCAGAATTTTCGCAGTCTGTGTGGTTCACGTCGCGCGCGTATGGGCTGATGGAGATAGTGGCCCGCAAATGGAGCGGCTTGACCATCCGAGCGGGATCGAGCAGATATGCACATTGGCTCATTTCACGATGCGTTATATCCGTGGCGTATGCATAAGTGCTTTAGCCATATGTGTGGTATAGTATATGAAGGTCGATATAAGCAACCGCCCAGCTGGAAGTAGTTGGGACGGGAGCTCGGGAAGGTTTTTAGCGCTGTCCGCTTAGCGTAAAAGGCGGCTTCCAAAGTGTTCTTCCACTGTTCTGATCAGTTCATCACGGCAGCAAAAGGTCAACTCTAACATGCAGCATCATGGTGAATGGATGCTGTACTTCCCAGCAATGTACAGCCGCATGGTCGTAATGTAAGGACATGATGCATCTTCTTGACGAACCACTTTCTCCATCGAGCGCGGCCAAGGTGGTACAGGTGTCCCGCGTCGGTATGCACGGCGAACAGAGATAGGCGTCTACGCCCGCGCTTGTTTGAGCATGAGACTGGTGGCTTCGGACTCAGCCGAATCCACACGGCCGCATCGTCCCGTTTCCCCATTGGAATCGGCATGCCCCAGCTCTTTCACTGTTTGCGACGGAAGGTTGCACCGTGCGCTGTTCGAAATTTTGAGCCATCCGGCAGGGTATCAGACATATTAGTGTGTGTGCCACCACCCATTGCTCATCTTCTGAGCCCTTTTGTAAACCAAGAACACCTTCTATTCTGGAACAATTCCCGGAGGTTCGCGGATAAAGTTCCTTTGGCTATAGACCCGACAGTGAGGATCGTCCCCTGGTCCAGCCACAGTCCTGATACGAGCACTTTACCTAATCTCTACCCGAACCGTTCTCATGATAGTTTCCCGGACCGGGAAGCCCCGTAGTCTGCCGAGTTGGAAAACTCGACGCTAATCCTACGTGTCTCGTAAATGACATCCTTCCTCCCCATGATGTTCAACTCCACTTCGCTTCCTGAATCTTCATCGATTGGTCCCCGGCCGCTCGGCTTGCCTCGTATCATAGGGCGCGTAAATCCATTTGATCCTACTATTGGGGTTCGAAGTCCGTATTTGGAACGCGACGATGAACTTTCGTTCTTGTTGGATGAGAATATGCCGCCGCGCCGTAGCCAGTGTCGCATCGATGGAAGCGATACAACCATGATAGCGACCGCCATTTCGGCCATGGAGAGGACAACTAAACATGGGTCAGAACTGCTACTTTGTGAGAGCCCTAGAAATTGCCACTTACAAACGTTGGTCCAAGCATAGATGATCTCAATCGTCGCAAAACGAACGATGCTCATGGCGATCGTAACGGCGCCAAGTGAAAACGTCGCTACTAGACCCCAGATCTGCCGCCGGTTGAGCTGCAGTTGGTGGAGAAGCGGGAACGGTAGCATGAAAACTGTATCAATGTTAGTATGGACCAGTATTATTTCGTCTTGAATCATCGACGTACTGAAAACATCGGAAGTAATATTCATGGCCCAATCGATCCTGAAGACTTCCTTCGAAGTAAAGGTGCTGCAAGAACCCTCTTCTACTGACCAGTTTGGGGATGGATCTCGGCCACACCAAAACGTGTCCAAAAAGAACGTCGATATCATAGCACCCACAGTGAGGGTTGAGATTGCATAAAGTGCTTTGCGCAGCCATGGCATTGTAACTGGTACGAGTCGAAAGTAAAGCGCCAGAATCGCCAACTTTGGCAAATAGATACCGGTATCGTAGAAAGCATTGCCGGCGAATTGTACCTGATTATATGCGTTTAGCTACAGGTCGCTGCATATGAATTTACAGCTCACCTTCTTCAGTGCGATGAGCTGCGCCGTCGGGGGTTCCGGCGCATCATCCCCAGCCATACCGCCCCATTTGTATGTCATGACATCGGTGACGAAAAGACCTATAGCATTGAGAATGGACGCTATCAAGAAGCTATCGCTTGCAGTTGGTTGCGCTCGTTGTGCCAGTCGTGGTAGCAACCGACCGGATGCTATGAGAATAGCCAAGGATAGTAACACTGCTTCGATGGGCTGCGTAGTTGATCGTCAGTGAGGTCTGGACACATTGTAATCAAAAAAAACTTACAACCACGTGCTCTGGAGATACTGAGGTAGCCATAATCGAAGCTGAGTGTCACTACCAGAGTAAAACGAGTGTACGCAAGAACTCGAGCGAAAGGCTTATTATGACCTCTTACAAGTGTGACCTGCACCACTCCCCCAACACCCAACAGCACGGCATCGTAAATTTCTCCTAATGCATCTGCTTAGGCACATGTTGGCCACGACCACCCAGTGTGGTACCGAAACTCGCTACACCATTTTACCCGCCATGCCATCGGAAGAAATTACTGGTACGCCCCGCAGGACACTATCACGCCACCAGTCAGCGTGCGACGTCGCAACGTACCCGCAAGGTCATGCAGGTACGGTCCGCTTAGCCTGAAGAGACAATCAAAGAAGACTCCTTTGTTGGGTGGTGTATCAGCATGGATGATGAATGCGGCACGGCGCGGCACAGTGCAGGCTGCCATGTTAGGCCAATCGCTAATGTCGTGGCGGATATCCCGCAATGTCTTCGGAAGAAGACCCGAGCTCGAGCTGCTGCACTCATACGTGGTTGAAGTCATTGGTGGCGAGCATATGGGAGTTGGACTTGTTGCCTTTCCCGTGTCCTCACCGACTTAGATCAGTCTAGAACGTTGATGACACAATTGGAGTCTGCATTGTATTGACCATCATTGAGGTTTGCAGTATTTCGAACGCTATGTTGGTGTTCTGGTCGATTTAAGGACACCGAACTCTGCTCTCTTTTAAGAAGGGAATGAACAAAGTGTGTACAGCATTATGTCGATACCCGGGGCTAGTACATGATACTGTCTCATGGAAGATACAGGTAGGCCTAGAATGCTTGATCCCGCCCGTGATTACCGCCACCAGCCTCGCTCTTGAGACCTTGCTTTTTGTCCGCCTCGTGCCGTTGCAGCCCGCAGTGTTTAGGTCAAGCTCTACCCGTTTCTCTCACTGTCATATCTTCGTCACCACGTGGCTGTTTACATTTTACAAATTGTGCATACATGCTACTTCCAAAGCTTTATAAGCTTATATTTAGACATCTCGAGGCAGAAAGAGAGCTAGATAAGAAAAGTTTGTAGCTGGTGAGCTCTCGAATTATAAACCGTCTTATCCTAATTCCACCCCGTCTGCGACTTCTGTTAGTCGCATTATTTTCCAGTCATCGAGCACGACTAAAACCATAATACATCTTAGCGAGCCCCAGCAAACGCGCGAGTATAGCAACATAAATCTTTGTCATTGACGCGAGTGGATCGTCAGGGTGATTAATGATTGTGAGCAGGCAAGCGCGGCTCAATGAAAGAAACGTAAGCATAGCGGCCAAAGCATAATGCAGCATTGTGAGTGACTTTGCGAATTTGGAAATATATCTGAGCTGATGTCTCATGTTCTCCCTCTACAACTATGGCTTTTGACTGCTCAGCGAGTATAATGCGGAGGTCGAGACCTTGATCTCACTGGTATTCATATTCCCCTGTTCAAACTTTTATTCTCTTCGTTTACAAAGTTCTCCATTTCCCAACCGCTTCCTCAAATCCTCGATCTCGTGTTTCCAATCACAAGACTTACGTGTGGAGCTGGTACTTGGGACCATTCACTCTCACTTTCTCTGCTAGCACACGATCATGTTGCTTGATGACATCTCGCTCGCTGCTGAAGCCCTTGGGAGGAACAAATGCGATTGTATTTTGGTTGTTGTTCTTATCGTAGCCCACGACACTGCCTTCTCAGCTATCCCGACTGGGCGTTGTTGCATATGCAGGTTCGAAGTCTGGCATTAGCTTCATGAGGATCTCGAATCGGACATACTGTGGATGAAGCGCCTGTGCGTTGGCTATGACAATCAGTTGGTTGACTAGATTATACCTGCGCGAGACTTACATACTCTTCATGCGCTTTGCGAGAACTCCGATCGGCTCCGGAGTGATCATGTAGCACCACACAAGGAATGCACCGGCAATTGAAATGATGATGAAGCGATCCGGAATGGCCAGAAGGACGGTGGTGACGCGAGGCAGCCAGCTGAGAGCAGCGCTTCCGCCGGGACAGAAGTCGACCAGATAGAGATGCGCGCAGAGCAGCATGAGCGTGCTGAGAGCCATGGCGATGAGCAACCGAGAGGGCGTAATGTCAGGGTTGAGTTTATGAGAGAGAAGCAAACTTCAGGGAAGCTAGTAACAAGAAAGACGCATTCACCGTGAGGGACAGAAAGTTCAAGTTTGCTTCGCGTGATGAAGTGAGAGTGAAAACTATTGATCATCAAGCGCTCACCGTAGGCAAGACAGCATGGAAACGCAAACATTAGCACACCTGAGTTAGATGTGGCCAGATAGCTAGATGTTTGGCTTGTCGATATGTCCTGGCATTTTGCTCTCACGGGAAAGATGTAGTATGGAAGCAAACTCTTTCATGACAGAAACTCCGACACACCTTCTAGTCGCATTTCAGATGTCGCGGTTGCGTCCGCAGAAAGAAGTCATATGCAGATACAGAGCCTCATCGGCGCATGTAGAGAAATGAAGGAGTTTGGCTTCCCCATTCGATGTCGGCGTTTCGTCCAGAGTACGGTTGGAGAGATAGAACTGGAGACAACAAGGCGATGGAATCGAGACGGCCGAGACGGCCGAGACGACTTGCAATTTTACTATGCAGTGTGCCCTTCAAGACTACATCGATGGACATCCAATGGGCCATCGTCGTTATTCCAGATGTACAATGGAATATGGAGGCGGGGCAAGCGATGTACCCCACGCACAAATCGTGCTGCCTTGCGCAATGCGCCTGGGCATAGCAAGGAGTTTGTCGTGATCCAACGTTTCTGGAGGAGACAACCCCATGCGTGGTTGAAAAAAAAAGTTGTTTCTTTGAATTGCCGGCAGAAGTTGGGATGACGCCTTCCTTTCTCAGCCTAATGCGGATGATGCGCGTCACCACATCGCGAAGACAGTCACTCGTCGCCGGAATGTCTCCGCAAGCACCCACCTATATAATGTAGCACCACCACTTTTGCTCCCGACGAGCAGCACACGATACAACAATATCTACTACACTATGGCAACCAACACGGAAATCGCGCCGTCCATCGACGTCAAGAAATTTGAGCTACCTGTTCCCAGATGGCTCGAGTGGGCTGAAAGAAGTGTTCCTGGACCTGCCGCCTGGGCAGCAGGACGCTGTTGATCGGAGGTATAGCAATTCACGCGCATCACGTGTGACTCGGATAGCTGATGCATTCACAGGCCAACGGCGCCGGGAAAAACGACGCTCCTGCGCCTGCTCTCCGGCAAGCGCATGGCCCCCGCGGGGTCCGTCTCCATCGCGGGCGTCGATCCCTTCAAGATGGGCCTCGAGGGCGTGACGTACCTCGGCCTCGAATGGGTGCTCAACCCCATTGTCCGCACCGACATCGACGTGCCTACTCTACTGGCGTCGGTGGGCGGCGACCACTGGACCGACCGTCGCGACAACCTCGTCAAGATTCTCGACATCGACCTGAGCTGGCGCATGCACGCCGTGTCCGATGGCGAGAGGAGGAGGGTGCAACTTGCCATGGGGCTGTTGCGACCATGGACGATATTGCTGCTGGATGAGATCACGGTGGATCTGGACCTGCTGTCAAGAAGCAACTTCTTGAACTTCTTGAAAAGGGAGACAGAGACAAGGCCATGCACGATTGTGTATGCGACACACATCCTGGACAATCTCGCGACGTGGCCGACCCATCTCGTGCACATGAGTTTGGGCAAGGTGAAGAAGTGGGGCAGCGTGGAGAAAATGGACGTCAAGGTTGAGCAGGGCGAGAGGAATTACACGGGTAACAGCCAGCTGGGTGAGCTGGTGCTCAAATGGCTGCAAGAGGATCTAGACGAGAGAGGGCCGAGAAATGGCAATGGTGAGGGCAAGACATACGAGAGCCTCGAGGGCAAGGGCGGGTACGGCGCTGAGAAGAAGGTGGACAGGGACTAAGAGTTGAAGCACAGGCGAAAGATGGTCCGCTTCAACAATGCGGCCACTGGTATTTCAACAGGCGTTGTAGAGGTCACTCAACGATGATACCCCATTTCGTACTTCAACACGGGCGATAGCCGACTCAGCATCCATCCATCATATTTTCGAGTCTCGCTAGACAGTACATCGGTCTCAGTGTTTTCTGGTGCATGCTTGCTATACAGCCAGCCAGCGTGGTTGACTTACACAAAACCTACCATTCACTTCGACACTTTGCTAGCTCACTTTTGACGCGCCTATGCCGAGCACGACAATTTTCTATTGACTCGATCTCCGAGCCAGATCCACCTCAGACCGCTTGACATAGCTTGGTACTTACTTATTTCAGTACTCCTTTTCCTCTGCTCCGTCTTTAATGTGGGCTTGACAAGTGGGAAGCGCTACCCCTATGTTCCTGCTTTCGCATCCCCCCAACCGCTCATGGAGCAACACATGGCCACCCAGGATATCGCTTGGCAAATCGTCGGTAACTATTCTCCTAACCTACAGAATCCGGAATACAAATAATCATGGAGGTCGATACTAGCGCGCGCGAAGAAACTGTTTCCTAAGATCGAAGACCTAGAAGTCAAAATCCAATACTGCTACATCTTCAGTATGCCACAGAGTCGAGTATACGAGCCGTCTCCGACAGATGTTTGGGTTGCATGTCTGGCTGGAAAAACGCAGGATGGACGACATGTGCCGCTCTAGGAAACATGCCATACGAGTGAGAAGGGCTCGGTGATTCGAGGAGCTATGTGCGCGATGCTTGAAGAGCTGAGAAAAGAGGAGAAGATATCATGAGCTGTGCCAATCAGTCTGCCGATGTGGCTCGAGGCCCCACCACACTGGACCATCTATCGCTCAGTCACATCGAATACTGTGTACTGGTTTTGAAGTGGTACTATGTGCGGGTAAAGCCGCCATGCCAACTCCCGAGCCCCCACCCCAGCGTCGAAATAACGTTGATATTACATCCGCGCCGACGGTACGCATGGGTACTCACATTGATAGACAGTGTGCTATCGTCCATTGAATCCATTCCTCAATCTCACCGTCGCCTTCCTTCCCCCAATCGAACCAGTGCAAACATTCACGATGCGTCCTCACCACCTCCTCCTCACTCTCCTAGCGCAGCATGTCTCCGCGCAATACAATTTCACCATTCCGCCCATGCTGCGCTTCCAGTGCTCCCAACTCGTCATCGACCGCATCGACCCTCTCGTAAACCCCGGGCTAATTCCATCGCCCCACCTCCACCAGATAGTCGGCGGCAACAGTTTTAACGCCACGCTATCCCACGACCTGCCCTCCGTCTCAACATGTACATCCTGCACCTTCGCCGAGGATTTCAGCAACTACTGGACGGCGGTCATGTACTTCCGCGCACGCAACGGCACATACAAACGCGTGCCGCAATTCACGAGTGAAGGCCTCGCAGGCAAAGGTGGAATTACAGTTTATTACATCCCCGACGCCGAGAACAAAACCAACGTGACCGCATTCAAGAAGGGTTTCCGTATGTTGGCCGGAGATGCAGGCGCCACCACAACCGGGTCCGCCCGCAAAGTCTGCCACAGATGCATGCCCGAGGGCGCGGACGCCATCACGCTCAATTGCGCGGCGCCAGACTCAGAAGCGTTCCCAACAGGCATGTGCGGGGGAGGAATTCGCAGCGTCATCACGTTCCCGACGTGTTGGGACGGCGTGAATCTGGATAGTCCGGATCATAGGAGTCATATGGCGTATTCGGCGGGCGTGGTGGGGAATGATGTCGGGCCAACGGGGAAGTGTCCGGCGAGTCACCCTGTGGTTGTGCCGCAGGTTATGTATGAGGTTATGTGGGATGTGAGTTTGTCCGTTTGCGAAATGGTGGTGTGCGATGAGACTGATGAGATGCAGACGCGACAGTTTAATGATCCGGCAATTTGGCCCGAGGATGGATCACAGCCGTTGGTTTGGAGTACGGGTGATGTGTAAGCTATATTCCACCCGGATTTGAATCATTGTTGACGGAAGCATTTAGGAACGGCTTCTCACAGCATGGAGACTACGTGTTTGGCTGGAAGGATGATACGCTCCAACGTGCCATGGACAGCCGCTGCACTGGCGATAAGTGCACTGAACTGAAATACCAGGACACGGAAGAGGCAATGAAGTGCAATGTCCCTACAGCTGTGCAGGAAGAAGTTGACGGATGTAAGTGGTCTGTTGTTTCGTCATGTTATCGAGCTGACATATTTAGGGATGACATCGCTGCCTGGAAATCGTATGCCGTTCTAGACTCTGCATTTTGAAAGACATCATCTGGCGGTTGCGACTTGCACGAGATTGCTTCCATGCTAGGATATGATTCGTGCTTGTAGTGTGGTATAGTAGCTCCGATATATAAGATGAATGCTTATCGGGGGTCTTGTACGTTGCCGATCCTCCTCGATAGTAATCATGGAATGTGGACCGCACTCTGCTCCCTAACAGTGAGACATACTCGTGCAACGGCGACGAAGTAGACGATACGTGGTACCATCTTCTCAAATCAGTATCCCAATAGCGCGTACGCCACTGTAACGTGAGAAGATCCCGCTTAACTATTCTCGTCCCTCAGTCCTTGCAGTATGACGAACATTTGGGGCAAGGTCATCCAATCAACACTGTTCACGGCGATGTCGAATTAGGATTGTGGAGTGCCAGCTCCGTATGCGTTTGCCACTAATCTAATATTGATCTGCAACATCTGAGTATCTCGGTCGAGCGAGATGATTGGAAGCCGTTTAGTCGTCTTACCAATCAGAAAGTTGGGTGTGTGAGAGTGCGTCATCTATAACATTGTCTATCTATTAAGAAGATACTAAAGAACATACATTAAAACCACCACAGCTCATCTTCGAGTGAGTCCTTCCAGAGATGCTGACAAGGCGTCGTACCGTTAATGTTATTCCATCCCGTAGTCTGGTATACAATAATCCAGTACGTTCCAACGCACGGTCCTAATATATAGAAGAACTGCACAGTAGTTGAGAGTGATACAAGTGCAGGGTAGAGGCACCTTACCAATAAGAATATCCAACGGAAAATGGTCCATATGAAACTTGAATTCACCCTAGCCCTATCTATCTCCTGGAAATCTGGGGCAACTGGTGCTGGCAGACCCTCCTCAATTGGATTGGAGGCTGGAATGCTCGTTTCCTCGGGTTTTCGATCGATACCATCCGAGCGCGATTTATCGCTCCATCGAACAAGTGCATAGATAGTCAAGTACCAATACGCCATGATCCCATAAAAGGCGAATATGTGCTGAGCCATTCCACGCCTGTTGTTCAAGACAATTTGCAGTTGCGCATAGCCGGCAGCTTGCCAGTCTAGTACGATTCGTGGTTTATTGGAAACATTGTATCCATATATCATAAACCGCGTTCGGTTAGGAAAGCCCTGCTGATCCTTGAAATTTTTGCAACTGCGTAACTGGCATTGCTTTTCTACGAAGGGGAGGAATTCAGGATCAAGTCGCCACGCGGAATGAACGAGCGATACCATCAAGGATCGAAATAATCCGATCAGTCCGGACAGAACGAGGAAAGACATAGCGTAGTCAATTGTTGCCGCCGTGTCGGACAGGATACGTCGTGCGAGAATAAATCCAGCTTGAACATATTGCCCAGATAGCACAACGAGAACGAGAATGCGACCAAACCATTTCAGATCTCGACGTAAAGACGAGTGCTTGATATGTTCCGGATTGACGAGTTGAAGAGGCAGACTAGAGTCTGTGCCTGTGTCCAAATGACAGCAGCAGAGTCTGGCGACTCGATACCGTAGTGTCATATTCTTTTTCCACGTGCCTGGCATAAGGGCGAGGAGATCAGTGAACCCGTACCATATCATACCCAAGAACGACACAACGATTTTCAAGGGGCTAATCATGATTTCCAGCGCGCGATAGATCCCGCGCTGCCACGACAGAGAGTCGGCAGATGCTAGCGACTCTGCATGTCCTTGGATGCAAATTGTCGTAACGGTAGCAGCAAAAAGTTTAACGCACACTGCACTTTGAGTTCTGCGACTAGCTTCGGGGCAGCCAATCTTGTATTCTTGTGTGCCAGGTAGACTGATCGAGTTTGTTTCCAGTGCTCGGAACGTGGAAATGAGGCCAGAGATTGCGCTTCCCAGAGGTATATAGAAGGCCGTCGGGCGTAACTCTCCCTTCAGTTCTGATAGTATTAAACCGGACCAGAAGTATGAGCACTGGAATTATGTCAGCTTGACCCCTCATAGTAGATGATGCTTTCATTGGGCCTGTCATAACTCAGGACCCTTTGTCAACGGTGCATCAATGGAGTAAGGGTTCTAGCCATACCAGAAAATAGGCCTGAAAGAAAACTCCCCATTATTCAAGTGAGTAGACGAGGCCTTTGCTCTGTGTGTTATCAGTTTACAGCCACGCGATCGCTTGACGTATAGCATTGTACATTACTGCTGCTACCAAGATTTCATAGCCGTATCGAACAAGTAAGCGTTGAACGAATCGTGGTATGAGGATCTTGAGAGCTTGCAATATTCCCGGATTAGAGGCTTATAAGTAGGCTGCGCCCCGTCGGTCGAAGCTGCGCCACAGTGGCAACGACGTAGAAGGAATCCCGCGATATATTGGTCTTTGCGCGTGCCATTATTGTTATTCGATGTTGACTGCGGGGGTTTGCCTCAGCTCAACAGGGTATTCCCGTATGCATATCATTAGCGCAACGGGTTTGTGTAGTGGTGTAGTGTAGAAACCATAGTGTGGGTGAGAGCACGGTACCCCGCTTCCTGCATTATGACATTCTTGCAGTCTGACATCCTCACCAACTTTACATCCTGAGACATGCGAACTTCCTAAGTTTCTCAGAAACAGCAAGCGGAACCATGACTACGTCGTCGCAACCTGGTACGAGATGTGTCTTCGTCTCTGCGAATACCAAGAATTGTAGTAATCGCGCAGCGCCTAAACATCGCTCCTGGAACCAACTTCGAATGCATCAATAGAGGGGCACGAGGGGTTAAAGGCTAGGCTTTCGCCTAAGTGAATCAGGTAACATCTAGGCAAGTGTCTTCTCTTATCGCATTACGAAGTGATGTCTTAATCTTAGCTACTTAGGTATTCAAGGCAGCGAATCTAGAGCAATTTGCGCTGAAACACGCGATGGTGAAATACGTGAAGAGTTGAATATTATAAAATAATTTATTTGTAAAGTTTATAGGTCTATATAAAAGAAATATCTTTAGTGTTAAGTATTTTCAAAAGAAGCTTATATAATAAGTTAAAAGAGCTTAAAGTTAAGAGATTTACTAGTTTTGGTGTGGTCCTGGGAGACATGATGCTCAGCTTGGTAAGTAAATTCTCAAACATGCCATCGAACGCTTGCTAACGTGTCGTAGTGGTAGTGTCGTGAGTTCTGACAAGTCATCTTGGCCCAAGGTTTACTCATTGGTATCACTGAAGGCTGCATCTTCGTACCAATGATGTCACTGCTCCCAACCTACTTCAACACCAGACTCGGTCTCGCCGTAGGCATCGCGTCTTTCGGCTCTTCTCTCGGCGGCGTCATGTATCCCATCGTCCTGAGAACTTTGGTCTACGAAATTGGATTTGCTTGGGCGATCCGCGTGATCGGCTTTATGGCGCTTGCTCCGCTCATAATACCTTGTGTTGTCATGAAGGAGCGCGTCAAACCGGCTGTGAGAAAGCGCCGGCCGATGATCGATTACTCCGCTTTTACCAATGCGACTTAGATGACCTTGGTCGCTGCTACGATGATCGGCTTCGTGGCCTTGACTGTACCGTTGTTCTACACCTCATACTTTGCCTTAATACAGCGGATCACGACGCTAATATGGCCTTCCAAATAGCTCTTATGTACAACGCCGCATCCGTTTTAGGTCGCATCTTGCCAAACTTCCTGTCCGACAAGACTGGGCCGATTGACGTCATCATGCCATGCGCATCCACCACTGGGGTTCTTCTGTTCATTCTCGTAGTCCTCGATGCTGGACAAGTTGGCGGCTTTGCCGTTCTCTCGCTGCTATTGGTGTGTTCGTGGCTATCCCCGGCACCTGTTTTCCACGCTTGACCAAGCACAAAAGCATGCTCAGTACACGTGTGGGTATGTGTTTCTTCGTGTGCGCCTGTGCACTGCTGCTCGGAGGCCCTACCGCTGGCGCCATACTAGATCCACACCTAAATTCTGGCAGACCATTGAACTTCACAGGAATGTGGTGCTATGGAGGTGCAGCCGCAATGATTTCTGGGTTCCTTTACATAGTGGTTCGGTACATGCTAACTGGACCTACACTGATGGCCAAGGCATAATCGTGTTCATTGCTCGGACCTCTTTACTCTTCGCTTCAGCTGAAATCTCCGTACACGGATCTTTTCAGACGTTACATGTTACATGATAGTTCCTTGATAAGAGAAGGCTCAGCCTCCTACTAATGCCATGAATGCGCCGACTCAAAATACGAACATGATTCATACACTAGACATATCGAAGCCTATGTGGCACCATGGCCGAGCTTTCACCAGTCACTCTTCTATCATCTTGGTCGATTACGAGCTTCATACCCAAATTGATACTGCTACATTGGCTTACTGGGAAACTTCTTTGACGGCGAGTAATCTAACACTATAAAACTAAAAAATTTTTGAAGTGAAATGGCGGTGTGCGCGAGGTACAGGTGGTGGCGTACCCTGCGTTTTGATGTCCGCAAAGGGCCATTGCTGGAGGTTTTGCGATCACACAACATGCAAGCAACATCATGACCACCCCAAAGTACGGCTCATCGACAACACTGCACTCTCGTTGACAATATATCGGACTCATCGTTATCGTCCGTCGCCTTGGCAATCGTTCTTATAGGATAGAGCTCGAATGATAGACGACTCACAACCCTGATATAGATTGTGGTGCACTCTGTTCAATTTCGTGAGGGACATGTTGGCGTTTCGAAATCGCTCATGGCCCCGCCTTTTGTGCTAATATGCGGCATCATGACATCGCGGAAGAGGTACAACATAGGCCCAGACTGTACCTAGGTATCGGGTTTTGGCTGGGAGATGGTATATATCCCGCTTGTTGGAACGACATTTGAGAGCTCAGCCCGATCATCTCACACTTCAACACTATTCAAAAAATTAACTCCAGCAATTTTTCAACATGCCCGCTTCCAACAACAACGCCGCGGCCAACCAGGGCGGCAAGTCCAACACCATGAGCTCTGCTGATGCCTCGCGCATTCAGTCTACCCAGGTCAGTTGTGGTTGTAAAAATCATTAGGACTCGTTGAAACTAACTATTGCTCGCAGGCGAAGGGTGGAAAAGACATGTCTGCCGATGGCTTTGCCGCCCGCGCTCAGGGCGCCGGTGACAAGAACGCCAACGAGAAGAAGTAGAGGTTAGCTAAAAATGCGACTTGAGAACAATGGCGGGATGTGTGGTACACAGAGCTTGTGAGATTAACGACTGCGTGGACGACGCCTGAATGAATGATGGAAAGGAGGGATTACACTCATTTGAATCAAACGAATTTGTCTTCACACTTGTGGAGCTTTTCTCAATGCAGACGACCCATGTGATCTAATGCAGTCGATACCACGAGCCTTTCCTTTATGGTTTAATTTGAGTCTCGTGTCTTTCCGTTTTGACTGTGGCCAGACAGAGTACTTCTTTGCTTCTTGAACGGTGAGCGAAACGAGACAACTAGTCTCAGGCTGCGGGCGATAGCCGTGAACGCAAACGCCGAAAGCTTGTTGAGCTTCGCCTGGAATGAGATAGGGCGTACAAGGACGTATATCATATCAGGGCTAGACTCCTCATGCCGAAAAGCGATCAGATCGATCTCAGTCCACCCAGCTCTTCCATTAGCCCGCACAACGCACGAAGCAACGGTGGCCCAGTCTCCCTATCCACGTCTGGATGCGTTCCCTCAAGCAACGTGACACCTGCCTTCATGACCTGCCATGGATGCTTCATATTACATATCTCATTACTCGCCGCACCATCTTCCCGCTGCTGTACTGACGTCTTCAAAAGGATGCGAAGGCAAGGCGTCCCAGTATTCATCATTATGAACGCATCTACAGCGGACTGATTGGTGGATCTGTCATCATCCAAGAAGACTAGTGTGCTTTGATCTTGCATTGTTGCGTGTGCTGCTCGGACTGGTGTGTTTGAGCCGGTTTTACGCGCGTGGTCGTTGATCATCATACTGTATGTCCAGAGCACCATGATGGAATGGTAGATTATGAAAGAATCTTGTCCGCGGTTTTGGTAAGGAGGAATTGCACGTGCGGCATGTAGCACTTGGCCGGCGTGGGCTATGGGTTGGTCAGCGAATGTTCGTGGTAAGAGCGTGCTCTAGGACAAGTGCAATGATATGCAAGAAAATTGATCGGATCTGGAAAGCCGGATGGCACATACCTATTGCTATTCGAGCTTCTTTGGATTTGCTCCATGGCTGCAGCGCAATGTAAGCACGGTGTGCAGCCTCCTCTCCGCACTTGCCAGCAAACCGAGTGATCGCGTCCAGGTCTGCATGCAGGAACATCTGAAGAAACTGATGGAAAGCACAAGTCAACGCTGACGAGTCATTTAGTGTAAGGTTAGTGTGTCGGAGAGAATCATACAGCTTTTGCTGTCGTGACCGAGACCATAGTTGCGATGATGGATCGCTCGAATCCTGAAGTAGTATTGTTTGTTGGCATTGGTCCCAGACCTGTGATGCGAGCCCGTGGATTTGTGCTGAGCGTGCAATCTGTAAGTCGAAGTTCGCATGCAAACAGCAAATGAGTCCTTCATTCTGGAGAATGGTCCGCATCGACGGCCGCTCAGTGGGAGAGGAATTGTTCAATATACGGGCTTTCCAGATCACGGCCGATGGTGCAAGCCACAATATCTCTGAAGCTGGGAGCGGCAGCGTAAGCTCCGCGCATGAGATAAGTGGTTGACGATGGTTTATCACTGTCATGTAGATGTCGTGTTCGAAAAGGTGATAAACAAGTCGTTTGTAAGACTCGAGTTCGACCCAGCTGCGCCATCTCCTGTCGAGCTCCTCACCTTCATTGTGCATCTGGGGCAGAGTGTCAGGATATCGAACATTGTCGAATCTGCCGGCCCGCCGCAAAGCAGTGACGAGCACTTGTAAAGAGCTTTCGGCAATTTCCATCTTGCGACGAAAGCCGCAAAACGCTCCAATATCGAGCCAAAGCATCATTGCTTGAAGATATTGGAGCTCTCGCGTGGTGCTGTTGTCGTGCTCTGCGAGTTCCCTTAAAGCGACTCGCACAATTTCTTGGAGGACAAGCCCAGTCTTGTTCACCGATGGAATACCGAAACAAATGCAGCCGGCGACGACTAGTGCTGTCAGGAACTCTGGTCGAGAAGCCTCGGCGTCAAAGGTATATGGATGGATCCATGCATCTGCTTCTGTTCGTTTTGCGATGCCGACCTTGATGAGTTTGTCAAGGCAGTCCGCGGAGGGGAAGGACGAAATTGATACCTGGCTATGTGCGGTTTTTAATACAAGGTGGTAGATGCGATCCCGTCCTTGTTGCGACAAGCGACCAGGAATGACAATGCTCGAGGAGTGAGGCTGATGCGGAGACGAAGCAAGATCCACGTTTCGCTCATCTAACGTGATTCCTTCATGATCGCTAAACGCATTCTGATTGTGTTCCGGTACCCAGAACCATGGCGATCGCCTGAAGACAGCGTGTCGCCGCTTCACTGCATCGCCACTATTCGTTCCCCGAGCCTCATCAGTGATGGTACCCGCTGGTGGAGTTGCATCTGCGCAAGAGTCTAGGCGTGGTGCATTAAAGGTATCGTCAATGGCTGGAACAAAGTCGGCCCCAAATAGATCGACCTCAGTGAACCAATCAGCTTCGGGTAGCCAAGTGGTCAGATCCGGAGGTGGCTGTAGGTAGTCCATAGCCAGAAAGTCTCCATGGTCCACCATGATCTGTTCAAAAAAGTTGGGGAATGCATGCGGCTGATGAAGTGCATTTTGATAGATATCCGAGATTCCTTGATGAGCAGGTGAAACATCCATGAACGTGTTCACAGGATATATTGGATCAGTTTGTGTACCTCCTTGGGTCGTTGGATGCTCTAGAACTTGCTCGACACGCGGACTTGGAGCTGTGACTGATCCATCCTGAGCATCGTGCATGCGTGTCGTGCACTCCAGATTACGCTTCAGACATCTTTGGCAGGGTCTACAGTTGTCACATTTGACTTTTGAGATCACGCATGAGTTGCATGCTTTCGTTGCCCTTTCCACCGAACGGTTAGTGCAAACCTGGCCTTCGGCGGCATTCTTCGCATGTGTAGTGCGATGTCGTAGGAGCAGATCCCTGCAGCCAAAGCAGTCTTGTCAGCTATCTATCATGTCTAAAACCATGCGACTGCAGTGACTTCTTCATGGAGCATCTCCAATCAACAGTCTTTCTTGTAAGGACGGGACGCACTGACCTTCGGTTGAAAGCTGCTGGACACTCCTTACAACGAAACGATCTTTCATTTCGATCTGACTACGGTTAACGATGTTACTGGACGTGCCTGCTCTTTTGCCATACTCACGTGAGTCCAAGTGTCGGTTCAAGTGGTCGATCCGATCGTATGTTCGGTGACATACCTGACACTGCAGAGCACGCACATTGTTCACACTGTGCGATTCCCGGATGCGCTTGGATGGTCTGACGATCGTGTCATCGACTTCTGCTGACATTTCGAAGGTGGGCAGTGGCAGCGGCTCAAGTGGAAGAAACCTGGGGTAATTGGGGCTCACGAGGAGTGGCTTCGGAAGATGTGGGCGCACCTGACTCGCCATGAGCGGGGTGACTTCGTGTCTGGACCTTCACAACCGAAGCGGCACGATACCGCGGCAGCAAAGGCCCGCAATGTGGCCGACAGTCACAAACCATCGTGCGACGCATGGCATTCAACTAGAATATCCACAATGCACAGTTCTGAACAGCAAAGTTATGTACAGGATTGTGACAAGCTTTACGCTCAGCCCACAGCGCCAACCCCCGCTCGCGAAGTGCGCATGACCCTACAACCCCGGTATGAGCACAATTTTGCACCTCTGTAGGTCTACTGCTCGTTCGTCGTAAACCGTTCTTCGAATCGACTAAGATCTGAATAGCACAACAACTCAAAGCTTCCGCCGTGTCGTCAAGTGTTGTTTCTTGTTCGCTTTTGTATCTTGAAGTCCGCAGGTCTTTTGATGGCGATGTTATCTTCAGTGCGGTATTCCTCCAAGCTGTGGGCAGGGAAGCTTAGGATGTACCATGTCACTGATGCAAGCATTCTTCGTTGCGTAGCAAGCAGCGTTGCACTAGACTCGATTGCTCGGCGGTAGTCTCTCGGACCTATCTGCTGGTGGTTGGACAGAGGCGAAGCTGCTGGACCGGCAATATCTCCTTCCACGGTGATGATCCGGAATAGCGTTGAGGAACATGTCGCAGGACGCACGTGGCCGATAAAGCAAGACCAGTGCGGCAGAAGTAGTAAGGGTAGACGTGATAATAATTGGGGACGGCATGATTGGCACTGTTGCTGTGCCAGCAATCATTCTAGAGACTACCAAGGTATTAAGCAGTTTTCCTGAGACGGGCCAGAACAAACGCCACGAACCATTTCAGTCTAAGATCGCTGTCTGGAACATCATCTTCGGCAAATGTGGGCAGGTATCGGAATGTACGGGCAGCTTCTAAGTTTGTGGGCCTTTTGGGACGTTGCGGTCCGACTATATCAGTTTCCTAGTCAGAGTAGCCTCGCAGTGAACTTGACATTGAACATTGAACATTGAACTCGGCAGAATTGACTAGTGCAACAAACCGTAATTATGATCTCAACCACCACACACACCGCGGCCATGACGCTCAAGGCTGTCGACGATGGTGCCATGAAGATTGATGGCTCACCGACATCGTATGGCGACTGGAGAGATGATCTGGCCCGAGATGGCTACGCCGTCGTGAAGGGTGCCATTCCAAGAGAGAAGGCTGATGACTACGCGAACCGAATGTACAGTTGGCTCGAAGGCTTGTAAGTTGTGGCGTCAAGACACTGGTCTTCGGATGACTGATATCGTGACAGCAACTTGGGATTCGACCGTAATGATCTTTCCACAGTCCACAGGGACAGACTGCCGGCCATCAATGAAAAGGGCATGTGTCTCAACTATGCTGTCACTCACGAAGACTTTGCGTGGGGTGTGCGAGGCGAGCCTGGTGTCGTGGGCGCATTCGAGAAGATATACAACGACAAGGATCTCATCGTATCATTTGATGCTATTAACTTCGGGTTTCCCAAGTGAGTAACAGCTTCTTGAAGTATGCAAGAAGTTTAGCTGATCACAATGACAGTCGAACTGACATCGCTCCGAACAAGCCCTGGCCCCACCAGGACCAAGACCCGGCTAAGCCAGGTTTCAGGTGTATGCAAGGTCTCGTGAACTTGCTACCCAACGGTCCTGATGATGGTGGACTTATCGTGTGCCCCGGCGGTCACCTCCTATCTGACGAGTTCCACAAAGACATGGCCGATGAGCCACGTATCCCAGCATGGACTCCGGAGTGGTTTGGATTCACTGAGAGCGGAATGGAGTGGCTCGAAAAGAAGGGCTTGAAGTGGGTGAAGGTGTGCGCAGAGCCTGGTGATCTACTGCTATGGTGAGTATATTCTCGTGCGCCTAGACGTATTCGCGATGCTAACACAAAATAGGGACTCCCGTACACCACATTACAACCTCAGCCCAAAGACAAATCAACCACGCTTTGCCGTGTACACATGCTACATGCCTGTAGCACATGCCACCCAAGACGATCTTGTTCGAAAGAAGGATGCGTACGAGCGCTGGGTGGGCACTACCCACTGGCCCAACGCGAGGCACACTGGCTCAAATGTAGCAAAGCGGGATGGTGAGGACGATCCGCACAATCGTCATGAGCCCGTGAACAAGCCGGTGATGGACGAGCGCACATTCAAGCTCACTGGAATACCATATATCAAGGCTTAGTTTTAGTTTTAATGGAGTTTGGAGGTACATTCTGCTTGCTCGTGTTTGTGACTCTTTCCTTCCTCACCTATAGCTTTTAAGCACAAGGCATTACCCTTTTCCGCGACTTGTTCTAGAATGTGATTTTTTCTCGTGAGTAACTTTGACGAAGCTTAATGTCAGGGTTAGGGTCTGAAAAGAGGTCTCTTCCAGTGCTAGAGCATGGAGAGTCCTGTATTGACAGGCTGCATTGCTTGTGTTTATCCAGCGAAGAATCTCTCTACCAGGAGCAATGAAGGCCTTTTCGCAGTAAGGCTAAAATGACACCGCTTCCTGCAGCGGTACAAATGTTCATCCGATTTCTTCCAACTAAGAATCTAAGTAGTGCTGTTTTGCCAGTCTTCCAGAAACGCGTCCGAAGTTAGTCCATTATCTGCAAAGATATCTAACCAAATAGCATGTAGAGATCTTGGGACTACGTAGTGTCTGGTGTGACGTTTCAATCAGGAGGGGGTTAGAGTCTCGTCAAGAGGGTCCATTGCACCACCATCAACTTGATTTCAGCTCAACTATCTCATATTCATAAAACTCCATCAGACTATGTATATCTGCCTTTTCAATCATTTCAGAACCAGTCTAGACTTTAAATTTGGTGTTCTTATGACAACGTTGCGTGCCTCCGCGTCGTTCCAGATACTATTCAACGAGACATGGAGGGTTTCCCGCTGCGTTTCTTCGTGGCGAATTTTCCTGTGTACGATCTGATCTGTTTGCCAAATACGAACACTAAGATACCGATGGCACCGAAGAGGGCTGTCAAGCCAGCGTATGTGCCAAAGGATCCGTCATATCCAGAAGTCTCGATGAACTTGGCTACACCGTAGCTGGTGCCAAATGAGACAAATCCACGGAAAGCAGTGATGACGACCAAAACAGGACCAGCACGCGCAGGGTACGAGTCCAGCAGGTATGTGATCGCAGAGATATTGGCTCCGACAAAGGCGAAGTAGTAGCCCGCATTGGCGAAGACGATGACGAACCAGTGGTATTTCTCGGGATGTTGTCCTGCCTGACCATATAGTACGGCAGACACCACTCCGATGCAGATAGGAATCCAGAGCAGGAGTAGGCGGCTCTCGGGCTCGTGAACACCGCCATTGCGCCTTGCGCGCCATTTGATCACCATGTCGGAACCATTGCCAAGCAGAGGCAGCGCTACGAACGCAACAATAACCTGGCCAGCGTTGACATAAGATGCGGCATCCTGACCCCAGTTGTACGGAGGGGAAGTAACGATTTTGCCGTAAGTGGTACCGATAGCAATGTTTATGCCGCTTTCGCAACGTCAGAGATGGTGATGCAGCGTAGCGAACCTGAGACTTACATTGTTAGACCGTTGAGACAGAATGCCCAAAGCACGTTGGGGAAGAGCAGAATCTGGAACGTGTGCTGTGATGTGGGTCAGTATTCACCCGAAGTGATGCCTAACAGGAGTGGGCCAACTTACAAGGAAACCCCACATGCCCTCAGCCCAATCTGTCTCTCCTACGAACAAACGCATATCGGAGCGGAGTGTTCGAGGTTCATACCTAACAGTATCTAGCGCAGGTCTTTCGGATAGTCTCACGGGCGGTGCAATGTAGTCTACGTTCTCGTCACTCTCTGACTCGGAATATTGGCCGTAGGCTACGAGCGATCGAGGGTAGCGACTTTCTGGCACTAAGAAGATCGAGGCAACCAGTGTGGCGGCTGAAAGTCCTGCGCCAAGAATGTACCAATTAGCAGGACCGATGGCGCCAGCAAGTGGCGATGCAGCGATAATGAGGGCTGCCGAGAGCACAGTCTGAATTGCAGATTGCCACATCAGAAAGGTGCTTCGCTCGTGCATGAAGTGGATCTCCTTTTTTCAATTGTGAGCAGAAATTACAACAGTGCAGATACTTTGTTTACCTGGATCATCATAGGTACTAATGCCTCACTTTGACCAGCGGCAAGACCAAGCACCATCCTAGCACCCAAATGCCAGTTGTAATCCTTCGCGTAGGCTGCTAGGAGTGCCCCAACAATAAGTACAACGAGTGATCCAAGATATACAGGCCTGCGGCCAACTGCCAGGGCCAGAGGCGTGGCAAGGAGGCAGCCAACGCCCATGAACATAGAAGGGTAGGTCATGAGCGCTGTAATATCCGCGTAGTCTGCACCATGAGCAGCATATATGGGGATATAGAATCCGAGGAGGCCTCCGAAGCCGGATACCATGGAGAGACCGAGACTTGAGACTGATTCATAGTCAGTCAATAGTAAGACAGATAGCTGAAGTTTTACCTACAAATCGACACAAGGGAGATGAACACGATTTTCCTCCATTTGGGCAGATTCAAAGGATCTAAAACTTGTCAGATGCAATTTCAGAGAGCTTGTGATATTGTCGTATACCTCGTGGGTCAGCACTGGGGGCAGGCACAAGGTAGATGTCCTGCTCCTCAGTGAACCTCACTGTGCCCATCGTCTCCGACTGCTGGAGACCATTCTTGCCATCAGACTCATCCGCAGAGAGGCTTTCGAACCTCTCTACCGTCGAGCCCACTACCTTTTCATCCTTGCTAGTGCTCATGATGCTGTTCGGACGGTTGGAAGTCGTTGAACGACTTTGGGAAAGGGATGAATCACGAATTGAAAAAAACTAGAAAACGAACCCGCTCGCCGATACCAGAGAGCGAAGCAGTTCGAATTTCAGTCTAAAGATTAATTTTCTGGATATTTGCATCGTCTTAAAACAACCAGCATTCCATGGCGAAGTCGTGGCTTCTCAGCCATGCCAATAGCTGGCCTTAGCTGTTCCCACTGCGACCGATGCATCTGTCACTACTCAGATCGCAGCTGAACTCCACTTCCCGTAACTTTCCAAGAATCTGGAGTCAACTATGGGGAAGCGTTTGCGGGGTAACAGCACGCGGCATGAAGGCTAACGGCCGCTGCAACCCGATATGGTTTAGCGTTCGGAGAGTGGGCAGTGGCGCATGTGCATGACAAAGTCAGATCGGAACCACGATTCAAGAACAACCACTGCGGTGGAGCCTATTCCTAACGCATTGCAGCCGTTGGTAACTCCGAACATCGATCCAGGTGCCCAGATGAGACCTGGACCTTAACTATCGACCAGCTCATGGGCCTTGACTTACAGTGCGTAACATGAACGCAGAGCGCTCCGAAGGCCATCAAAGCCAGCTCTGAAATCATTACCTACTCACTTGCGTGATGAGTCGAGGGTACCCAATGCCTTGAGCACCCGAAGGCATTATAAAAGATCGTTCACATATACTTTGACATTGTTGGGGAGCGCGAATATGTTCAAAATATGTTCGATTATACGTGAACGGTTTCCAAGCAGGACAGAAATCCGTAGACTAGCCTACTGGTGCTAATTCCTCGCCGTTTCACGGACAAAATCTGGCCAGAAAACTTGACATGTCCCAAAGACCTTTTACACCACCGCGATTCCATGCCCTACGGCTCCTGCGGAATGGGCACAAAGGGCAGGATTATTCGGCTCGGGGTGTCAGGTCCTATGTGAATCCTGTGCTCACCCTTGTTCCTCTCATACTCCGGTCGCTCTGTAGAGAATGCAGTATACTCAGCAATGGCAGGGAACGAGCCGGAGACCTGTATGTGTGTTAGCTCGTGTTCAAGTAGTGTTGTATAATGCGCGAAACTTACCTGAACACTGATAGACTCTCCTGCATCAAAGTCGACACCCATCGACCAGATGCCGATCTCCAGTTTGACCACCTCGCCGGGTGTTATCATTCTCCTCAACGTCGTGTGGATGGAAGGGAAATTGCTCGTGGATCGACCCTTCTCAGGAAGGAATCTGCGATGACTAGCGCGCAGAGTGCCGACACTTCCGATGTGCAGATTTGTGCTTTGTCGGTCCTTCTCTGGAATTTCATCGATGCTCTTGATGCCTGTCGGCACTGCTGAGAAGGGAAAGCAGAGGTGCATGAGGAGTTTGCCATTTACATCGCGCTTGCGCAATATCACAAATACGTTGAGATCGTCGTGAGTTGGGCAAGACATATAGAGAACAGCTTTCGGAAGACCAATGAGTCGTGTCTTGGTCTTGAAAGTGTGAGTGAAGTCAGCAATCGATTTTGTGTCTTCAGAGTTGTACGAGACGATCTCGGAAGTGGAAGCAGGCTGCTCAGTAACGCCTGACTTTGAAAGGTAGAGTTCACGGTACTCGGTTTCAGGAATGGGGAAATCGCTAAACTCGATGTTGTCAATCGCTTCGCGGTCGCCGAACTGTAAAGCTGACCAGCGCACTTTGGGGGTGCTTTCCCAGCCGTTGTCTTCGTCCTTCAAGTAGCAATCGAAATATTTCTTGAGCTCGTCATGGGAGTGTTTGACGCAGTAAAGCTCGTACCACTCTTGATATGAACTCCATCGTATCCACTTCTTCTCATGCGGGATTTCGAGCCATCCTCTTACAGAACCCATGGTGTGAATGCTGCTGAAGTCACTTCCGCTAATGTATACTGCACACTCAATCTGCGTCATATCCGGGCGCTTGTCGGCCCAGTAGTTGTTTGAAAGCGGTTGTCGTCGGTACATCTCGGCCATATCCTCGATGCCACCATTTGGATTGTTTGTCTTGATGATAAACTTTGTGATGAGATCGAAATTCGACATGGAAAAGATACCGCCACGGCAAAACTGCTCACGGTACAAGTCTCCAGATCCTTCCCAGGGCGCAATCGCGGCAAGATGGGGTGGCCGGAGCGAGGCCACGTGCCATTGGATAATAGCGAGTGCGGAATTTCCAGCCATTCCAACTTTTCCGTTGCTCCATGGCATGGCCGCAAGTGCTTCAATGACATCATAGCAATCTTCGGCATCCTGAGAGCCCATGAGAGGAATTGATCCATCGGAGTCGCCTGTGCCTCGAGAGTCAACAGAGACGATAGCATAACCACGCGGGCACCATTCGACGGGGTCTAGGCCTTCAAACTTCTCCAGACCACTTAAAGCCTCTTTGGGCACGCAGCATTTCCACACACACATCGGTAGCATGTGGAGCGCAGAGTACTTCTTGCCATAACATGACCAGCTAACGACGGCGGGTAGCTTCTCGTCATCATTCGCATCCGCAGGTCGATAAATATCTGCGTACAACCTGCATCCGTCGCGGACCTTGATCTCAACATCGTGGTCTATCCGGATGTCGCTTTCGAGTGCTCGTCCTTCATACGGTCGAGATCCCTTCTTCACAATTTCGACTTCGCCAGGTTTGAAGCCTTGATAGTTGTTTTCGCCGAGTTCAGGCTTAGAAATGCGCTTGTAAGCGACTTGCGGCAATGGGCCCGGCATAATTGATCTGTAGTAATATGGGGTATGGGACCTCGGGATGATACGATTGTGGGAATGGATTATTCGAAAAACTCAAGACAAAGTACCAAGCTGATGTACTTCATGTGCATCAACAAGCACCAGCCCCCACCACTAAAGCTTCGGAAGCATGCCCACAACAGATTGCATCTTCGGCTAACGATTAGCGTAGCCGTTCCACATTCTAGTCGGCCCAGAACGGGTGGGAATGGACCCTGTATGGATGCCCACATCTTCCGATGTTTCGGAACTGTGGGCGATTTGCGGGGCAGGCGCTACCGATCGGTGGTCTCCACCTGGGCACACAACGACCGACCAAGAGCGACATTGAGATATCATATTAATACCAGCACCTGAAGCGATTGAGCTCAGTATACAATCTCACCAAATCTCCTACATACTTTCCCACAACATCTCTCATATTATCATACAGCAACTAAATATGGCACCTCACGTCAGAAGAGCCTCAAGCGGACACTGGCGTGGATCTCATCCAACATGATGGGAAAACCACATACGGTGACTGGCGCGACGAGTTCCACAAGTACGGCTGCGCAGTCGTGAAGAACGTCATCACACCCGAGCGTGCAGAGTACTACAAGAAGAAGCAAATCGAGTGGCTGCAATCTTTTGGCCTGGGCTTTGATCCCAACGACGAATCGACTTGGACTGCTGAACATCTTCCAGTCAGCTTCAAGGGTGGCATGTACTTTGCTTACTCCAGCACCCATGAGAAGTTTGTCTGGGAAGCCCGCACAGAACCCAAGGTTGTCGATGTCTTCACTAAGCTGTGGGGAACGGACGAGCTTCTTTGCTCTTTTGACGGCATGAACATCACCTTGCCACGACAAAAGGACCTCACTTGGAGCCCATGGCCTCACTGCGATCAGAACGAGAATCGCAAAGGAATGCAGTGTGTACAGGGCCTGTTGAATTACCAGCCAAATGGTCCAAAGGACGGTGGTTTGATCCTGATGAAGGGAAGCGCGAAGCTTTTCGACGAGTTCTTTGCGGAGAAGCGCGAGCAAGACGAGCACGAGGACAAGCCACCGCCAGAGGAGGAGATGAGGGATCTCTTCATCTTCAAAGAGGAAGACGTCAAGTGGTTCCAGGACAGGGGCTGCGTATTGCAGAAGATCAACATGGAACCTGGTGACTTGGCGAGTCGTCCTTTTCTTCTACCGCAAACTGTCGCTAACGTTTTATGAAGGTACTTTGGGACAGCAGGACCATGCATTACGCAGAGCATCCGCAAGGCGATCTCATCAGACACGTGCAGTACATCTGCATGACGCCTCGCAAGTTCGCGAAGAAGGAGGATATTGAGCTCAAGGCTAAGCTGTTCAATGACTTCCAAGGCACGACACATTGGCCTCATTGCAACATCCACAAGGCGGGTCCGCCGCTTCGTGATGGAAAGCTCTGCCCGAAGAACAGGACGGAACCTCTCGAGAAGCCTGTTATCACGGACCAGGTGTTGCGTTTAGCTGGCGCCAAAGCGTATTAATTAGTTTAAATCAATATGTCTCATTGAAAATTCAATTTCATGCGCGGCAAGTTCTATTGAGCGTGATGCGAAGGTTCAACGCATGGATATATGTAGTAATGATGCAATATTGTCACATGGGAGCTGTCATGTGTATGAACTGAAGCACCAAAATTATTTCAAAAGATGACAGTAATACACATGACCAAAGAATCTGAGGTGGGTGAGCCACAGTTGTACACCAGCCGTCCCTGTGCTTGGAGTACACCGAAATCATCACCAGACGCACGCAAATTTTACGAGGACAATTTGACAGCATTTGACAACCTAACTACAGTATTCCAACCTTGCGATAAAATTGAGCTTGGCCTGCGCAACGTCATTTTTGATGCAAAACCAATGTTCGTTCACCGATCAAATACCAAAGCCCTTAATCGACGCAAGTCGATCCAGATACTTCAGGTGCATTCAAGCCGCCGAGCCTATCCCACGTGCTCTTTGCCACTCCAATGCGCCTCTGTACATGCAATTGTAATCCATAAACTCATCCGGCCGCATCTTGACCTCCTTGCTCCCAACATCCGTTGCAGGTTTTGCCGCATCTCGGCTAAACTTTTGAATCAACGATGCGCGCTCATAACGGGCCTCGAACACCTCCTTGAGTCTTGCTTCTACCTCTTCATCACTTGGCTCTCCATCAATGTCTGCAAAGAAAGCACCAAGTGCCTCTGCATCTTCGACTGCCTGGCTACCACCTTGGCCTTGCGTTGGCAACATTGCATGTGCTGCATCACCGATCAAAATGACGCGCCCACGATGCCAGATCTCGAGCGGATCAATATCGCGCAATTGCCACAATCCTATGCTTTCTGCTTCTCGAAGCACGTCTCTAGTCCAGTCCGGGAAGTCCTTGAATGTCTCGAGCATTTTTTCTTTGTTGCCTTCAGTCACCCAGGATTGCGCACTGTCCGGATCTTCGTTCATGCGCTCGTCTGGAACGAGTCCAACAACGCTGTAGAGCGTGCCATGTCGTGCTGGTCCGGAAATCAGGCGACAGTCATGCGCTACCATCATGGATGTAAACGGATCCTCTGGCTTGATGGTATCTGCAAAGCGGGGCGCTCGCTGTCTCAGGCGTTCCGAAGACATCATCAGGCGGTAGGCAGAAGATCCTGTCGGCTTTGGTGTAATCTGTTTGCCCAGTACGGCGGTGCGCAAATTACTGTGGATACCATCTGCACCTACTATGAGATTTGCGCAGAGGACCTCTCCGTTTTGCAGTGTTACACTCCCAGTCTCGCAATCGCAGCGTGCTACCCGCGCACTTGTGCGAAGTGTGGCCGCTGGGCCATGTCGATCAGTGCTCGTTGCGACCTTCATGAGATATGAATGAAGGTCTTGTCGATGCCACATGACACGATCAGCGCCATACTGGGTTTTGGCGAGCAGTGATATTTCTCTGACCATCTTTCCCTCTGAGTTGAAGATGCGAAGGCCTTGGTCTATCATTCCTGAAGAAGCTTCGAGTAAGTCGGTCATGCCCCATGTTTGTTGCAATATCCGCGTTGCATTTGGCTGCAACGATATGGTTGCTCCGATTTCAGAACAAAATTGAGATTGCTCGAGAACAGTGACTTGTCGGTTCGAGCCTCGCAAAGCGATGGCAGCGGCTAGGCCTGCGATGCCACCGCCGACAATAATGATCTGGAAAGGGTTTGAAGTCGACATAGATTGCAGATACACAGTAGATCGCAAAGCAATGGTTTCCCGTAATGAAATCGGTGATAGGTCGGAGGAGGTGTTCCAAGACGTTTTGCTGGCTGCTTGTAGATGTCGACACACGACCGTCTGCTGTTAATTGAATCCGGCCATCGCATGCCTCCACTTCACGAACAAGACACCACCATTTGACCCGGCCCGCGGCAGGCATACGGGAAGATGCGAGCTGTTGCTCGCCATTCGACTGCGCGTGGGCGCTGAAACGATGTTCCCACCTGTCTTCGGAGTTTGCGGGGGTGGGGGCGCCCACGACTCTGTCACAAGGGACTACCGTGAGTGATACCGGTGGATCGGGAGCTCTCGAGCGTGCCAATGACAGTGCATTTTAGGGACGGCAGCACAGTCGGAACGCCAGCAATGATATTGAAAGCACCGATGGCATTTGGAAATGGTCTAAAAATGGGCGAACGATAAAAAAGGGTATTTACACACAAAATAACAAATGCTGACCTCCTAACTCGTCCGCTGTTTCTCCTGTTCCACGTCTAAGCGAACGAGTTGGGGCTCGGTGGACTCCAATGGTTGTCCTAGTTCTGCAGTAATATCTTTGGATCGCAGTTTCTTCTTCTGATCTGTCCACATCAAGTAGAAATTCCTTGCACCCCACAGTTGCGCAGCGGTGAAGATGCAGTGCAAGATTGGCGTCAAGATCTTGAAAACCAACGACCATCGATCCCATGCCCAACCCCAGAAGTATAGGACCACGATGGTCTCGACCACGGTACCAGAAAACGTCACGATCATGGCGGAGAAGAAGACCTTGCGCAAGTACTCATGGTCTTTGGGTCGCATTCGTAGGAGGATGATCGCAACATGGGGCCAAAATTCCGCAATCACGTCAAATATCCCTGAAGGTTCAATGTCAGCCACGTGAATGCCGTTAATCGGAGAGGAAGAAGCGTACCCCACAAATAACAGAGGATGAACTCAAGGGTAGCATCAGGGTGATGCTTCCAGTTGTAACTGTAGGCTACTGCTACTGCGGCAATGATGACGGAACCCATGTGGTGTGCGACAGCGACAGGAGACAATTTTGCTCGGAACATGAGCTCGAACACGTACATCGCTATGAAGACCTGGTTCAAGACGAGCAGTACTGCGCGCTGATTAGGCCCTAGCCTGAAAATCTGGCTCTTGATCACTCACCATCTCCCAAAGTCACAATCTTGGAACCGGCAAACGACTGGCTCAGACGCGGAGCAGATCCTGCGAGTACGGAAAAGAAAGGGTAGGCACCCGTGATCAGCATGACTATCTTGGCCGCGGCAGCGACATGGTGGTTGATAAACCCGCGTTTTCGGTTGTCATCGAGTTTGGTGTATATGTCGCCATAGAATCGTGGCAACAGAAAGTTTTCGAAAAAGTAGTATCGCACTAAGAAGAAGACAACAAGGGACACTGTCAGGATAAGGCCGGAATAAGGTACCAGCTTCGATATCTCCTGACTCTTCATCAGCGTAACGACAGGCCGCCGGTGATTATAATTTTCAGGGCGAATGTAGTTGTGGGGTGATAGGGTCGTCATCGTGAAGAGTGCGTGTGGTAAGTGAGCGTGCAACGAGTGCGTTACCGAACATCCTCCTGGCTTTAAAGGTCGAGCAAGCGTCACAGCCACACAAGCCTATTCGGGACTCGGCGATGTTTTCATAGGAATTCGAGGAGTACGAACCTTGGAAAATTGAATTGCGGGGCACGTACCCCAAACCAGGAGCCCTAGTGCGTTTGCTGCGGCCTGCACGGTGCTTCATCTTAGGATGTGTTACCAGGTTCGCCCCAAGGGTTCAAAACCTTGAGGCCGTACCGGTGTCAGTGGTGATGATCATGTTTGTACGGGGCTCATACACTCTCACCCGAACAATACTGGCTCAGCGTCACAGTCTATTTGTTTGTGGTGCACTGAGACAGACTCAGGTTGAATCGTCCAGAGCCGAGCTAGAGACCTAATGAGGCCGAATTCACCAGAGCCGAGCTAGAGATCTAATGAGGCCGAATTCACCAGATGGTACGATAATAGCAGTCGCTGAGGCCGCGCCACATCACAGCGGGAGCTAGTAAGGCTACAAGGCTTGTGTAAGCGTGATGTTCAGTATTGCTCAAGGAGTGAGACCTCCGTTGCTGGGTCTAGATTCTATACGCGGCCGTCGTTGGGATTGGTGCCGATATCCGTATTCACATCTTAGTTTAGCCATAGGTAAGAAGCAGAAGCCAAACGCTCTCCCAACATGACGGCTCTTCGAAACAAGGAGTGGTTCTACCCTCCTTTGTCAATTGCGCGTTGCATGTACCGTCACAGGACCGTAGGGCTATCTCTACACCTAGGCTCTTTGCTGTGTCACTGAAGTAGATCGTTTTGAGTCACACTGCGAGGATGGTGCGCTATCGTGCGTAAAACGACCGGTACGCGTCAGCCCCTGGATGAAGCGTATATCGAGCGAATGAAGCTTCTGGGACAGGCTTGAGTAGTTTAATCCGCGGTTCGTAAAGTGCCAGACCACCGGTGTGGCTGTGCCTGTCCAGAAACGGACTACATTGTGCCGCTTTAATCCCGCAACCACTAACACGCAGCGGTAGGACCACTGAATTGGAATAATCATTCGGCCCGCTGGCCCAATGAATACAGAGAAGCTTTGGGAGACAGCCTTGGGGGAAAAGGAAAGTGCGCTGCTGCGACGACGAGGACGCGCGTGTGGCGCAACAACTCCTGTGCAATTGTGTGGTCATCGCCAAATAGGAGAACCGCCGACGAGGAATCTGCCGAGATCGTTGACCGCTTGCCCTGTGGACTGTCATTCATTGATGGGGCATTAGATATTGTCCAGTCGCTCCTAAGATTGACAAATCGTGTAGAGAGGGAGTTGAGACGCATCCATGGATGTCGTTGTAAACAGGCTGATCGCTTAACGTCTTGGCTGCATGGCAGTTGCGCCTCCACGGCAGTCAAACTCACACGTGACGTAGTTGATTACCAACCGTCCGAGGTCCTCATCCGATGTACCTCAAGCCAGAACATCTTTTGTCAACAACACCAAAAATCAACCACAACATGGCAGCGCAACGTGAAATCGATACCACTGCAACGTCTGATGAGCGTGCCCCTTTGCTCGCTCCCGAGCATGCGCGGTATGACGCAGACGAAACTACAGAAGACGACGCGATAGCGGAGGCCGGGGAGGCGACCTCAAACACCTGGCTTTATCTTTGGAGAGGATTTTGGGTGTTGCTCGCGATGCTTATCATCGCCGTCTTCATCAAAGGCTGGATAAACGCTGATGACGTGAACGTGAGTGCTCAACATTGAAGCTTCAGACGAAGTCACCACAACTTACGTCGGTAGTTTGATCTCAAAGGTGCGCTGAAAAGGGCGTTAGGAGGCGGGTTAAGTGGAGCTGCCGCGATGGTTCTTCAAGTGCTGTTGCTGATGCCAATTCGCACGATCATGAATTACCAGTATCGCCATGGAACATCTTTGTCAGTAGCCACGAAGACCCTGTATCAAGACGGCGGGCTGGGGCGCTACTACCAGGGTCTCACGGCCGCACTCTTTCAGGGTACGAATCTAGACTTGCACTCCACTTCTCACTCAGCTGACAAACGACGAACATAGGTCCAATTGCACGCTTCGGCGACACAGCGGCCAACGCAGGTATTTTGGCTCTAATGAAGTCGAACGGATATCTCAACCAACTGCCATCACCGGTCAAGACTATCTTCGCATCGTGCTGTGCTGCAGCATTCCGGATGCTCCTCATGCCCATTGACACGTTGAAAACGACTCTTCAAGCCCAAGGCGCGCGCGGCACGAAGCTGCTTCGGGAGCGTATACGCACTGACGGTGTCGGATCGCTTTGGTGGGGAGCGTTTGCGACTGCCGCCGCTACTTTCGTCGGGCACTATCCATGGTTCGCCGTCTACAACTTCCTTTCTGAGACCATTGCCGAGCCTTCCAGACACCAAATTGGGTGGTGGCTACTCCGCGCGGCATTTATCGGATTCTGCGCCTCAGTTGCATCGGACACTATTTCGAACTCCCTGCGCGTAGTGAAGACTTACAGGCAGGTAAATGACACGAGGATCTCGTATACCGAAGCCGCTAGGCAAGTCATTCGTCAAGACGGAAGAATCGGGTTGTTCGGTCGCGGATTGAAGACCAGGATCATTGCGAATGGCCTACAGGGTATACTGTTCTCGATTCTGTGGAAGCTGTTCTTGAAGATTTGGGAAGACAAGACCGGCAAGTAGTTCCGTTTTGCGCAGGCAGAGATTTGGATTAGCCCCATGTGTTGCAAAACTATCGCGCTTGCGTGGTTGGCATTTGTAGCATGGATGAAGCTATCAAATTGCACAGGGCAACGAAAAGAATTCGACATCATCTGTCATTCTTTTGCTACGACTGATGTTCCATCACATCGCAGTTGGCAGCTTCGTTGAATTTTTATGCCATCCCGCCCTAAATGGGCTGAGCTGTAGACTTTTGTTCCCGCTGATTATGTGCCTCACTCACCCAGTCAAGTTCGCATCGATAGCAGTCCCTTCAATGCTGCTAGGGCATGCCTAGGGCAGAAACGTTTACCTCAGACAACGCTCCCCAGACTCAATAATCGACGGCATCACCACAGTGTCCGCACCATCCGCAGTCTTTGTCGCACAAGACCCAGTCCTGGTCATCGTCGCTAAAGTTTGACACTGTATGCGTGTCGCGCATGTTGAACTCATGCTCGTAATCATCGCGTGCATCTTCGTCTTCAAAAGCGATGAAGTCAGAGGAGTTTTCGCCCATAGCTGGTACAGGCGGATGCTGGCCTTGAAGTCAGCCAAGAATACAACTTGTCGGAATCAATCCATGATCTACTCACAGTTGGTTGAACTGCGCCAACCAAAGGTGCGCTTCTGTTTGCGGCCACCATCTTCACGTGTGGGGGAGACGCCTCGTGTTGCGCCAGAGCTTTGCGGTCTCCAAAGAACCTCGTGCAGACAGCGCAACTGAACATTTCCATGTGAGCCGGGGCGTCGCGGTGTTGCTCCATAGCCTTCTCGCTGCAAATGTCTGACCGCACTTGCGGCAGGTGTGCGACTGGGGCCGAGATGCTTGAGCGACACCTGTGTGACCCTTGAGCGCGTTCTTTGAGTCGAAGTGTTTTGAGCAGATGCTACACTGGTTTGCCATTTGGAAAAGCCTGTCAGCGGTAGGAAAGCTGAGTTGAGGTTGAAGTTGAGATGGCAAAGACACTCTGGGTTTGTGTCGGGAGTAGTGAAACAAGATCAAGTCTTACTTTGCCCCTCACTGGTTGTACAACATGCAAGCTTTTCGAAATTACGACACAGGTAGAGCTACACTTCAGTGATGTGAAGTAAGTGGTCAGTCGGCGATGTGACTGTCTACCAATGCATACATCACATACGTTTCAGACTCACTACTACATGCAATTGCGTTATGTTTCTGTATAGCGCCCCTGTCTGAACCAGAGTACATAAGATTGACCATGCCAATACACAACAGTAAATTAAGTTGCGGTAGCATTGTCGCGCCTCCTGTTGGATTCTTAGAGCATCTCCAGAGAAAGACGCACGCCATTACCAGCTGTTGGTATCGTCAGCATCGTTGCTCTGATGGTATGGATCAGGGTCATGCTTATAGTGACTGGAGCTGATCGTGCTTGAAGAGTAGGGCTGACGATAAGTCTTATATGCCAGTCCCAGGAATCTATTGCCCGAAAAAGTCAGGACACAGCTGAAGGTGCGGCGACTAGAACGTTATAGTCACAGTAAGGCGTAATAAAGATCTAAAGAGACTCTTGTGTTATGCTATCTACATGCACCGCGATGGAATTACAATATAATAAACTGATGTAATGATGTGATAAAGCCAGAAGTAAGTTAGTTTTGTCGCTCGAGATGCATTTGAGGTCCTGAGACTCAGTAATCAAATAAGGCATGAGAGCAAAGCATCAAGCCGAGAACGCAAACATGGGTGGAAGAATATGTTTCTGAAACGCTTGAGCTTAACTAAAATTAATGTTGCGCTGAAGATTGTAGCGATGGCTGTCGAACTAATGGATGGCAAAGACTTTTTCTCGAATCTTGTCTTAGTGGTAGGTTTGCAAATCGGAGCCCTTTGTGCAAGCCTGCGTAACTATGCCACTGCTCTCCTTCATAGGCTGTTTTTGTTTCCGAGACGCGATCGGCGACAATGCCTTGCAGGAACAAGATGTCTGGGCCCCGTGAAGTGTCCAGCAACTTTGCATGCCATGGTAATTCTTCGGATGAGTTGAAGAAGAAGGGCAACAATGCTATTCCTGTGCCGGTCGTTATACATCTGCCATGATTGCCCAAGAAAAGAACATGTTACGCTCCAGCTGGATGCCAGAAACGTTTAGTCTTCGAAAGGCACTCAAGTTTGCTGTCTGAAACAGTGCATATCGGGTTGCGTCCCGAAGGATGGCCGCCAGGAACTTGGTACAATCCACATGAAGAAGTGTCGCTTGATCTCCGATCACACTTTCGATTCTGTCTATTCGTTCGAGGATTTCATAGATGCTATTCTTGCGCTTGGTCTTCTCAAAACGTTGGGGTATCCCCAGCATGACAGCCCATACTCGACGTTTAGAAGAGAGACCGTGACCGGGTCTAGGAAGTCAAACATCTCTGCTGCACATCACCACCCTGGGCCACCATATACTTTGCGATATGAAGCGAAAATCGTAGGTCAGCCACCGAGCTACGTGTACAACGTCGATCAAGCGGAACTCGGAGTGTCCTAAGTAACACACGCTCGATTGTGCAGGTACAGCCTCTTCAAGGACCCACAGACAGCTTCAGAACTTGGCGGAACGGGTATAAGATGGCCGTTCAACTTGATGTATGTTGGTTCTTTTCGTGATCCCAGCAGTAGGAGATTGTTCGAATGGCCGGGGAGGGTTCTCAAGGAGAGAAATTGTTCTCATCGTACATTGAACAATCGTAGCCTCGTCACCAGGTGCAATATTCAACACTTGTGTTTGCTCAGTTTCTTCGCCAAGTGTGATATAATGACTAGAAGTGTGGCTTGCTGGACTGGAAGGCATCGCTGAGCGAGCACGTATGGACGGGGTTCAAAAGAGATAAATTATGCTTCGAACTGATGGCGAGGTTGTGACGTGTGGGAACTGATCAGGCTGGAAGATCTCGTCTTATCGTGGTACACGCCATCCCTGATCTCATCTGTCCAGTCGTAAGCCCAATCAAAAGCTACACGGCAGCGTCGCGATGTCAGATTCATTTCGGTGCGCATTCAGTCGGTGGACGATTTCGAGTTATAGCCCCCACATCGTGAGTACATATGTCGCTCGCAAATGATAATGCCGTACCTTCTATATAGTTGGTCGCTATCATGTGGACGGAAAATCGACCTCATCAGCTCATGTGGAACTGTTTGACCATCTGAGCGTGACCCCGGCCAATTAGCCAGTCTCTTTTCCTTTCTCCATGTCACTTTTCGCAGAGCTGGCAAATGCTCGTAAATAAACCAGAATACCGCCAGGAACAAAGCAAATGCCTGACCCCAGTCCCGAAATGGGCCAGCTCCGCAAAGTACAAAGTAGCACGCCTTATTGCTTGGTCTGAAACTGGACAACATCGGCAACCCGAATACAAGCAGGATGAGAGCGACCCGGGTTATACCCATGAAAGAAATGCGTAAGGGAAAAACGAACCACGAGTTTGACAGAATATTCCCAATGTTTAAATCAATCCAGTTGGGCAGATACCACAATGCCCATTTGAAACCTGTCGTCCAGTGGCCCAAGATGGGCAGCTGGATACACTTTCCCCAAACAACGACGACGAACATCCCAACCCATGCTGGCATGAGCGACCCGAGCAGCAAGACGAGAGATCTTCTTTGGATGAGTGACTTCACTTCCTTCGAATCCTCCTTCTGTATGCGCCAGAAAAACATAATGGACTGCATGAATGCGTGTAAAAGTCCAACACACACTACAGCACATACGGCGATGCTCAACTCCTCCAATGCATTATTGGTTCCAGTGAAGTCGACAGCCCTGAAGCTCGCGCTGGCCGTCCAGTCGAAATGGCGCAACATTTTGATAGCGGCCCAGTTCGTGTATAATGTATAGCCAATGTGGTTTAGATTGTGTTTGTAGCTGCCTTGGAGCGTCAGGATCCACGAGGCGATAAGCGTGATACACCACGCAGCCCATGTACCCGGTCCGTAAAAGCTCTTGATGCCTACAGTGCTTGATGTTGTCGCTGGTAGGGTGTTGTTCGTAATAGAATCCATCTTCGCGCTGCAATGCTTGACGAGAATTGGGAGGTGGGCGAAACTATCGTTATTGCATTCGTCAGGCATACTCATGTGCGCGATGTTGCGCAGCCTCAACGCCACCCTCAATCTGACCGGAAGGCGGGGCTGCGAACGCACCCATTGGTGGACATGTCGCCTAACTCCGTGTCAGGACTAAATATCACGATTGTTATATGGTTTTGAAAAAAGCGCGACATGGAATGCCGAGGCCCGATCAAGACCATCAGTTTTGATAATATTTGCCAGTCCTTCTCCCTAACTCACCTCCTTCACAACCTGTGCCAAAGCCTTCTCATACTCCCCTATCCCCTTCGCTCCAACGAGCGTGAAGTCCCTCCTCCGCCCCTCAACAACCACGTACGGCACACTATCCACCGCATTCCCCACCTGCTCTTGAATCGCCGCCTTTGTCTCCTTCTTCATTTCTTCCCCCTCTACAACCTCTTTTGCCTCTTGCTCACTCAATCCAGCGGCCAGGCATGCTTTGATCAGCGTAGAAGGAGATGAAGGATGTTGACCTTCTTCAAAATACTGTTTGTACAACGAGAGTAAAGCGGAGATGGCGGCTTCGGGGCTGTGCGTTTCTTGTATGTAGTGTAAAATGCGATGTGCATGGAATGTATTCGCAATCATGCCATTGTTGAAGTCAAAAGGAATGTTGTCATCTTTCCCCAGCCCAGTCATGTAGTCGATATACATCTGCATTCTCTCCGCGCTGTCGTTGTATTTCTCCGTCTTGTACCATTCATACTTGCTCACGCCCTCGGTGCTGAAGTCCGGGTAGAGTTGGTATGGCGCAAGACGCAGAGTGAAAGTCACCGGGGAGCCGGAGTTTGCGGATATCCAGTTTGCGAGGGCTTTTTGGAGGCGTGTGAAGCCGAGATATGTCCTTCATGGTGGTGAGTAGGGGTATTGGAAGGAGGATGGGGTTTTGCTTACCAGGGACATATTGTGTCGAGGGTGAAGGTTATCGTTGAATCGTAAGACATAAGTCGCGGTGGGAGAGTCAGCAAAGTTGAGTTTGAGCGATGTTTTTGTAAGTTCGTGCAAGCATGAAGATTGGCATATACTATCTGGCTTGCGTCAGTAACAACAAGAAGCCACAATGCTCCATGTCTCCGATCATCGTCATGCGGGGCAAGATCGGGCAAGAGCCCCGCTCGATACATGCTAGTTGCCGAATTGTGGCTGTGCTGTTGGTCAATGTTTCGTGCCTTGGTGGAGATGGAGCCACTTGCATCGACCGCGGATAAAGAAAGATCATCGATGGTATGTACAATTAATATTTGCAATTCGAAATTATCGTGAACGAGAGCAACAAGTGCAGGGTAATCTCCAAAATGCAACGCCAACTTCTAAAGCCCCCAACAATCCCCGTTCGCGATACAGAATAATGGTACTGGTCTGGCAAAAGCGGAAGGATTGGATGCATTCGAGCTCGTAGTCCTATTAATTTAGCTTGACATAATTCCCTAGTGATCAATCAGTTCAATGTCTTGCAATGGAGATGTACATCGGCGACGGCATACCTGGAAATTGTCCTTGTTTTCCCCGTACTTTGCCTATCCACCACTCGTTGTCGTTCTGCGTCCGGGAGACGATCTCGATCACATCGCCAGTCAAGAAGCTCAAGTCACCTTCTGCTTGCGCCTCGTAATCGTACAAAGCCGTGACGTGCTCAACAGCAGGTGCGCCACTAAGTCGTGAAGGCTTTGGCTTTGGAGGTGGAGGCGCGGCGCCTTTCGACTTCGCGACTGAGCCCCATGAGCCGGTTGAGAGTGCTGGCGATTTTACGTCACCAAGTGTGGCGGCTGCGGGTCCTGGACTGTATGGCGGAGGTGGCGCGTCTGTCTCTGAAGAGACCGAAGCGCGGCCTGCCTTGGCTTCTGCCATCTTCGATGCGTATTTCGATTGGCCAGGCTTCATGCCTGGCGTGCGACCGCCTGTTGCCTTGAACTTCACGATGGAGATCTTCTCTGTCTCTTCTTGGATATCTCCTCGCTTCTTCTGGTAGGCTGCCTCGATATCGAGGGTCAAGTCGAAATAGCCAATGTCAAGCCGTTGCATGCGCTCGTGTAGAGTGTAAAACACATTGAGCTGCATGTAGTAGAAGGACTGGAACAGCGGCTGGATAAACTCGCGCTCCAGCATGAAGAGCTTTGGTAGCTCGTCCTTGAGCAGATCGTTGAAGTAATTGTAGTCGGTCGTAGCCTGCTCCACGTCGTTTTCTGCTTTGTAGATTGCCTTCTCATCCTTCAACGTCTTCTCCTTCTTGTCCTGGAGCTTTTTGAGTGCTGCGCGCTGGCGATCGTAGTCCAGCTGCTTGTGGTCGCGCTTGGCTGCAATCTTCCGCACCGCCTTGATGATCTCCAGTAGCTCGTCCGCCGGCCGGATGACCCGGGATTCGATCATCTCCAACTCGGGTTTCAGCGTTTCCTGCAGTTCGCCGACTACGGTCTCGTACTGTTCACATGCTTCTATGCCGGCAGAATTTCCTTCGTCGTGAAATGAGGTGGGGTCCGACATTCGTCCGGAGATGGGCTTGTAGATTTCCGCGATGGCTTTCGAGAATTCGATTTGGTGAGTGAGCATTCCTGCGAGGATTGGTTAGGCGATGCATGGAAGAGCACGCGACAGGTTTTACACACCATTGATGGCCTCAAAGTACCTGGCGCGGTCAGTAACAAGCTGCTGAAAGTATGCATGTGATGGGCGCATACTTCTTCGACTCATCGTGGAGTCGCTTCGTCTCCTTCTCAAGCTCCTCAAAGCGGCGTTCGGCATCGATGTAGATGGCGTCTTTTGTGATCTCGCCCTGTGCAGGGCGAATGTTAGCGCGTACTTGCGCACTCCCGGAAGCCGGCGCATAGTCTAGAGAAGCGCGGCAGCGGGCTGAGGTGTACGTACAATGTTGAACTTTTGCTTCACGGTTTGCGGTGCCTGGAAGAAGAGTCAGCCTGCGACTGAAGCCCAACGCGGTGCCTGAAGCTATTTGCGTACCCGAACCACGCTCTTTGTGAGACCTTTCCAACTCATGGTGGGGTATAGGCGGTATTGGTATAATGTGGTGATTGATGTGTGCTAATAGTGCATATATGATGTCGCGAGGAGTGGGCTCAAGGAGGGAGGACGCCGGCCACGCGATGGGGCTTATGGCCCGGGTGGGTTGCGTTTGGCGTATTCCGTCTTTGGTGTCTTGGTGGTTCCTGCCTATGACGTGGGACCAGTGGCTTAGCAGAACAGCCACTTGCCGGGCCGGGTGGTGCAGAACGCCGAGGGCCGTGAACACGACTACGTGAAATATCTCTTGCGTTCTGGAAGAGGCAGCTGCCGAATTGCGAAGAAGTAGTCACCGAGCTTGAATGGAAGAATGGATGCTGCACATGAATGCCGAGTGTCCCGAACAATCGAACAAGTCACCGTCATCGCCCGGGGCTGTGAACGGACAATGGGCAGTGACGATCGCGGCGGCTTATGTCAGGCACGCTAGCGCCCTTTCAATCGAGCTCGAGGCAAAAACGTTATCTGATGTCTCTCCACTCCACCTCCAAACACATAACCTTCACCATGTCTAATATTGCACCCACCGTCGCGAGGCAGGCCCTCCGCATTGCTTCGCGCCGATACCCCTCTTCCACATTCTCGCGCTTTGGCCCGCGAGCTGTCGCCGGCCAGGCCAACGGACGGCGAAATTATGTCTCCGAGACGAAGCCTTCGAAGGCAACGGTCCATGTCGACACCACCATCAAGGCCGAGCGAAAGGCATTCCTAGACCAAACTGGAGAGCGAGCACAAGATGCCACAATGCCAACGACAGGACTTGGCGCCGATGCCATGATGAGCCCATCGGCTGGTGAGCACTGTCCGTTCCCCGCCACGACTCGATGATGCTGACAATTGCAGGAATTTTGAAGCAAGCTTCGGTGATGGACCAAGGCTCGCGGCCAATCTACCTCGACATGCAAGCCACCACACCAATGGACCCCCGCGTGGTCGACGCGATGATGCCCTTCATGACCGGCCTTTACGGCAACCCACATTCGCGGACCCACGCCTATGGTTGGGAGACAGACAAGGGCGTGGAGGATTCACGAGAGCATATTGCCAACCTCATTGGCGCCGACCCCAAGGAGATCATCTTCACCAGCGGCGCTACAGAGAGCAACAACATGAGCATCAAGGGCGTGGCGCGCTTCTTCGGCCGAGCGGGCAAGAAGAGGCACATCATCACTTGCCAGACCGAGCACAAGTGCGTGCTCGACAGCTGTAGGCATCTTCAAGACGAGGGCTTCGACATCACGTACCTCCCCGTGCAGAACAATGGCCTCGTCGACATGGCCCAGCTTGAGGCGGCGATTCGGCCCGACACCATGCTTGTTAGCATCATGACCGTCAACAACGAGATTGGTGTCGTACAACCAGTAGAAGAGATTGGACGACTGTGCCGGTCGAAAAAAGTCTTCTTCCATACCGATGCCGCACAGGCAGTTGGAAAGATCCCCGTCGATGTTAACAAGTGGAATGTCGACTTGATGTCGATATCCGGCCACAAGATTTACGGACCCAAGGGCATTGGAGCCTGTTACGTCCGTCGAAGGCCACGAGTGAGACTTGACCCCATCATCAGTGGCGGTGGTCAGGAGCGAGGTCTCCGCAGTGGCACCCTTGCGCCTCCGCTCGCTATTGGCATGGGAGAAGCCGCCCGGATATGCAAAGAGGAGATGGAGGTACGTGACACACTTCCCTTTCCCCTCCCTTCCACACTATGATTATTTGCTTTATACATGCATGGCTTTCAGAGTGTTAGGCGGCTTCGGCCGTCGACGCGCCGTGTTGATAAATGTGCACCCCGTCTGAGTTCAACCATTGTTCCCAAACTCGTCCTAATGCGCTTGCATGAACATGGCTAACCAAGGACAGTATGATACAAAGCGCATCTCTGCGCTGTCGAATCGCCTGCTCACGGGCCTGCTCTCCATGGAGCACACCACCTTGAACGGCGACCGAGAGCGCCATTATCCTGGATGCGTGAACGTCTCGTTTGCCTACGTTGAGGGGGAGTCGCTGCTCATGGCACTGAAGGACATTGCACTATCATCGGGCAGTGCTTGTACGTCGGCTTCGCTTGAACCCAGCTACGTGCTGCGTGCACTTGGTAGCAGTGATGAAAGCGCACACAGCAGCATCCGATTTGGCATCGGCCGATTCACCACGGACGAAGAAATTGACTACGTCCTGAAGGCAGTGCAGGAGCGTGTGTCGTTCTTGCGAGAACTGAGCCCGCTGTGGGAGCTGGTGCAGGAGGGTGTAGATCTCAACACCATCGAATGGAGCCAGCACTAAGGAGATGTTCCTCGTTTGCATTTGTATACTATGATGGGTTTGGGAGGATATTTGGGCCTCATCTACTCGGGCGACGATGAAAGCCACGACTTACGTTTACTGTACCATACTTCTATCCCGCTACGCAAGCCAGGCAAGAGCGGTCAATATTATGATTGATGATACCCTCATTCAGTGGCTTTTCACATGTAGTGACGTACTCAATTTGATACTTATTAGTCTAATTCAGACGATGTGTTGGTGGTAGCCTGCCAAGGTGTCGCGCGCATCTCAACGTCGTGTTCGGAGCTTCCCCGCCAAACATCGACCTCGAACCAGCATGGCCGGCGTGCCCGAGAAAGTGCTCAACTGGCTGTACAGCGTGCTCACGAGTGTATTGACCACCATTGCCTTGTGCGAACTAGATGCTAACGATCCTACGAAGGAATACAAAGACGTCAATCGGACATATCACGACGCAGCCGAGGCCTTGTCCCACTACCCGTCTCTCTCCCCACGCACGGAGGTCTACAGTACGTCACCTCCACGCCCGCAACAGCTCGCTTCGAGCCCTCGAACAGCGTCTCACAGCATCAGCATATGAGAATGGCACATCTGCTCTTCTGCTCACCCTTAGCGGGACGTTGCCGGTCACGTTTCGCGGCGCTACATATGGCTTTCCGGTAGCAATATGGGTGCCTTACGCGTACCCTCGAGAGCCGCCCATGGTATATATCACGCCTTCGCAGGACATGGCAGTGCGCCCCGGTCAGCATGTGAGCGGAGACGGCAGGGTATACCACCCATACTTGGCACAATGGGCGCAATACTGGGATGTATGTATGCTTTGCGCCGAGCAGTACATTTGCTGGCGCAGTCCATGTAAAGACATGTGGCGCTGACTCCCGGGCAGAAGTCTACACTCTTCGACTTCTTAGCAGTTCTGCGAGGCGTCTTCGCCAAAGAGCCACCAGTACGATCGCGCCAACCACAGCAGCAGAATGCGCCCGCCCAACAAGCTCCTCCGCCACTTCCCCCGCCTCCAGCTGAATGGCGAAGATCCGTTCAGAGCGCTGGGAGGGCATCAGCGTCTCCGGGACCTACACAGCAAGGGCCCGCGCCTCCTCCACGGCCACCGAAACCGGGCGACGCAGGCCCACAGACTCCCCAGCCGTCGCGCGATCGCTATTCGCAGCCACCACCTCTCCCTCCGCACCCGCCACAACAACCCCAGCCGCGACCACAACATCAGCAAGCCCATGGCAACAACTATGCTGCGCCACCGCAGTGGCAACAGCAAGCACATCAACCTATGCAGAATGGTTCACGGCAAGGGAGCTATGACCAAAGTCCAGCTACGCCTGTCTCGAGACATCAGCAGTCGCATGGCCAAGGTCCCGGCTTCTCTCAAAATGCCTATGGCTCAGGAAGTCCCGTGAGCCCGATCCCGCCCGACGGTCAACGCGGCGCACCGCGATATGCCCAACGTGCACCTCCAACTCAGCCCCAAGTACTAGCTATCCAGAGTCAACACCACCAAGGACCTCTACCGCCGCATCAGCAGTACCCTGCACCTCCGCAACAGTACCGACAGCCTCCGCCGGGCTACCCACCACAACAACATCCTCAATATCAGCAACATCAGCAACAGCCGCCTCAACAAGCGGCACCCGCGACGAAACCTCCGATCAACCTACTCGACGATTCGCTCGAAGTCACCATTCCGTCACAGTCCGGCAATCAAGTTCCGCTACCAGTACCGCCCGTGCCTCCGAACCCCGAGAAGGATGCTCTATTACGCGCCCTCAGCCAGACGCTTGTATCACAGATCCGGCAGACCGTCAATGCCAATGTTTCTGCGCTGACACCGCTGCGCTCGCAGCAAGCCGCGCTACAAACTGCTTATTCGCGACTCCAGGCAGAACTCGGCGAGTTGCAACAGCTCGATGCTGCGCTCGCTTCCAACGAACAGATTCTCAAGGGCGCAATGCTCGAAGCAGACCGCGTCATGGACGATGCGCGGAGAAGACAGGCACCCGATGTTGACGACGTGCTCGTTGCGCCGACCTTTGTTGGTGGGCAGCTATATACGCTTGCTGCAGAAGAGAAGGGTATCGCCGATGCATTGTTTGTGCTTGGGAGGGCGCTTGATAAGGGGCGGGTCAGTGCGGATGTGTTCGTGAAGGTTAGTCCAATGTGATCATATGATGTTCCGGAGGTACTGACATGACGACAGCAAACGAGAAGTCTTGCGCGTGAGCAGTTCTTGAAAAAGGCGCTGGTCAAGAAGATTGCGAAGGGAATGGCACTGGACGAGTATCAAATGCGGTGAGATGGCGAGTAGATTATGGAATGGAGGACTGTAAGATGAGCAAACATGTGGATTACGAATGAAAGAACAGACGACGAATGCTGAGTGTTTGGTGTTCTTCTGGCAGACGAATATTATATTCATTAAATCGACGAAGAGCGGAATGACCAAATCAAAAACGTGTACCAAATCTACCGCGGTACAGATCTCACGACCGTAGCTGCAGCTGGAAAACATAAGGCGTATTGCCTACCAGGAGATGGCCCTACTGGCCGCAAGAATATAAAGCCTATTCATGTCAATGATGGAATCATGTTCTCGGATGGACCTGCGCCGGATAGAGAGGCCAGAGGCTCAGAATAATTTACGAGAGCTTGAGAGGTCTTCTATAAGACTTTGCTCATCTTTCCTTATCTGATCTGACATCGCGGCCCAGGACGTTCGGTGACATAGACCTTGCGGGAGCTCGGAAGTCAGACCCACCGCGCCTCCCCAGTGCAGGCCTTTTCAATTATGCTAAAAAGAACTTAAGGCAGCTATACTAGAATTAGAATTATTTCCTAGGCTTAGTAGAGCAGTTAAGCAAACGCTAAACTAGTAACGATAGCAATACGTTAAATGCTTTAGTTAGTATACTACTGTTAAGATATAGGCTACGCCTATACTTAGGCACCTTTCTAATAGTACCTTAAGTCTAATTAGTTAGCAAGAAGAATATATATATAGGTAACATATAGATACTTTCTTAATAAGAAATATAACTTTATTTAGCACTATATAATTCTATTCTTCTAGGCTAGCTTATAATAATTATATTTCTTCTTTATACTAATATATAACTAAACTTTAAAAGTATCTAGATAGACTCTTAATCTAACTTAGAGCTTAAGAGGTAAAGTTCTAATTATAACTCTTAGGCTTATCTTATCTAGATAAAGGCCTACTTAAATATCTTTAAAACTTAACTTAGCTCTATTAATACTATACTATAGAACTTTATAGCGCGCCTTAATAATTCTCTAGGTCTTTTATCTACTCTAATAGCTATACTAAATACTACTTATTCTACTTCTATAATAACTCTAGTTCTAACTATAGTAGCTTCTAACGTTAGAAGAATAAAGAATATCTCTATTTATCTTATAACTAAATAGATGCTAATTTAGCATAAACTACTTCTAGTAGAAGACTTATTCTTAGAAAATAAAGCTATTTTTAGCACTTAGCGTATTACTATTACGTATAAGCTTATAGTTAATTTAGACTTTATTAGAGACTATTAGAACTAATATGCGTTTATCTAGGCTAATCTCTTAGTAAAAGTTTAGAAGAAAGTAGCTCTTTACTATAAATTAGATAGAGATAATAGCGCTTAGAACTTAGTCTTATTTATAGAATACCTTATATTCTATTATAGTAATATTTATAGTAAAGAATAAGTATAGGCTATGCTAGATAGCCTCTATTAAGATAAGAAAGAGCTCTTTAGTAATTTCTTCTTATATTTTAAGTCTCTTCTAATTTAGTATAGCAAAGCTCTTTAAGATAATAAATAGAAACTTAATAGGCTCTAGCGCTTATTAAATCTAGCCTTATATTAAATTACTTTATATAGAGGTATATCTTAGTCTAATTATAATATAGAAGTTTATAAATACTAATCTATTGCTATTAACCTTAAGATAGTAGCCTTAGAGAACTAGAACTAGAATATATAAATATTCTTATATTATTTAGTAAAAGATAAGAATAGTAACGTTAAAATAGTTATAGTAGCTATAGTAGATATAAGTATAGAATCTAAGGCATCTAGTTAAATCTAGCAGAGTAAAGGTATAGGCTTAAAACTAACTAAGAACTAGATCTCTAAGAAGCTCTTTTAGATAAAGTATAATAATAGAGATTATATATACTATAGAGAGCATAGTTACTTTGCTTAGAACTATCTTAATATAGTAAGAATTCTAGTAGTTTTAGCGTTAGCAGCTAATTTAGATAGTTCTATAAGTAACTTAAAAAACTAGCAGCTTCTGCTCTATACTTAGTATAGAAGCTAGTAGCAAAAAAGAAAGATATAATAAACACTAGATAAGATATATTAGATTATCTAGATAGTACTCTAATCTTACTTTCTTTTCTATTAAATAGATTAATATATATAGATATCTTATTAGATTCTAGCTATAAATACTTTAGTGCTATTAGTAACTAGTTATAGTAGAGACTCTAAGCTTATACTCTTAATATTCTATCTTAGTAGCTCTTCTAGGCAGCCTATAGCAATATTACTATAATATATTAGAAATTAGAATTCTGCAGTAGAATTCTCTAAAAAGTAGCCTATACGTAAAAAGTAAATTTATATATATCTTATATATCTATAGCAAAATCTCTACGCTTCTATAGCAGAATTCTTATGCTTTTATAGCAGAATTCTAGCGCTTCTATAGTAGAATTCTAGCGCTTCTATAGTAAAATTCTAGCGCTTCTATAGCAGAATCCTTATACTTCTATAGTAAAATTCTTATACTTTTATAGCAAAATCTCTTTGTATAAATAGAAAATTTATATAAGCTAAAGCATATTTTCTTCTACTTATAGAGTAGTTAAGCTTTTTAAAAAATTCTTAGTTATACCTAATATAGTCTATTATAATTTGCCTTAATTCTAGTATTAACAATACTAAAATTACATCTAACTCTATATATATAACACTATAAATACTAATATAAATATATTATATAAAGAAAGTAGATATAAATAATACTAGAATTACGTATAACTTTGTATATATAACACTATTAATATTACTCTATAGATATTATATATTAGAATAATATCTAACTCTATTCTTTAGTCTATCTGCATTTCTACTAAGAATACAGAGCTTAGCTAATTAGAATAGGCCTTAGCAAGGCACTATATTATAGAAATGCGTTATAGAAATAAATAACCTTCTAGAGAGAAATAATATATTTCTAAGAGGCTATATTCTACAGAAAGGTACGCTAAGCATAGATCTATACTTAGAACTATAATAGTATTAAAATTTATTATAATGCAGGCATTTAAAATTAGAGAGTTTACTTTAGTAAGAAACTTTAAAACTTAAGCTACTACTCTAGGCCTACTAGCGCTAATATACTAATATTCTACTTCTTAGCTTAGTAAGCTCTAGCTATAATTATAATATCTATTACTTTATTTAATACTAGCTAATATTCTTAATTACTTACTCTCTTCTTAAGACAGCTTATATTTAATAATATTTTAAGTATTTAATTCTAATTCTTTATTGCTTATATAATTACTATATATAATTATATAGGCTTAAGAAAACTCTATCTTATTACTATAATTTATTAGCGCTTATACGCTACTTTATTACTTCTCTAAATTTAGTATAATTATTTATACTTAGCATAGAGATATAAGAAACTAGAAAGCTTATCTAAACTATAGTTATTTAGTACTACCTAAGATCTATAACTAAGTTCATCTGTATAGAGAGAAAGGCTTCTTAGAACTGCTAGTATTATAGATCTCATACAGTTGCTTGTAATATTACCTACTCTACTTATAGTAAAGAACTAATTATGCTTCTAGAAAACCTAATTTATATATAGTAATGCAAAGAATAGCGCTATAGCTATATTAGTACTAACTAAAGAACTATAGCTTAATACTATAATAAAGAGTACTAATAGTAAAGCTTACTAGTAGTAAAAAAGCATTAGTAGAGAGTAAAAGTCTAGATACTCTTTAGAACTAGTAGCTATTAGCGCTATTTTACTATAGTAATATCTAGTTTAGGCACTCTAGACTCTAATTATATAAAGACTATTAAAAATATATTCTTAAATTCTAAAATAACTACTATCTTAGCTAAATACTATAATACTTAGTAATAATAACTTAATATATATAATATTACTAAAGCTATTATTTCTAGAATAGATTAAACTAGCTAGTTTACTAGAAATAGCTAGTAAGAATACCTTAGAAAATATAACCTTAAATAACTTTACTAGATAAGCTAGCTACTTAATTACTATAATACTTTATTATAATAAGTAGTTAGAGTAGTAGACTTAGCTATAGAGTTAAGAGTAGCTAGTCTTTCTATCTTATCTCTAGAAATCTACTACTAGTTAAGAAGCTCTAAGAAGATAGAGATTAAGATCTATCTTTAATAGATAAAAAAACAAGAGTTAGAATAGAGCTTATTCTTTAAGAAACTCTAAATTCTTAAGAGCTTATTCTTTTAAATCTAAATTTCTAAAGAATAAGACTCTGCGTAAGAGCTAATTTTAATATAACTTAAGCTAAAGGTATAGTAGAGTTAGCGCTATTAATTATACTATTTAGAATTTTTATATAATATTAGTGCGTTATAATGCATATTAAGATATATATTAATATTAGCATTTCTTAGAGTTGCAAAAATAGAGCTATGCAGACTATTAACCTAGAGTTATAAACTCTAATATTAGAGTTTCTGCGCCTAATCTAAGGCGTTAAAGCAACTCTAATAGCTAGGCTAAGTATAATAATACTATAATACTATATACTGCGAGCATATAGTATCTAGTAACCTTAGATACTAACGTGCAGAGAGTATATCTTAACTTATAGGCAGCATAAATTTATTGCTTACTACTAGGCTCTATAGATAGAGTTTATAGGCATTTATAATAGAATAATTTAATAGTATTTTTAAGTATTTGCTACTATACTATATAGCTATATATAAGAGCTATATGCAGAGTATTATCTAGTTATAGCTAGCAGTCCTACTTAAATACTAAGTACTAGAAAATAGTCTCTAATATATAGAAAGCTATTATTTATGCTATGCAGAATAAAGCTTTACTGCAGTAATAGGCATTTAATAAAGATAATATCTTATTTTCTAACCTAGTAACTAAGCTACTACTATACTTACTAGTATATACTAATAGACTATAGTATAGAGAGTATAGTTAAATATATTACTATCTAAAGAAGATAGAAGCCTATTA